AAATAAGTGCGGATTAGTAATTGAAAATTAAATTACATACTAATGTGGTGGATTAAATAGAAATGCATGTATTTTTAGTTCAAAAGAACTGCTTTGCCAATTTAATGAGATTGAAAAGCTATGTGAAAGTTCATTTGGATTGTCTAATTGCAATAATCTAGTAAATGAAAATAAATGCTTAGCTATTATTACTAAAGGTCAATATTGTTCCTTTGATAAATAAAAGGGTTGTCAATATCTTGATAAATCAGTTGATATTTTTAAATGTTAGAATTAAATTTAAACTAATCCTTATACATGCTCTCAAAGCTTAGACATTCCTTGCTTTTTTGATAAAAAATCAAAAATGTGCATAGAATATGTTTCTTTAGAAAATCTGGATAAAATTACTGATTTTTCCATATTTTAAAACTATTAACTATCCAACATTTATTCATTTAATAAAAAGACGTGTGAACAGTTTAATTAGGAAATATTTTCTAAAGACTCTTAGCCATTCACTAAAGATATTTTAATTTTTTGGAAGGAATCTTGCATAGAAGTAGCTAGTGCTTAATTGCACTATTTAAAATGCGATTAAAATTTAAACAAAAATACTTGCATTAGTATTAAGACCCCGTTTTAATACTGTTAATATATAAACAAAAAATGCATAAATGTTGATTTAAAGGCTTTTCAAAATATACCTTGTTAGTCTATCTAAAATATAAATTCAGGGGCAATTTGCTCTTAAACTTAGGATGTTGCCTGTTAATTTAATCCACTTCAATTTAGATGTGAAAGCGTATCTCTGAACTCTTCAAATTCGTTTAAAATAGAATGCTTAGAAAAAAAACCTGAATTGAAAGGATATAATAAGCTAGCTTGCGCTTTAAGTTAGGATAATAGTTGTATTTTTAAGGATCAATGTTATAAAATTGACAAATCAGTATTGTAATTTTGCGAAGATGCTTCTGATATATAAAAGTGTGCATTAGTTTAAAATGAAGGGTGTACCTTCAAAGATAATAAATGTCTAAAGATCTTAACTTCAGATATTATCGTATGTGAATAAGCTATTAACAAAATAGGATGTATCAATATTTAATCAGAAGGATAGTATTGTTAATATATAGAAGATAAATGTATTTCTCGTGATTTAGTAGAGTTTAGTAAAATCTAATGTCATTAAGTTACAAATATTAATCACTACTCCTTTTGTGAATTTCCTAAAGATGAAGCATGTATATATGATTTTAAATCTAAATCATGTTAGGTTGTATCTGATATGGAAAATCTAATATGTTAAAGAGGAATAAATGAAATAGCTTGTAAAAATTAAACAAATCCAAACTTGAATTGTTTATTTGTAGATTATTGTTATGATCCAAATTATGGGATCTATAATTGCAATAGTACAAATAAAAATTTATGCTGTCGAGAAGCAGGATCAATTTAAAATTGTTTAAATTAAAATTTATATAAATGTACTTGGCAGAATAATGAATGCTCTAGTTATGAACCGATAGAGAATAAAAATTGCAGTGATGTTTAATATTCAAGCAAATTGGTTTGTATTGCGTTTGAAGATAATTTCTGTGTTTATAATTCAGTTAACCATAACTGCAAATCTATTAATCCAACATCTTGTGATTAATTATAATCATCCAAATAATGTAACAAAATGAGTAGTTTACCTTGCATTTGGAATAACGATGAAATGAAATGTGTTTATTTAGAAAATTGTGATTAAAAGGATCAGTAAATTTCAATTATAAGTTCAGTCTAAATGAATTGTGAAGATGTGAGTACCTATTTTGGAAGTTAAAGAGCTTGTTTGAATATAGTGAAATAAGGATAAATGTGTATCTATGAAGGTAACTAATGTCAAACTTTTAAATAAGTTGAAGGCTAAAATAATTGCTTAGAAAACATTAATATTAATTCATGTTTATAACAAACTATAAGTGATTGTTATTGGGATTTAAAATTAATTAAAGTATAAAAGTCTCTTGATGAAAATGAATCACAAGCATATTATGGAACTTGTATAAAATTTGAAAATTATGATAAACTAGGTTGTGATTCAACACTTATTTGTGATTCAAAAGTTAGTTGTGATTAAAAACTTTGTTGTGATTCAAAACTTAGTTATACTTCTTGTTTAAAATTTGCTAAAGAAGGTGTATTTTGTATTTGGAAAGACTTAAAGTGTTAAACTTTAGATGATGATCCATTAATCATTTATGAGACTTCAAAACTATTATTAATAAATTAGAATTCTTGTGGTTTAGTAAATAATGGAGATATTGTCAAATACGATACAAATATGAAAATATGTGTAAAAGTTAATGATTTAAATTCTATATCATGTATTACTGAAGGATTAAATAAAGATGGATGTCTTAATATTAAATAGCAAAATTGTATTTGGGATTCAACAAGAAGAAAATGTAGAGAAAAGAAGCTCATTATTGATATAAAAGATGATTCATGTGAATAATAAAATTGGTCTTCTCATTTATGTTCATAAATAAATCTAGATAAACCATGTGGATTTATAAAAGATGGTTGTAATTTTATCGATATTTAATAAGCAAGATGTACTTAAGAAGGATTGAATAAATTTGCTTGTTTGAATATATAAAAGTATCCTTGCATTTGGATTAAAAATTTAAATGATGAAAATTATCATTGTGAAGATTACATTCCTCATCTCTCCTGTAATTAAATTCCTTAAAATGTCAATTCTAAAGTCTGTTCGATGGTTAAAGAAGGTGCTTGTTATTATAATTTACAAAAATTGTAATGTGAAGTTCCTAATAAAGATGAAGCTAATTGTGAATTGATGGGATTAAATATTATTGGATGCGTTTAAATTGAAATGTGTTTTTTTGATTAAAAGTGCTAGTTATTAAATAGAAATTATTATAAATGTGAGGATTTTCCAATAGCTAATAAATTAATTTGTAAGAATGCTATTGATTCTTGTAAATATAATGAAATTGTTTATGGATGTTCATATGCTTATGATGAACTTTGCTCAAATGATTCTTTAAGCATGATTGCATGCTAGAATTAGAAACATTGCTCATATTTAGATAATAATTGCTAATGTAAATAATACATTGATAATTATCATTGCAATTATATTACTAATATTGAAAGATGTTAAGAATAAAGCCATTGTATTTTTTTAAATAACCCTTCAAATAGTGAAATTGATATTTAATATAATCATAAATGTAGATAAAAGACATGTTAAGATTTGAAAGCAGATAAATGTGATAATAATAAAATTCTAGGAATTACTTGTTACTGGAACAATTCTGAATAATGTTAATCAGCATCAAAATGTGAAGATATAATTCATTCTATTTTTGAATGCTCTTAATATTAATTTAATGGAAGACCTTGTTAAATGATAAATAAGAAAGGATTTTGTGAATAATTTTCATGTGAAAAATTTAGTTAGCAGCTTTGTTCTGAAAATTCATAATTTTGTAAATTTGAAGAGAGTTGTAAAACAAAATAATGTACTGATTATATTGAGGAAAATTGCATTTAAAATGATTGTAATTGGAATAAAATTGAAAGAATTTGTTAATAATAAGTTGAATGCTCTTAAATTAAAAATGAATTTGATTGTAACCGCTATAAATACAATAAAAGAGCATGCTTTTGGGTTATATAGAATGATACAGATTTTTGTACTGAACTTGGTTGCCGTCACCTTAATAAATTTAAATAATGTTCTGGATAACGTCTTATTTAAGAATCTTGTGTTGAGTTAAATGATTCTACTTGTTTATCATGTGAAGAAATTTTAGATAAATGCGAATGTATTTAATAATCTAAATATTGTTATTATGACATTAAACAAAATAATTGTAACTCTAGGAATTGTGAATCTTTTAGAAATTAGGAAGAATGTCCTGTTTATTTTTGTAGATATCAAGATGAGGTAACTATTATTATTCATATCTTTAGAAATGTCAAACCTAATGTTAATATATTTATGATGAAGATTAATGTAAGAAAATCAAAGAATGCTTATGGATGGATAAAAAGAAGAAATGCTAAACTAAATGTGAGTATATCTAAGATGAATAAAAATGTAAAAAAACAAATTTATGCTTTTGGGATGATAGTAAATAAGAATGCACAGATTATTACAACTAGACTTATATTGATGTAATTACTCATGAAAATAAAGATATTATATTAGGCATTATTAGTCTATCATGCTTCTTATGGATGTGAAGTTTATATTCATCAAAACAATTAAATTAATATTTTTATGTTTATTTATAAGATAATTTAATTTAAATTAATGAGTAAACATTTTGAAAACTTAAAAAAATTAAATTATCTTTTCAAATGAAAAAATCGAAATTAAATTTCCAAATATTCCCTTAATATAATATGAATAATTGGCTTTATTGTAGATAATTCCATTATGAAATTTTGCAAGAATTTAAGTAAATTTGCCAATTTTAATGATATAAATATTAATAATAGTTATAAGTTTTTTCAATTATATAAATAAAATTTATAAAATATTATTTGATAAAGCAAAAAATGAAAAATTATAGTAAACTTTTTTATAAAAAAATGTTTAAGTTTAAATCTCATTTAGATATTTTGAATTGAAATCTTTAATGATATTTAATAACCGTTAATCTTTCATCCACAATAAAATTAAGAGTAAAATATTCTCTATAATAAATATGAATCTTGATTTTTGATTTCGAAAATCTATAAATTTTTTTAATTAATGATAAGAATAAAACGAAAGAGATCATAAATAGATCAGCTATATTTTATTTTTCTTATTTACAAAAATAGGAGAATTAAACTGGATTAAAAAATGAAAAATTTGAATAACATGTATTCAACTAATGGCACAATGAAATTTTCTTCATTCTTTTAGGGTTTTATTATTTAATTAAACCATATCTTATTTTATCCTATAAATATTTATGTAGAATAAAAATAAAAAAAATATAATTATTTAAATAATGATTTTGTTCATCTTCTTGATTTCCCCATTATTTGGCTACCTAGTAAAATAATGTTTTATATATCCACAAGACCCAAATATTTGTATAGAACAAACTTAAGATTATTCTTGTAAATAATTTGATTATATTAGGTGCCTTTAATCTATAATAAAAAGCTTGCATTTTCTTTAAGGATACTAATTCTGGATGTGCTTTAAACTTAAATAAAAGGGCTTGCCTACAATAATTGACAGATTAAAAAGGAAAAGAAAGTTTATGTTTAGAATTATTTTATATATTTAGGTATTTTTGATACCAGATGTAAGAATGCTTCAAAAACTTCTTTATCTAAATTAGGTTGTTCTGAAATGTTGAGCAAATATGCTTGTATGAATGTGAAAAATAAAAAATGTCTTTGGGATTCCACTTGTTAGGAAATTACAAAAAAATAAAGTAATGATTTAGATTGTGAAAAACAATATGAAGTATCTGTTACACCTTTGGCTTGCTCGATTCTATAAAATTTGAAATGTATCATATTATTTTTAATTATTATAGGTATGAATGATGGCTTTGAAAAAGATTACTAATGTAGAACAGTAAAACAAGAAGAATATTTTCAATTGAAATGCTCATAGTTGGGCTTAACCGAGATGGCTTGTTTATTAATAGAAACAAGTGGTGAATAATGTATTTTAAAATTTTATTTAGGTATTTATAAAAATAATATTTGCTAATCAGTTTAAAAAAATGAAATTTAAAATTGCAACTAAAAAATAAATAGGTTGGCTTGTCTTTCAATAGATAATCTTAATTTAAGATGTTTTTGGAATAATAATAAATGTGAAGATTTTAAATTATCAAACCAAGTTTTAAAAATTGTGGAAAATGTTAATATCAATGTTTGTGCTAAACTTAATGGGTCATATGAATATATAAAAGAAAAATAATAATGTGTTAGTATTAGTGAGGATAAAATTGAAAAGTTAAACTGTAACACACTTGGAGTATCAAAAAAAGTTTGTCTAGGAATTAAGTCCTAAAATTGTTCTTTTTATTAAGGTTATTGTTAGGAATTAAATGAAGAAGATCTTGAAACATATTAATGTAATATGGAATTGAATGAAATGGCATGTGCAAATCTTAAAACTCTATATCAAGATTGTTAATGGAATGGCGATTCTTGTGAGAGAATATTTATGAATTAAGATATTGATTGTCCATTGAAATTAGAGGATGAATCTATAAAAGTAAATGGAAATGTTTGTTAAGCCATATCAAAATCAGATGTTATATGTAAATATAATTCAAAAACTAATTTATGTATTGCTAGTTCTATTAATGATTCATGTAATACTCCATTTATAAATTTATTGGGTTGTGTAAGTATCTAAAATAATAAATAATAATGTTAATGGACTAATAATGGTTGTGTGTATGCAAATATTGAATTGGGTAAAACAACTTGTGAAAGTTTAGGACATGCAAATCCATTTTCTTGTTCTTAAGTCTATGAAAATGATTAAATAGGTTGTTATTATGATAAAAATTTACACAAATGTGTTTCAATCAAAGTTGATGAAGATGATAATTAAATTAAAACATTCTTAAATACAATAAGTTGTAAAGATTTGTCTTTAGGAATAAATAAAGTTTTATGTGCTTCTATTACTACTGAATAAACTCCATGTAGATGGTTTTAGGAATAATGTTCATTTGTAATTGATAAAAACATTAACAAAGTTTCTTGTTAATTTCTTGATTATGCTAATTATTAAGTATGTGCTCTAGTTTAATATGAAAAAGCTTATTGTGCTTATTCTTCATAGTTTAAAGGATGCTATGAATTTACTCAAAATGAAAATTCAAAATGTGATATTAAAGGTTTAAATTAATATGCTTGTTCATTAATTGATTAAAATTGCTACTTTGAGAATAATGAATGTAAAAATGCTTAATTAAATTCTTAAAAATTGAAGTGCAATTCTGATTCGCCTTCAAAAAAGGTTTGTTTATCTATAAAAACTGATGGCCAATTATGTAGATGGTCTGATAGACATCTTCGATGTACTAATGTATCTGTAAATAAAAATTAATCTTGTTTAGAATTTATAAATGTAAATAGACATACTTGCGAAGAAGTTGAAATGGAATTTCCAGATTATGATCCCAATAATCCTAATAAGGATTTAAATAGGGGTTATTGTATATATGATGAATAGGAAAATAAATGTAAAACTTTAGACGAAACATTTAGTTGTACAACAAAATGTTGTACAGAAGTTGGAGGAATTAATACTCATTCATGCAGCAGATATTCAAGCACTTAGATTGGAGATTATTGTTTTTTTAAAAATGGCAAATGCTAAGAATTAACTATCAATTTAGTAGATATAACAAATCCTAAATAAGTAGAAAATTATTATAATGAATTGAAATTACCATGTTCATCTATGACAAAGAACTCTTGTCATATGATTAGTTGGTCATTTAGAGAAAGATGTATTTATGAAGGAAAAATATGTAATAAATTTGAACAAAAATATTACCCTGATCTGTAATTACTGGTCATGGAACCTTATATTTTAAATAAATACGCATGTTTATCTGTGGAAGCAACATTATCATAAACAAATCAAGTTAAATACTTAATTTATGATGAGGAAAATAAAAGATGCAAAAAAATAAATGAATAATAATATAATAGTTGTGAAGAGGCTTAAGGAAATAGGAATGTATGTTTGGGACATACTTAAAATTTAAATTGTAAATGGAATTATGATAATTTAAAGTGTGTTACTATTTCTCAAAATGAATTAGAAGAAATGAAAACTTGTGATCTCAGTTAAAATATAAAGGCTTGCAATGAGAATAAGTATTTAAATTGCTATTTTGATACTGATTCTGATATATGTATAAAAGCTTCTCCAGATTTAAATTGTGGTTAATTAAAAAATATAAGTCAATTAGTATGCAAAAATTTAACAAAAGAACCTTGTCAATATGATACTAAAACATCAAGATGTAATATGGTTTAAAATCTACATAGCGAATGTGATTAATTGGGTATCAATAACAAAGCGTGTTATAAACTTTCTGAGAAAGATTGTAGGTGGAATTCATAAAGATTGGTTTGTTATCAAAATTAATAGGCAATTAGTGAATTAGGTTGTTTGGATAATTTAAATAAAAATCTTTGTTTGAAAATAACAAAAGAACCTTGTTTTTGGAATAATAATACCAGTCAATGTGAAAGATTTTTCTAAATTACTCATACATAGTTTTTGGCTTATGATTCAGACAATAAATACAATTAATTAGCTTGTTTAGAAATAAATGAAGAAGGTTATCGTTATAAAGAAGATAAATAAAATTGTTAATAGATCGAAGAATACAATTTACCTTGTTCCGAATTAAACATGAACAAATATGCATGTCTATTTTAAACTAGAGGATCAAAATGCTATTATGAAAATGGTTAATGCAAACCTTACACATTTGATTTAACTGATTGTAATTCTGACTTTGATATAAGTATTGAAGTATGTCTGGATATACCTAAAAAATGTTTTTTTAATATAAACAATTTAAAATGTGAAAATGCAATAATTCATTCAACTACAGGATGTTAATCTTTATTTGTATCACCATTTGATTAATTGGATGATAAATATCCAGATGGGATATCAAAACAAAAATAAAATAATAAAGAAAAGAGATATTATAACAAGTTATCTTGTTCTTCTATTAGTATGGATCTGAAGTTAGACTATGGAGATGGATAATGTTATATGGATTCTGATAATTCGTAATAATGTAATTCATAAAAATATTGTTTTTGGAATATCGCTACATATAATTGCAATGTGTATATTTTAATAAATTCTTTTTTCGATTAGATAAATCATGTTCAAAATAATTAAACTATTTGGGTTGATAATGATACTAAAGAATTAGAATATGTTGATGATAAAAATTTAAATTGTTTAAAATAAATAGATAGCAATGAATCCAAAAGTCAGATCTTAACCAAAAGATGCAAATTTACAAATCTGCCTTGTGATGGAAGTTTGTAGTGTTCATCATTTACAAATAAAACATTTTCCGAAATAAAAAATATAACAGAATTATTTGAATAAATAAATAATTAAACAAAATATGATGATGAATGCGTTCAATATTGTTAACCTGAAAATTAGGATTGTGAAACAAATAAAAATTTAACGCTTACATTTGAGAACAAGAAAATAAAAATTTGTTTTTCTAAACCTTTCTATTTGAAAAAACCTTAATGTTATTTAATTTAGAATACAATTAAGAAATGTGATAATATATACTCTAAAGCAATTTGTTTGGAAATAATTGAAGAAAGATGTTATTTTGATGAAAAATAAGGAGGATGTCGATAATTAAAAGGTAATGAACATAAAGTGCCTAACTGTTTAGCAATTTGGAAAGAGTGTAATAATAGTTATTCTAAACAAGCGATTTGTTAATTATAAGAAAGAGATAAATAAAATTAATGCACAACCTATATTGAAAAAGAAAAAATATGCATAAAAAAAAATAATTCTTTATTTTAAGATAAAATTTATTATTGTTCTGATATTAAATAAGAGGATGCTTAACCAATTATATGTGCTAATGCATCAGATGAATGTAGATATGACGGCATAAAATGTACAAGTGAGATTGAAAGTGAACTTGAATGTGATAGAAGTTTTAGTGAATCTCTATGTACTAAATCTAAATGCAATTTTGAGTATTTAGGATATTGTTAATAACAAAGATTACCTCCAATTACAGATGATGAAAAGTACAAGTAATATCTTTGTTATGAAGTTAATTTATTGGATACTATAAATAAATAAGATGTATGTACTCAAGTTAATTAAGCTTGTATATTTTAAAAAAATATTTGCGAATATGTCACTCATTTAAAAAAATGCGAGGATCTAATTAATATTATTTCATCTTAAGTAGCATGCTTGAGATGCAAAGATTTACCAATGATTTATAATAAAGAAGATAAAAAATGTTTAAAATTTGATCAAAATAATTAGGAAAATTAAGAATGTGAGAATTTAAATTATTTAGCTTGTAGACTTATCATTACGACTAATTGTTTATGGAAAGATGATAAGTGTTAGAAGCTTAAAAATTCAGAGGAAACAGTAGATTGTAAGCTTTTAAATATTAATTACTGTATTAAAGAAAGAAATGATATATAAGATTTATGCTGGTTTAATTAAGTTACTTAAATTTGTGAAAAATATAACCCTTTTAAAGGAAGCTGCGATTCACTTAAAAATGAATCAACTTGCAAGTTATCTATGGTTTAATCATGCTTTTGGGATGGTAATAAATGTTAAATTCAATTGCCTTAATCAAAATGTGAAAATTTAAACAAATTTGGATGCTTAAATCAATAGGATATACCATGTGTTTGGTCTGATAAAAATCGAACATGTTAACAACCTTAATTCCTTGAAAGTAGTAATAGTTGTACTCAATTTTTATAAAACAATTAATAAGATTTTGTGTCTCATATGAATGGGTAAACTTGTACATAAATCAATGTTGAATCAAGTTGCATATTAGGTTAAAATTACTTCTGTAGAGAAATTGTAGAACCAATTGAATATAAATGCGAAACATAAGGTTTAAATAAATAGGCTTGCTTAATGAAAACTAGTAATTTTTGCGTTTTTCAAGATAATAAGTGCAAGACTCTTTTAATTAATGATGATGGTGAAGGCTGTAAGAATAATTTAAACAAATTGGCCTGTTTAAATTAAAAGGAAAAGTGTTAATATAAGAATAATAAATGTGAATCTTTTAAGGTCACAACTTATAATGACTTATTTCCATCAGATGATACATAATATTCCAACTAATTATGTAAATCCTTAGATTCTACTATGACATATAGTTTAATATATTCTTAATAACAAAATAGATGTATGGAAGTAATAGAACGTACTATTACTAATTGTGGAACTTAAGGGATCAATAAATTTGCATGTTTATCTAAAACTTTAGGTTTATGTAAATATATTAATGAACAATGTTAAAATATATAAATACAAGAGATTGAAAAATGTGATGACACTTTAAATTAGATAGCCTGTCTTGCTAATCATAAAATTTAGTGCAAATTTGAGAATTTAAAATGTTCACCTTTATCAAATTAAGATTCTTGTAGTAGTTTATAACAAGAAAAGTCTAATATAAATTTTATAGTTTGTTCAAAAACATAAGACACGTCTTGCAAATATAATAGTAGTAAATAAACTTGTGAGGTTGTCAATTAAGATCAAGTTGAAATGTGTTCAACTCTTGGTTTAAATGAAAAAGCTTGTATTTTTAATACATCTGATTCAAGATGCAAATTTGATTAAGATGAATGTAAATTTGATTAAGGAATAGCAGAATGTACAGACAAGATTAATAAAAATAAATGTTTAAATTTACAAGGAAAATATTGTTATTTTGATAAATCTGATGGATGCAAAGAGATTGACTCAACTATTGATACAAAAAACTGCGTATCTGAAATAGAAAAAAGTGCATTTACTTGTTCTAAAGCAATAGATAATCCCTGTTTTTTTAATGAATCGATTTAAAAATGTGGATTAGCTTAATTGAATGATGAAAAGTTTTTTTAGTAAAATAAATTGTCTTTTAATCGAAGTGCTTGTTTGCAATTTAAAGACGCAAAAACTTATTGGAAAGATGATGATCAAGTTTGCTAAGAAGTAACAGAGGAATTACTTAACAAATTAAAATGCAATGATTAACTTAACAAAAATGCTTGTTTAAGTCTTAAGACTCAATCTTAACTTTGTTAATTTATAAATGAAAAATGTTAAACTTATGATTAAGATAAAAAAGAAGAGTGTCAAAATATTAATGAAATAAATAATGGGATACTTTGTTCTTTGAATGAGATTGGTGATTAAAATTGCAGGTATAATTCCTAAAAATATAAGTGTGAATTATTTTAGTTAACATAAGATGAAAAAAATTTAAGTTGTGAAGAAAAAGCACAATAATTTTATAATAAAAAAGCTTGTGAAATAAACTAAAACTGTATATTTTTAGATAAATGTTAATAATAAGATCCCAATAAAATTTATTATTGTTCTAAAGCTAATAACGTTGATTAATGTAAAAAAGTACTTTAGTAAGGGTGTTTTTTATTAAATCCATAAAAGTGCTCAATAATAACAACTGAATTATCTTAAAATCTATAATGTTCTTAAGTGTAAAATAAAGTCGGTTGTATTTAATTATAAACATAAGAATAGAATTGTAGATACTATGATGATAAATGTAATAATGAAAACATTGAAGAATATAAATATAAAAAATGTTTAGAAATTACATGGATAAATAATTATAAATTTTGTGAATAAACCTAAGATATTCCATGTGTATTCGATCCAACAATTAATTCTTGTATTTAAGCCAAATAAGTATCTCAAGATTTAACTTGTCCAAGAGGATTAAATAGAAAAGCTTGTATTCCTTTAAATTCAAAAAGTAATTTATGTTAATTCTTTAAATATTGTTATGGTAATAATTCTGAAATATTGAATTGCCCATCTAATGAAAGCGAATGTTGCTAAAAAGCAGTAACAAAGGAATCTTGTTTATTTTAAACTAAATTTAAATGTTAATGGAATAATAATAGTTGTATATAATATAGAGAATAATATTCTGTATGTAATTCTATTTCTAATGCTTCAAGAAATGTATGTTATTCACTTTTGGATAAATTCTGTATTTTCGATGAAATTAATCATAAATGTAAAGAAATTGTTCCAGAATATTGTGATTAAGTTTAGAATCCTTAATAATGTAGTAGAATTCCTATAATTCCATGCTATTGGAATGAAGATGAATGTTAATTTAAAGAAAAAAATGAAACAGATACTTGTTCAAGTATTACTAATACATTTGGTAACTAATAAGCATGCATCTAAGTTGAAAAAAATGGATAAATGTGTGCTTTTATTGATTAACAATGTTAAACATTTAAAGAAATCAAAGATGGCGACAATTGTCTTAATAATATTAATAGAAATGCTTGTTTGAATTAAAGATAGTCAGAATGTTATTGGGATTCAAAATTACTAAATAGGAAAAAAAACATTTACAGCAATGAAATTTCGATAGAAATAGGCATTTGTTAAAAATATATACCATTAGTGGAAAATGAAGATTAAAAGAATTTTAGTTTAGTATCTTGCTTAAAATCAAGAAAAAAAGGAGCATATTTTATATGGTTGGATGGAAAATGTTAGAATATTAAATCTGAAAATTTGAAATTTTAAGATGTCTCTAAATATGTAAATGTCAACAGTAATATTTGTACGGTGATAACTGATGTCCCTGTAATTTATGATTAAAAATTATAAAAATGTATTGAAATTAAAGGGACAGAAGTTGTTTGTAGTTATCCTCCAAATCCTGGTGTAAATAAAAAGGCTTGTTAGTAATCAAAAGATTGTAAATGGAATGATGATGAAAAAACTTGTTTAATATTTGATTATTAGCTACCTCATCCTAAAGATAATAATGGTATTCGTAATAAAGAATCAAATGAATAAACTTGTTAGAAAGATGGTATAAATCCTATTCACTGTACTCAAATTTACTTAGAATTACCTTGTGGAGGTACAAAAGAAGGTTGTGATTATGTTGATTTAAATAAAGTGAAATGTGATCATATAGGATTAAATAAATATGCATGTATCAATATAAAGACTTCACCATGTATTTGGACCTAAAATGAAGATGATAGTTTTTATCATTGTGAAGAAAGAATACCAGATGAATAGTGTGAAGAATATAATCAAATTGTTAATGCTGTTTTATGTAGTATGGTAGAATACAACCAACCTTGTGCTTATGATTCTCTTATGAATACTTGTAAGAAACCTAATGAAAATAATGAAAATTGTGATGTATTAGGAATCAATGCTTATGGATGTATGCAAATTAAAAATTGTTTTTTTTAAGATTACAAATGTAAATTATTTGATTAAAATTTAAATTTATCGTGCAAAGATGCATAGTTTGCTAATAAATTTGTTTGTTCATAAATTAGAAATGGCGGATGTAAATATGATTAATTATAATCTGGATGTGTTGAATCTTAATTTGATGACTTATGTTCTACACCATAAATTAATATTAATGGATGCAATTAAATTGAGGAATGTCAATGGAAAGATCATCAATGCTAATGTATAAAAGTCTTACAAAAATTTTAAGATTGTTCAGTGTATAAAGATTTTTAGAGCTGTAATAATTCTAGTAAATGTTATTTTGATTTTTCATTCTTTCAACAAAATAATTAAGGAGTTTGTAAAGATTTGGATTGTAGCGATTTATAAGAATGTGACATTTAAGTAGAGAATGGAAAAGTTTGTTATAAAAATTAAAAAGGGTAATGCATTGAAGCTAATTCATGCAATGAAATTTAAAATTATAATTAGGATTGCTCCAAATATTCTTTTAACAATAAAAAATGTATAAATGATGGAAATAAAGGTTGTATTCAATTTGAAATGTGTGAGAAATTGAATAGAATAGAATGTAAAAGATAGAATTCTAATTGTGTTTTATTAAACTCTTGTGTAACCAAAAGATGTTATCACATTAAGGATTAAACTACTTGTGTTAATTTTAATTGTTCATGGATTAAAAACTAATGCGTAGAGCCAATAAACTGTTCTGAACTTTATTCTGAAAAGGATTGCAATATTAATATATATAATGATAGATAATGTTCATGGCATTAATTAAAAAATGATGAAACAGATATTTCATTTTGTACTTCTAATGGTTGCAATTATTTATAAAAAAATGTTTATTGCCATGGTACCTAAATAAATTATACAGTTTGCATTTAAATGAATAGTTTAATATGCTTATCATGTGAATAAATTTCTGATGCTTGTGAATGCATGGAAAAAAATGAATATTGTTTCTATGATACATAAAAAAATAAATGCAGCTCTTTATCATGTGAAGGTTATAATAAAGAAACATGCCCTGAGAAGCGTTGCTTTTTTAATTAAATAAATGAAGTATATTATTATTTAATTATTAGACTTGCCTTCCTCAATGTTAATTTAGATATAATGAAAAATAGTGCTCATTATTTAACAAATGTTTTTGGGATGAGTAATTAACACCCCCATGTTAAGAAAAAGATTTTGACGTAGACTAGGAGGAATAAGATCCTAATTTCCCATAATCAGGTTTGTTATTACAAATTTCATTGTTTTATTTTGCCATAATTTTGATTTGATATAAATTTACAATCAAGAATTAATGATAATTTTACATTTAATTAACATTTTATATGGGGTCATTATTCATTTTATGATTTCTTATTTTCAATATATTTGTAAGATTTTTTGTACTTGTTAAATAGTTAAATTTATTAAAACTTAAGATTTTAAATTTACAGAGTAAGGATTATTAATATAATGGGAGAATGAAAATTCAATGAAGAAATTAATTTTGTAATTTTAAGGGTTCTGAAAGAGATAAAAATAAGTACCTTCTATTTCTTGTAATTTTTGTAATTATGAAAATTTAAACCTAATTTTAATGCAATAAAATACATTATTTAGCTTAAAAGATAGAGAAAAGAATCTAATTAACTAGTGTACCTATAAATTTAATTGGATTTGTCTGTATTGATGCTTATATATGTTTCAATTATAATTAGTATTGTAAATTCATCATCTCTATGTGAAATTTATAATGAATAAATCTGCTCTCACAAATGTTGCTTATATAACTAAGAATATTAAGTAAAATCAAATTTAGATTTGCATACCATAATGTAAATGTCAATTATATTAAGTAATAGTGTTAAATATTTGTTTATTGGATGATTATTTGAAAATAAAAAATCGATTTTGATGATTAATTATTTATGTTTATAATAGAAAAACTGATTTGATGTAACAAATATTATATATTTATGTTAATTGAAAAATTATTATCTAAAAAATAATTTATGAATAAATAATGACGACAAAAACGAAGATTTAAAAGTAAAAATAATTATTAAGGCTGATATTGTCTGCAATTTTCAATTTTTTTCAGTTAATTGATAAAAATGATTAAACCTATTTCCTCCTTTAGGTAATTTGATAATTTGAAGGATTTAGATATTTATTAATAAATCATGAAAAGAAATTTATTTATAATTTACATTTTTATTATCATAATATTTTTCTCGAAAGCAAACATTATAAATGATTTTTCTATGTCTATATAAAGGTGCTGATAAAAATTTCTAGATTAATATTAAAAAAAAAAATTCAATGTTTAATCTCAGTTTAATTCTACTTATCACAATTCAATTGAAACGCATTGAATCTCAGATCACATAATCATGTCAATTTTTTTCTAACAATCCCAAGGGATGCATTCAAAAAACAATTGGAAATTCATGTACTAATTAAGTAATGTAGGTAATTACAGACTTTTTGAGGGTGTGTGTATAATTGAAAAGAACACTAATCTTGGTTGTATTGGCACATTAAATTAAGAAGCTTGTATTAGTTAAGAAACCAACTAATAGGGAAGAGAAGTTCAATGTATTATATACAATAAATTTAGGCGCATTTAATATGAAATGTTAACCTGTTTTGAGTTCATAGTTGGCAAGCAAGGGTTGCTTCTAATATTATAATAAATATGCATGCATGAATGTAAGGAATGCAAATTGTTATTGGGAAAATAATTAATGTTAGCTATTGGTAGAAATAAGAGATACAGCAAATACATGTGAGGAAGCTTATTAAACTTCTGTTACTCATTTAACTTGCTCTAAATTAAGCAATTTATTTTGTATAAAATGAAAAAATAATATAGGTATGAGTTCAGGATTTGAAGGTTAATATAAATGTGTCAGTGTTTAAGAAAAATAATTAAAAGTTTTAAAATGCTCTTAATTAGGGTTGACAAAAAATGCTTGTCTATCTATTCAAACAGAAGGATAAAAATGTAAGAATGATTTAAATATGAAATAGGTATCTTTGAAAATTAGATCTGCAGAGATGTTATAGAGTAGGAAATAATGAATTGTAATATGAATTTAAATCGGGAAGCATGTTTGTCTATTAAAAATTCTAAAATTACTTGTTAATGGATTAAAGAATCTTGCTAATCTTTTGAAGAGTTAAATTGGATTTAGAATAATGAAATTTTGGAAGTTAATATAAACGTCTGTCAAACCATTTAAGGATTATATAGATATGATAAAGAAAATAGGAAATGCATAAAAATTTAAGAGTTTGAGGAATTTAATTGTAATACACTTGGATTGTCTAGAGAAGGATGCTTACTAATAAAAGATTAAAATTGTTCTTTTTATTAAGGTTATTGTAAGGTTTTAAATGAATAAGATCTTGAAACATATTAATGTAATATGGAATTGAATGAAATGGCATGCGTAAATCTAAAAACTCATTTTCAATATTGTAAATGGAATGGTAATTCTTGCGAGGGAATGTTTATGAATTAAGATATTAATTGTCCTTTGAATTTAGAGGATGAATCTATTAAAGTAAATGGAAATGTATGTAAAGCAATATCAAGTTCAGATGTTGTATGTAAATATAATTCAAAAACTAATTTATGTATTGCTAGTTCTATTAATGATTCATGTAATACTCCATATTTGAATAAAAAAGGGTGTCTTAGTATTGCTAATAATAAGTAAGCATGTTAATGGTCAGATATAGGTTGCATTGAGGTAAATGTAATTTAGTTTTTTACAAGTTGTGAAAGTTTAGGATATGCAAATGCTTATGCTTGTTCATAAGTTTATGAAAATAATAAAATAGGTTGTTATTATGATAAGATTATGGAGAAATGTATTCCTTTACAGATAAAGGTTGAATAGAATTCATCAGAAGAATAATTAAATAAATAAAGATTAGATCTTTAATTATTGGATATTTTAAGTTGTTAGAATGATTAATTGGGATTGAATAGAGTAGCTTGTGGATCAATAACAAAAAATGGAGTGGCATGTATGTGGAGCTAAAATAAATGTTAATATATTGAAAGGAAGGCTAGTATTTCATCTATACCTTGTTTACATTTATAATTTGCAAATGCTAAAGCCTGTAGTTATGCAGAATATTAAAAGGAAGTTTGTAGATATAATGAAGATTCAACTTCATGTGTAACAACAGCTAAAAATGGTATGGAGTGTAGAGAAATAGGATTAAATCGTTATGGATGTATGATAGCTGTAGGATTTTGTTACTTCAATGAAGAACTATCTTAGTGTTTGAATGATGATTCATCAAGCATTACTGAATAATTGACATGTGATAAGAATTCGCCATCACAACCAATGTGTTTGAGTATAACAAAAAAAGGTGAAAACTGTAAATGGTAATAAAGTAGTGGAAAATGTTCGAAGGTCAACATACCTTATAACAGCAATTGTCTTTCGTTTAATTCTTAAGGGGTTTAAGTGAATTCAAACACATGCACTCAAATTGAAATGAGCTTTCCAGATTATGATATATTAAAAGGGAAATAACACAGTGAAAATTATGGTTATTGCTCATATAATTAGAATCTGAATATCTGTTAAATTAAAACTGATTACTGTACCACAAAATGTTGTACAGAGGATAAAGCTATAGGAATCAATGCTCATTCTTGCAGTAGATATTCCAGTTAAGAACCTGATGTATATTGTTATTTTGAAGATGGAATATGCAAAGAACTACTTCATGATGTAGTTAACATTAGTGATTAAATGGCAGTATGGACTTACTATAATTATAAATAATTCAGATGTTCTCAAATGAATCGTAATTCTTGTCATATGATTGATTGGAGTACAAGTTAAAGATGTGCGCATTTTGGAACATCTTGCATTAATATTAATTTATAAGAGTTTTCAACCCTTACATTTCTTACTTAGGAACCAACTAGAACAAATAAGAATACATGTTTTGCAATTGAGGCATTTTCAAAGGAGGAAAAATATTTTACTTTTGATGAAGAAAATCTAAGATGCAAGAGCTTAAAATTGACATCAGATACTCCATTTACTAATTGTGAGGATGCTATTGGAAATAGAAATGTTTGTTTAAGATATACAGGAAATAATTATTGCAAATGGAATCCTGAAAAGCTCAAATGTGAAACAATTCTTAATTATTAAATTGATGATATTTAAAACTGTGAATCATATTTGAACATTAAAGCATGTATAGAAAATAAAACTAATTCATGTTTTTTTTCTTATGAATCTGATAAGTGTCAAAATGCACCAATAGAAGTGGAATGTGATTTTTTCAATAATTTAGGAATGATTAGTGAAAAAGTATGCAAACTAATTTCTAAATCAGGATAGATGTGTCAATTTAAGAATTATTAATGTGTTAGATTTGAAATCTATTAATCTAAATGTGATGTTTCAGGAGCCAATGCAATATCATGTTATAACAATATGAATGGTAATTGTAGATGGGATAGTAATACTCTATAATGTTATGAGAATTTCGCTGATATAAATGAATTATATTGTTCAAGCAATTTAAATAAGGTTCTTTGTTTAAAAGTAGTCAATGAACCATGTTTTTGGAATGATAATGATATATAATGCCAAAAATTCAATTTTATCACAAATGTTGAATTTCTAAAATTAAATTCTAATAATTTATATACAAAAGATGCTTGTTCATTAATAACTGGGATAGGATATATTTATTAATCTGATAAATGTGTTGAATTACCAGATAAATAGAACACAAATGATTGTTAAAAATATTGGATGAATGAATATGCTTGTCTATATTTAACAAGAGGATTCAAATGTTATTATGATCCATTAGAGAGATTTTAAAGAATGAAATGTAAACCATTTTCAGGAGACTATTCTAAATGTTATGATTAAAATTTATCAATACTGATCAATATTGAAGTCTGCATGGATATACCTTAAGCTTGTGTATTTGAGTAAAGCAGTTTAAGATGTGTTCCATTTGAAGTGAGTCCCTAAGAAAAATGTTCCAATTTGGCTAAAAGTATAGATGAAAAGAAATTTCATAATAAAATAGTATGTTCCTCTATAAATCCAGATCTCACTGATAATTTTGGTAATCAGTAATGTTTTCAGGATCAAAAAAGCTTTTAAAAATGTTTATATGAGAAGTATTGCTTTTGGAATAAATTATTTTATTCTTGCAGTATATATGTTAATCTCATTACAGCTTTTGATACAAATCATTGGATAAAAAAAGAATTAAAAGTATGTACAAATTAGAATTCAGAATTTGAAACTTTCGACCAAGGATGTTCTTATTAAATTAGAGAAAATGATGGACTTAAATTTATAGGAAAACAATAAATAGCTATACCACAAGAGTGCAAAAATACGATCTCTAATTCTACAACTTGTTAATCAAATGAAAATTGTGAACCATTTTAAAAAAGTTATCTTTTATTAGATTATATTAATGGTAACATGACTTTAACATTTCCAAATAATGTTACATAAACTTGTGAAAAACGTTGTGGATTTTAAGGTTAATAAACTAATTTTTGTAATTAAGATTCAGATTGTGGTACAGAGTTTATCACAATAAATAATTTAGTAAATGCTTTTCTATAGAAATGTAGAGTAATGAAAAGAAGATGGAAAATTGTCTATACATATAAATATACAATAAAAGATGAAGTAAATGATAATGATACTTACACAGAAATAGTGAGTAAAATAGATGGTAAAAATATAACTCAATATAATGTAAGTGAAATAGCATCTTCAGAAATACAGTATGAGCCTGTAAAAGAGGAAGATTGCGAAGAAGATGATAAAGGTTGTTACTGTAAGTATACAAAGGAATTTTGCAAATATGATAATGATTGTACAAAATAGGTTGACTAGAGGTGGATTTATAAAAAGAAATGTATACCTCAAGATTTTTATTAAAAATAACCTTATTGTCTTTAAAAAATATTAGAGATAGAGTAATGTGACAATATATATTCAAAAGCATTATGTCTTGAGATGGTAAAATAGAGGTGTTATTTTGATATTTAATAAGGAGGATGTCGTTAATTGTAGGGGAATGAAGATAAATTACCTGATTGTAGTAGTATATCGATGGAGAGTTGCTTACTTAGTAAAACAAAAAAAATAGCATGTTCAAAAGGTGAGAAATCTACAAAACCTGGTGATACATGTTATAGTATTATAAAAGAGTATAATGATTGTAAGGAAATGTAATTTTATAATTCATATTATGTTTGTCAAAAAGTAAAAAAAGAAGATGCATAAAATTCATTATGTGCAAGAGCTACAGATGAATGTAGATTTAGTGGAAGTTTATGTGTAAATGAACCATTAATAAATTAAGATGGTACTTGTAAATGTGATTCAAGTTACAGTAAAACTTTATGTGAGAAGTGTGGTTGTGATTTTACTTTATTAGGATATTGTTAATAAAGTAGATAAAGTCTTCAAGTAAGGTAAGATAATTCTAATAAATACTATTTATGTTATGAGGTGAATTTATTAGATTTAAAAGATATTAAATAAAAATATTAAGCTTGTGCAAGTATTCCATAAGCATGTAAATTCACAGATTAATGTGAGGATGCTACACATGATACATGTGATGATCTATTAGGAATGATGGTTGTTTCTTTAAAGGCATGTTAAAAATGTTTAGATTAACCTGCTAAATATGATCCTATTAGATATTATTGTCTTAGTTTAAATGATGATACTATAGTTACAACCTGTTAAAATTTAAATAAATCATCTTGCCTCAAGAATCCAAATAGTTTTAAATGTAAATGGGAATAATCTGATTGTATTTAAATTGATACACTCAAAACAACAGATAAGGTAGATTGTTCAATATTAAATTAAAATGCTTGTTATCTTAAATAAGTCAATGTATGTTGGTTTGATCCTGAATTTAGAATGTGCACTGAATTTAACCCTTTTAAAGCTAGATGTGAATTTATTAAAGATTAACAAACACTTTGTAATCTTTCCATGCATGAAAATTGTATTTGGCAAAATCAATAATGTATTAAATAAGATAAAATACCTCCTAATATATGTGTGGGATTGAATAAATATGCTTGTTTAAATCAAAAAGACATACCTTGTGGATGGTCAAGCTAATAAGTATGTGTGGAACTCTAAAATATTCTTAATTTTGGCAATTTTATTTAAAGTGCTTAAACAAATTCAATTTTACAATTCAATTCTTAAACTTGTGCTATGATCACTGAATCTAAAAACTATTTACTTGATAAATAGTTTTAATGTAAGGAAGTGTCTGTAATAGATTTTATAGATTGTAATACTCTTGGTATTAATTAATAGGCTTGTATCTAAAAATCTATAGGAAAATGCAAATATTAAAATAATAGTTGTTAAATAGCATTGGAAACCGACTTTGGTTGTTAAAGTTATTTAAATAAAGAAGCTTGTTTAAATCAAAAAGAAAAATGTTAATTCATTCAAAAATGTGAATTATTTTAAAATCCAACTTTGAGTCTTTTAGAAACAATAAATTACTCTTATTCAGATTATGTATGTCTAATAGTTGATTTAGAAAATAAACAAACAACTAGTCTAATATATTTAAAATCTAAAGGTTAATGTATAAATATTTCAGATTAAGAACCTTCTATTTTAAATTGTTATCTTAGAGGAATTAATAGAAATGCTTGTTTATAAAAAACAGCGGTTTTATGTGAATACAAAGATAATCAATGTTAAGCATTAACTAAATCAAGTTAATCTCCTTGTTCAGATACTTTAAATTGGTTGTCATGTACTTTAAATGAACCTTTATGCAAATTTGAGAATTTTAATTGTAAAGAATTATAAACTACTGATAATTGTGAATCATTAGAATTATCTTAAGCAATTGTTAATGAAAAAGTGTGTGTTAAAACTGATGATGTTCCATGTAAGTATGATTCTAAAACCAGACGTTGTTCCAAAGTAACTAGTAGAGATTAAAAATGTTCAATTGTAGGTTTGAATAGAAAGAGTTGTATCTTCTTTACTGATGGATCAGAATGCAAATTTGATAGTAACTATTGTATTCCATTCTATAAATAAGCCAAATGTACAGATAGTATTAATAAGGATAAATGTCTAAATTTAAGAGATAGAACTCAAAATTGTCAATTTGATTCTACATACGGGTGCTTACAGATCAAAACAGATCCAAAAATATGTCTCAAAGATTTTTAAACTAATCCATCTACATGCTCTCAAGCTACAGACATTCCATGTTACTACAATCTTGATACAAAAAAATGTGAAAATTTCATTAATCCATCTAAATTTGAATCTGTATCTGCAAGCTTAGATTGGTCTAATAGAGTATCATTCAATATACTCACCTGCTAAATGTACGACGTAGATGAAAGAAAAACATTCTGGGATGATGGATGTTAAGAAGCTACACAAAAATATCTAATTACTTTATAATGTAACTAATTCTTAAATTATTACTCATGTGTTAATTTATAAACACCTTTATAATATTGTTAATTTATAAATAATTAATGCTATGAAAAAGATTGGTATTCATTCAAAGATGAAGAATGTGAAACTATTTCAAATATTAATAATGCTAATTTTTGTTAAATTACTACTAATGTAGAATGTAAATACGATCTATTAACTAAAAATTGTAAAAGAGTTCAATCCAATGAAAATATTTAATGTGAAGATGGTTATTCATAACTATATGGGTATAATAAGAAAGCATGTGATTTAAGCAAACTTTGTATATTTATTGACAAATGTCTCTAGTTTGATCATAATAATTTATATTATTGTTCATAAGCAGATTAAGTAGATTAATGTAAAAATATTATTCTAGAGGGATGTTATTTAAATTCATCATAAAAATGCTCAATAATAACAACTGAATTATCTTAAAATCTATAATGTTTTTAAGTGTAAAATAAAGTCGGTTGTATTTAATTATAAACATAAGAATAGAATTGTAGATACTATGATGATAAATGTAATAATGAAAACATTGAAGAATATAAATATAAAAAATGTTTAGAAATTACATAGATAAATAATTATAAATTTTGTGAATAAACCTAAGATATTCCATGTGTATTTGATCCAACAATTAATTCTTGTATTTAAGCCAATTAAGTATCTCAAGATTTAACATGTCAAAGAGGATTAAATAGAAAAGCTTGTATTCCTTTAAATTCAACAAGTAATTATTAATGTTAATTCTTTAAATATTGTTATGGTAATAATTCTGAAATATTGAATTGCCCATCTAATGAAAGCGAATGTTGCTAAAAAGCAGTAACAAAGGAATCTTGTTTATTTTAAACTAAATTTAAATGTTAATGGAATAATAATAGTTGTATATAATATAGAGAATAATATTCTGTATGTAATTCTATTTTTAATGCTTCAAGAAATGTATGTTATTCACTTTTGGATAAATTCTGTATTTTCGATGAAATTAATCATAAATGTAAAGAAATTGTTCCAGAATATTGTGATTAAGTTTAGAATCCTTAATAATGTAGTAGAATTCCTATAATTCCATGCTATTGGAATGAAGATGAATGTTAATTTAAAGAAAAAAATAAAGCAGATTCTTGTTCAAGTATTACTAATACATTTGGCAACTAATAAGCATGCATCTAAGTTGAAAAAAATGGATAAATGTGTGCTTTTATTGATTAACAATGTTAAACATTTAAAGAAATCAAAGATGGCGACAATTGTCTTAATAATATTAATAGAAATGCTTGTTTGATTTAAAGATAGTCAGAATGTTATTGGGATGAAGATGTATCGAAAGATACGAATATATAATATTGCAGGGCTTTTGAGAAATAAGAGAGTTAAAGATGTGAGAAAAATTTAAGTTTTAAATCTTGTTTAAATATAACAACAGCAAAAACTTATTGTTAATGGAGAAATGAATAATGTGAAGCAATAGATATTACTAATAATGACAAAATTATGATAAATTCTTTTTCATACTTAAATCCAAATAGTTGTAGTTTAATAAGAAATAAAAAAGCAATAATGTATGATAAAAAAAGTAATAGATGTTTAGAAGTAAAGGATGTAAATGATCTATCATGCAATCCGAGATAGCTTGGAATGAATATTTATGCTTGTTTATAAGTTAAGAATGAATTATGTAGTTGGGAATAGGAGACATAAAGTTGCTAGGAGATAGAGAGAAAAAAGTTAAAAAATAAAGAAATTCAAGATTCTTCGATAAGTTGTATTAGAGAGGGTAGAAGTGCAAAATCATGTTCTTTATTGAATATATAAATGGGATGTGGAGGTGGCACATATGGTTGTGAATAAGTTGATTTAAATAAAGTGGGATGTGATCATATAGGTTTGAATAAATATGGATGTTTAAATATAAGTAGTTAATCTTGTAAATGGGTAGAAGGTTAAGATGGAGAAATAGATCATTGTGAGGAACATTACCCATTTGGTTTTTGTTCAGAATAACCTGAATAGGTGAATGCAGTGTTATGTTCATTGGTTGATAATAATGATTCATGTGTATATAATAGAGAGTTGAATAAATGTGAATAAGCTAGGAAAGATTATGATAATGTGATTGGTATAAATGGTTATGGATGTGCATAGATTGAGAACTGCATATTTTTAAAAGGGAAATGTATAAGATATAAGTAAGAGTTAAATCTTCGTTGTGAACATGCTGAAATAGCTAATTATAAGGTTTGTTCATAAATAGTTTAAAATGAATGTAAGTATAGTGAACTTAAGAATGGATGTATATCTCCTAGTGATAATGATAGCTGTTAAGAGTTAGGTATGAATTCTTTAGGATGCAATAATAGAAGTCCTTTTTGTTCTTGGGAGAATGAAAGTTGTTAATGTGTTAGATTATTAGAAAATAAAAAAGATTGTTCAGATATATTTGATCATACTGAATGTGAGAACAAAAATTAATGCTATTATGATGTTATTAATTCTTCTAATCTAATTTCTAAAGATTTAATAAAGCAATAGAATTTAGGGATATGCAAATAAAAATAATGTAGTTAAAGAGATAATAAAAATTGTGAAGGTTAAATAGTATATGATATTATTTGTTATTTAGATAAAGAAGGAAAATGTCAAACTGCTAAGGATTGCAGTGATATTTTTAATTCTGTTTCAGAATGTTCAAAGTATTCAATAAAAGATAGAATTTGTGTTGAAAAAGATAATATAAGTAATGTTTCTGAGAATAAAAATTAGAATAGGCAATGTGAAACATAAAAGAAATGTAATTAAATGGATTCAATCACTTGTCAAAAAAATTCAAAAGATTGTATCCAAGTCAATAATTAATGTATTGATAAACTATGTTCTGATTATAAACAATAGACTACTTGTAATATAATGAATTGTTATTGGAGTAAAAGTAACAAAAAATGTATAGAATAACCAAATTGTGAACTCCATCAATCACATGCTGATTGTTAAGATGCATTTTATCAAAATCAAAAATGTGGCTGGTTTAAATAAAAAGAAAATAATATTTGCACACTTGGATGTAGATATCTCCCTCAATATTTTATTAATTGTTAAGGAACTTAAATCAATTAATATGTTTGTGTCAAATCAAAAGGTGTATGTACACAATGTGAAGAAATCACAGATGCTTGTTAATGCTTAGATTAATAAGATTTTTGTTTTTATGATATGCATAAAAATATATGTAGTTCTAAAAATTGCCAAAGATACGATCAAAAAACTTGTCCAAACTCTAGATGCTTTTTTTATTCATCTACAAATGTAATTATCTCACATATTATTTTTAGACATGCTTTCCATAATGTAGATTCAGATACAATAGTCAAGAATGCAAATTGTTTGATAACTGTCTATGGGATTCAGAAACAAACTCATGTCTTGATAAAATCGAATCTCTACTTGAAGAATAAATACCAGATGATTTTATACTAGAAGATTTAAGACCTGAAGAATTTCTAATTCTTATCGGAGTAAAATTAATAATAGCTGTTTCCATAATCAGTCTAATCCTTCTCTGATAAATATCTATTTCATACAAAAATAAACTATACCAAATTTATTTATTAATTAATAATACAATTTTGCAATTGATTTCCCTCTACATTCTTAAATCCTTTTCGTAATTGTATTCAAATTTTCTCTATTCTTTACTCAATTAATTAATACAATATTAGTTGCTTTTTTATAGTATCTTTTCAAAATAGATCTAATAAAAATAATTGCTCATTATGTTCTTACCATCCTTATATTAAAATTTATATTGAAGAATTCATCGCTCATCAATTAAGATATGATATAATAAGCTAGAATAAATATTTAAAATAATTTAAGACAATCTTTCCTATTAATCTATATTCCTACTCTAAAACTGTTCTAACAAAAATTTATTGTCAAAGCAAAATACTATTCCAATACTTAGACTCATTTTACAATTACAATGAATAAAATTAATTAATATTTCTATATAAAATCTTTTTTGTATGTGAGAATATATAATTAATTTTTGAGAAGCTTCACAAATCTTTTTTATTTATTGTAAAATTTATAATCTTATTCATCTATATCAATCCATTCTCATTGAAATTATTATCTTTAATTTACACTCAGAAATCCAATCAAGAAAATAAAATTTAATTCCATTTATATCTTCTCTCACTTATCTCTCATTCATAAAGTTGAAGCCCAGTTCTATTCTATTAAACAATATTTTATTATTATTAAATATTTTCATAAAAAAGCTTCATGTCTCCAATTCAAACATCCTTTCGGTAATTGCTAAATAGAATTTTAATTTACAAAAAATTTAAATAAAATAGAATATTTTATTCTTCAACTTCAAGATTTAAATAGCAAAATCTCATACTTTTGTAAAAAAAACAAAGATTTTAAAATCTTCTATTATTATAATGTTTTTTTATTTGATTAAGGCATATTATAGAATTTAAATCAATGTTTATAAGGTAAAAAAACATTCATAAAAAACAATAATATTTATATTGTAATTAATGGGATAAAATTGGGCAAGCCCTTAACTGATACAACAAAATCTAGTTGACAACTAATAATTCTTAGACTAAGAGATTTAATCGAAATTGACAGATTCGAATGGACCTCATTTAAGACATCTTAAAAGTTTTTCAATTCAAGATGGATATAAAGGAAGAATAATCAATTATGATTGTTAACCAAATTTTCTGAATTTAAAAAGCTTAAAGGACCTCAGCAATTAAAATTCAATAAATACCAATCATTATTAGGATATATTAACTTAATTAATTTAAGGATTATATGAAATGCATAAGAACTAATTTATTGGAAGATCATTCTCATATGAAACTATAACCTATGAATTAGCAGCTAAAAAGCTTGTTTATTTTAATTTTGGTTTTTTTCATTCAGTCGAGCAAACGTAGTTTTCTCCAGAATGTTTATACAAATTGCTATATACTTATGAATCGGATTATTGGTTAGTAGCAAAAATAATGTGGCAATTATTAGTCAAGAAGAGAGATTGTTACAATACAGATATAAAAATATTTGGGAAAAACATTCTAAATTATCAATTAGATGAAATAAAAATTGATCCTTAATTAGGATAGCCAAAAGAATTAATTGAATTGATAAATGAAATGCTTCCAATTTATTGTGGAAGAAGAAAAACAATATCTAAATTATTAGATGAACAATATTTAAAATTGGATAATTAAGGAAGAACTCTAATGAAGTAATTTTATGAAAAATATTCATTTGGATCATATATCTTAAAAATAATGTAATAAACATTTAAGCGTGATTCTTAGAAAATATTTGTATATTATATAGATCTTAAAAATAAAGTTTGTAATAGGTTTGTCAAAGAAATATTTTAAATATTACTTACATATATTGCCCTATAATTAGTTTTCCATTACCCAACTTAAGATAAAAATAAATATCCCTTTTTATTAAGTACATTATCAAAATGTTTAACAACATAGTCTAGAATTTTGAAAGATAAACTTTAAATCATTGAGAAATGGGAACCTTAGGATTCATAAAATTACAAAATTCTTAAAGAGTAAATATTTTAGTCCCATAATTAAGCATGCAGATATGAAAAACATTTACATAAAAAGTACTAAGAGGATTTTGAAAAACTAAGTGATTTATCTCTAGAAGAGAAAATTAAAATTTTGCATTTTAAATTGTCTTAATATAGAGCCTAAGCGTCTAATCCTGAATCGATTCCTCAAAAAATATTATTAAAGTTACTGACAAATTTAAGAGTACAGGAGAATATAAATTGCAAAAATTTAGAAGAAGGTTTGATATAGTATCTAGATAAACTATAAAATGAATAGTGAGTTAATTTAGAATATCAATAAAAATTTGTTAATCAAAATATATTTCTTTTTGCTAAATTAATTGGTCTTCTTTAAATGTCTTGATCTTTAACCAAGCCTGCAGTTCTATCAGTTTAAGAGTATCCACTAAATGCTGACAATCTCTATTTTTATTCAGTATAATTTAAAGGCTATGATGTTACATTTTAAATGTTAGAAACATTGCTTTAAATCTATGAACCACCAATTCTAGATTATTAAATTGATCCTTAATTAATCTGAAATTAATTATGACTTTGTTGATAGTCAGCATTTTATTTCCCAAAGGTTATATGATTTGGCTTATTAGATCCATTTTACTAATCATGTTTCCAATTAGCTAGAACCACATATTACATTTGCTCTGTTTCTATATGTTCCTATTCTGATTAGGGTTAACTTTCATTTTAATATTGGTTATCGGATTAACAGGTGCCCATATATTATTAATGAATAAAAGTAAATAAATTTTATCAATTAATTAGTAAATAATAATGATAATTTCTCAAAGTAGAGCTTTTAGTTTAATTATAGTATTATTGAACCAAGGAATCTCTTTCAATATTACTGGTGTTAAAGCTGTTCTAAAAGTAAGATCCATTATATTTTAAAATATCATAACTTCAGATTGATTTAGTTCTATTTATTTCACTAAAAAAACACTCATTTTTTGACCTATGAATATATGATTTATTAAATACCTTTTTAATCACATTTTAATTTATACTGACTTGGTAATTGATTGTTATTTGGTACTATGGTAATTTGATAAGTAAAATCATTAATTTTTATAATCTCTTAATCACTGACAAAAGCCATTTTCTTAAATGTTGATTTATCTTCCCAAACATAATATTCAACAATAACACTTTTATTTTCATCAATTTATTCCAAGATATCTTTCTAAATCATACCATGAAACCATTATTATTTCAAATCAGTGAATATTTTGATAGCCTTATCTATAGAACATTCAACTGGATGAATTGTTTTTATAAACTAACCTTATAGATGATACATAATATGTCCCTCACATTCTTTTATTAATTATATATATAGCTTACCTTAAACATATTTCCAATTTAGATTCATCTAACTAATCTCTAACAATTAATCAAGTGAAGGTTCTTATTCTAAAATAGCATATTCTATTGAGTTTGATTTAGTAGGTAACAACTCTTAATTGTTTTCAATACTATCTTTTAATTATTTAATTTCTTCATTTATCTTATTCTTATATGTTAAAACATAATTTTCATATTCTCTTATAGCCTCGTCATCATTCAATAAATAGTTAATCATTTCATTTTTTAATTAATTTTATTGTATGTATTTATTTAGAATCATCAATGAATCTTATTTACATAACTTTTATTATCCACATATGTGATATTAAATTTTCATTGTTCTAAACTATTTTATACTTATTTCACTGAATAATTTTATAGCTTATTCGGCATCTATTAAATAAACTTTAATTTCATTACTTGGATTGTAATCAAATTCAAATATTTTCCTAAAAAACTAAAATCCATTTATGCAACTTATATGACTTTATATGTCATTATTCTATATTGATAGTGCTTACATAATTCCTTGAAGTTCTCTTTCATCATCTCCTATCAGTAGGACTTTTAAAAGAAGAGGAGATATCTATTAAATTTTACCAAAATAGTACTTCTCCATTTTTCTAAAAATTACAACCAAATAATTTACTAAAATATTTTGCCTCTTTCATCAATTTAATTATTTAATTTCTATAGATAATGAAATATCATTTATTCAGCCTAATTATTCGGTTATATTTTTTTTGGGCTTGTATCCAAAAGATCTTATAAAGCATTTTCATCTTTACTAAATTAATGCATTTTAACATTTTAATCAAAACCACCTTTTAAGAATTATTCTAAATTTTTTTATGACTCTTATAAATACCTTTAATTTTTAGAAAATCTAAAAATATGTATAATGAATGGTCTAAATTTTATATTAAATATTATAAAAATTCTAATTACATTCTTAATTTACTTTCAAGCATTTCTTATCTTTTTGCTATTGTTTTTCTAGAATTCGTTTAAATTACTTTTTTTGAAGGGAACTTGGGCATATTCTTCTAAGATTTTAGTAGCTAACTTCTTTTTATATTTTTACTGAATCATATAATTTCTCAAATTCAGAATATCTTTTTGGAATCGTATAATCTGTATAATCTGTTTTTATTTAGATTACGTAATTCACAATATGGTTTTTTAAAATGGATGTTCGATCTTCTTCTTTATAGATTTTGATAATCCCAATCTCTTTAATCATGTGATGATTGACAATTAAAGCATACAATTCTTTAGCATCATATTCTTTCTTATTTTATTACTTTGACAATACAGTTGGTTTTTCTGATTGTTATCTAAAGAATGCCGGTGCAGATTCATTTGTAAAGCTCTATGAAAGGATCTATTTCATATAAATATTAATAAAATTTACAATTATTATTATTTACAACTTAATTGAAGTGTTATTTTAAATTATTTCATAATGTGTTAGGAAGCTATTTTAACATGGTTTAAAAAGATTTTAAATGTTGACTGTGGTAATCTCTACATAGACTTAATCGATGGAATCATGGTTGAAAAGCTTCTAAACCTATTCAATCATAACCATTTTCCAATCAAAGTAGAATAATGTACAGATTCTTAATTTGTTTTCAATTATGCAAGGATCAAATCAATTATCGAGAATATGTCAAACTTTGATTCTACTCTTTAGGTGATTACTCCTTTAAAGATAGTAGAAGGAAATGATGAAAATGAGTTAAATAAATTTATTTATAACATCATCAAGGTATTTACTTTTCATATATAAAGTTTAGATTATCTATGATTGGAACAAGGCCAAAGAAGCTCTGAACCACTTGAGGAATGATTAAATTTAATACATTTTAGATTTCTTTAGCAAAGAAGATTTCAATTATTAATAACAATTATTGTACAAGTAATTGATTGAGTATGAGACAATTAATAATAAATAAGAAATTTAGATCAAATAACTTGAATAAAAAATTTTAATTTTAGAAGAAAATATTCTAAAATTATAAAATCTCTAATAAAGCTTGAATGAAGAAAACAATTCATTGAAGGAATGTTAGTATTTTATTATTATTCTTTTAGAAATTGAAAAGCTTAGAATTAATGAATTAGGTTATGATTGTAATTTCACAATAAATTATTTAAAATAAGAATGTTTAAATTTGTAAATGATTATCACTAATTTAGAAAAAAGAAATGAATTGTATGATATATTAATATATATATCTAGGCAATAATAATAGATTTAAATTTTAATTCAGTTTGAATAAAAATCTAAGGATTTAGAATAAGAATTGTAATACTAATAAAATAAAAAAATTGTCATTGATGAATTGTAGGAAAAGAATTAGATTTTAAAAGATCAAGTTAAAGTATATGATAACTATTCAAAGATTCAAAAAGAAAATATAAATACATCAAATTAAAATACTACAAACCATACCTTATGCGAACAAGAAATATTTAAATTAAAAAATACAATTACACAATTAGAATAATAAATCAAGAATTAATTTTAAATGAAATAATACACTTAAGAGACTCCAAAGATTCCAAAACCAAAAGTAAATAGTTTATCAGAATAAAAATAAAAAAAATAATGTTGTTTTGATGATAAACTTTAGAAATAGAATGATATGTTAAGACAGATTATTTCCAAATTTGAAATATAATAATAATCTACTTAGCCTTTTATGAATAAATGTTAAAGAGGAAAATCATTAAATAATTGATTATATAATTAAATTGTTAATATATTGATTTGATTAATAAATATTAGAACATAATCTAATTATTTAAGAAATTATTTTAAAAAAATAAAATTTAATTATATTTTTTTAAATAGTTCAATCATATTGATTATCAAAGTGAAGTATTATTTAAATTTTAAAACGAATATAGATAGAAAGACAGAAATGGATTTTTAATAAATTTAATAATAAAATTTATTGAAATTTAGTAATGAGCATTTAAGATATATTATTTTAAACTGATTAGAATGAATTGATAAAAAAGATGAATAATGTAGTTTAATAAAATAATATAATTATTCTCAATGAAAAGCTATAAAAATAAAATAATATAAAACATATAATGGATAAAAATAAATAATTATAGAAATTAAAAATAAATGCTAATTAAGGATTGTTAAATAATATATTTAATATTATTATACTAATGATCATTTTTTCTTTCCTTTTTTACCTCCTGCAGCTCCTCCAGCAGCAGCTCCTCCTGCTGGTGCTGCTGCAGCTGCTGCTGCTGCTTTAGCTGCTTATTATTTTTTGATTGCTTCCAAATTTGCCCTAATCTAAATATTATTAATAAATTCTTACAGTTGCTTCATCCATTCTAAATGTTTAATGACATGTTCCACAATAATGTCTATCAAAGTGTTTAGCCATATATACTCCTTATGGGCATTATGGGCATTATTTATGAGATCTTTAAACTGTACCTTTGTTATCAATTGTATATAGCTTAAGAGTAGCCAATTTGACTTTTCGATGTCTATGCTTCTTCTTTTTGGGTTTAGCAAAATTCTTCTTCTTCTTCTTCTTCTTTTTACCTCCTTCTGCATCAACAGTTACATAATAAATGCTTTCACTTCCTATAAATAATATGTAATTATTATTACCTAATAATGCAGATGCCGCTATAGATTCTCCAGCATTGACCAATTAAATTTCACAACCCAATTCACATTGAATTAGTTACATCAAATGACCAGCTGAGCTTTAATCAGCTAAATCATATAGTTTTACTTCACCATTAAGGTGACCAACTTTTATGATCATTTTTAAAATTAAAGATTTTAATTTAAAATAAATGAAAAGAAATTTATATTTATTGAAAAAAATACTTCATTTCTATCTATGAATAATTAACTTATTATACACATTTATTCAAACTAATAAAATATTTGGAATCATTTCAAAACTGAAAATTGACATAGCCCTCATTATTATTATTTTATAGTATATAATCTTAAACTAATAAAATAAAATTCTAAATATATCTTTATCAAAATTTGATTTTGCAATCAATAAATCACTCTTTTTTTATATTTACTATTTTTATATTATTAAATCCTAATCTACGCATAGCCATAACAAAATATCGATATTTACTTTATTTTCCTCTGATAATCCTTATTAAATATTATCATAACCATTAGAATAGATTCATTTTCCATAATCAATTTAATTTACCAAATCAAAGGTTTACAAAATATTAAATAGTATTAAAAATACACTATTTTATATTATCTTACATTTCTATTATTTATATAAGAAAGTGGATCAAAATCAAAGTTTTACATATGCAGATAATTAAAAAATTAATGATCATTTTGATTGAATTCATAAAAGGTGTTACTTTTTAACTCATATTCTAAATTTTATTAAGATTTGAATTAAAAGCTATTTATTTAAACTAACCAATTAATCAATTAATAACTATTAATGTTAGAATCTATATTTGGATAAGACTCAAACTTAAAAGTTCCTTTAAATGTTTTCTGGTAATCCAAAAATATTATTCATTATCTGTTGCTTGAATAAATACTGATTATCTTTTTATTAATTTATTTTAGATCTGAAATTTTATTGATATTTTTTATTTTGAATTAATTATATATGACTTCAAATCAACTAACTTTTTTCTTTAAAATCTTATTTTGGTAATTATTACTATTAAATGAAGTAATGTTCAAATTTAGTATTATGTACTTCATTTTCAAAAATTTTTTTGGTTATTTTATAATAATCTCTAATAAAATTCAATAATTAATATTTGTTGGATTCAATATCAATAACATAATTATTTCAACTTGATCTTAATCTTCAAAATATTGATTGTTTAATGTATTTTATGGTAAACATGGTTAAGAATCTGACAATTCTGATAGTTTTTGTATTTGATTAATCGAGAAAAAATATCATTTTCTCTTTTAATTAGTTCTTTGATTTTTTGTAATCTCTAATCATTAATTAATAATTCATTAATATCTTGATTATTTTTGCTCTATTGTTAAGAGAAATATACAGATGATTAATCTTAATGAATTTTTCTGTATCTATTTAGAGATTTCTAACTTTGTCTTGGCAAATTAATTGATGAAGACTTGATTGTGTAGAATAGTGAGTAGATTTAAAATTTTGATTTTTAGTAATAATCTTAAATGAAAATTGGAAGTGTATTCTACAACAATTATTTACAGAAATAATTTTTGAAGAATCATTTCTTAAATATGCTTATTATGTAAAATAAAAATATTGAATATTATATCTATTAATGCAACAATCGACTTAGTTACTTGTTATAGTAGCGAATATCTTAGATGAAATAATTAAAGAGACTGATACTTTAGAAATTGAGTAAGAATCACAATCATATTTTCATGCTAACAAAGCACCTTCAATATCTATTCACAATTACTTACAAAGAATTGCAAAATATACTCATTGTAGTGAATAATGTTTTGTTATAGCATTGATCTACTTAGATAGGTTATAAGAAAAACATCCTTATTTAGTGCTTAATTCTAAATGTATACATAGGTAGCTTAATTTAAATTATCAAGATTCCTTTTGTTAGCTATTATGATAGCCATAAAATATTAAGATGATGATTATTATAAAAACGAATACTACGCAAAAGTTGGTGGTGTTAGTGTTAGAGAGATTTTTATTCTTGAATAAGAATTCTTAGAATTAATGGACCATCAATTATTTATAGACGAACAATATTATTTTTTATATGAAAAGAAATTGCTAGAATATGGAGAGATCGAAATGCCTTGATAATTTTGTTTATTTGTTTATTATTTTGTGTTTTAATTGTTTTGAACGAAATATTACTATAAAGTTTTCATATTTATATCTTAAGGTGTTCTTGGTAAATGTTTGATATTATAGATATAATAACAAACTTATGATAAATTTTTATATTTTTTAATTTATAGTTTATGAATTTTTCAATAAATAAATAAATGATGAAATCAAGATAACAAAGATTCTCTTGAATCAATCCAGATTTAATCTCTATCCGAATGTTTAGTTAATAATAACAACAAATGAATCTAAAATGATATTTATTGTTACTTTTCTTGATTATTTCAATAATTTTGTGATTTAACTATTTGAAGTTATTAATTTGTATTTAGTATTTGACCAAGGATTAGCTTTATAATACAATAATAATTAAACTATAGAGCTATTTTGAGATTGAATAGCATAATAAATTGGAGAATATCCTTTGAGATCTTAATTATCAGGATAGGCACCACTTTATAACAATCTTTCAGTCATATCATAATGCTAATGAATTATACTAATATGTAATGGTGTTTAACCATTTTCATTAATGTCAAAAGCATAATATCTACATTTTTAAAGCATAAAATTAATTAGAATACAATTATTTTCTTCAACTGCTTCAAAAAATTAAAAAGATCCTTCTCTTTCATATGGTTTTTTTTAAATAACACCATGTTAAAATAATTCTTTTATAGTAAGTTTCATTTATTTCATTTTCTTAACGCAATCTACAATTAAATAAAACATTTTCTTGAATATTGATTTAACTTGTTCACTATAAATATCATTTGACCTTTTTTTATATTTTTAGGAGGATTTTATTGATTATATTACACTTTATTAAGATTAAATTTATTATTTAGGCTTTTCTTAATGTTCTTTTTCAACTTGATGTATGAATCTTTTTAAAAAGGTTGTTGATATTCTCATTTTATTTTTAATTGAATTGACTCGAGATGTTTCTTCTGATAATTATCTTAATTAAATTTCATCTTATTTTACTTTTTCTTCTAAAAAAGTTTTCTTCTTATCAAAATATTATTAAATTATAGTTTATAATTTTTTTTCTGGAGTAGTTGGGTGTTAAAATGATTCTTCGAGAAATTTTAAATTTCTTGTAAATGTTTCTCTTTCTTTATTTTTAATCCTTATAGGAATACGTTTATCATTAATGGCAAGCATTTTACCAATTTTTTCTTTGATGTCCTTAGGATGCTAAGTTTCTAAACGTTAATATTATTATATTTCATTTTCAATAGTAGATGTAGCTTTTGAGTCTTCAACAGTTTTTCTTCTCATAATTTTATTATCCATATTTATTAATGCTAATGCTTTTGAAAATGAATTACTTGCTTGTCCATTCATAATTGCTATCTATTTAACTATTTTGTTAAATAATGAATACATTAAAATTCACATAATCAATTGTAGGTATATTGGAATGCCTCTTTTAAATGGAGATTCTTTTATTTGTAATTTCAAATTCATCTTCCATTCTACTTTCAATTTTACGAATTCCAATTTTAGGAGTATTAGAATTTAATGATTAATTTTATGGTTATGAAGATTATTTCATTCTACGACTTGTTTAAGCTCTTTTATGACTTTGTTAAATGGTCACATTCTAAATTTATAAAAGAATGACTTACATTAAATTAAGCAAGAGGTTCACTTTATTACATTTTACTTTTTCCTTCTCTTACTGATGTTTTTCTTTTTATTGTAAATGATTTTTCAGTCTTACCATCTATGTAACTATATTCAAAGGTATCAATAAATAATGGCTTGAAAACATAGTTGAATTTACTCATTTTATATAATTTAAGTTTAAATATTTTATTTATTAATATATAATCAAAACTCATAAAAAACTCTACAATAATTAATCCAAGTTTATTATCTAGTATTATAGGGTGTCATCATCAACAACATATCAAGCTAAACATAAATAATTACATATTTACTCTTCTTGCTATTTTAAGCATTTTAGTCAATGTTGGGTCATCAGTTTCATAAGTACAACCAGGATAAGACCAAGGATTACATTTATGTGATAACAATAATTATACTAATTCTTTTTAATTATTTATAAGTGCATAATAGAGTGGAGTTCTGTTACTAATATCTCTTACATCTGGATAAGTTCCATGATGAAATAACATTTTTGCTATTGATAGATGTCCTTTTCTACAACAAATATGTAATGCAGTCTAAAAGTTTTCATTTAGATCAAAAGCATAAAATCTGCATTTATCAAGCATTAATTTTACTAAATCTTAATCATTTTTAGTCACTCCTTTAAAAAATACATAAGAACCTTCTCTTTAATATGGCTTTTTTAATATTGTCCTACTTTATAATAATAATTCAGGTTCCAATTTCATGAATCTTAATTTCTTCACACAATCTAATATTAATGCTCTCATTTTTTCTAATTTCATCCTCACTGTTGTACTAAATACAGCTCCTATCTTTCTTTTTTTTTATGGATCCTTTTTTGTCCTTATTGCTTATGCCCAATATTTATATGATTCTTTTAATAATTCTGGATCTTATTTCTCTTTATTCTTTAATTATTATGAAACACCAATAAATTCTTTAAAAAATGTAGATGAAATCTTTAAATCTCTTTCTGCTGAACTTGTGTATAAAATTGATCTTTTTGATATATTAATATCATCAACCCTTTAAGAAAGTCGTTAAAGATGAACACTTTTTCTTGATAAATAATTTTAAACTTTATCTTATATTTATTAGTCTGCATTATTTTGTTATGATCTTGATTATTCCTCTTATTATTATTTTTACTTCTCTAATTATTATTTTTCTGATCCTAATTTTTAAGCCTTTGGACTTAATTAAGGACTTTCAACTTTTCTAAAAAGTTAGCCTTAGTCTAACATTGATAAAACCTGCTTTTTCATCTACTTTTAATGGTATGATTTATGTTATTAAGTAAACATTTCAGCAAAACCATTTATTTTATTTTATTTTCTTAATAGCTTGTTATCTTATATAATTAGCTATCTCACTTTTTGATTAGTATGACTATTCAAAGGCTTTTCTTTAATCTAATTTCTTCAAATTTATACATTAAACTCAATATATTATTGCATATTAATATCTGAATTTCCTAATTTTTGATTCAACGTCAGTTACCTTTTTGATTTCTTCTTATCTGTAGTAACAGGCTCAATGTGAAATGATTAGCTAGCCACCTTTTATCTAAAGTAAGGATAGTAATCAACTTTTTTTTTTATTGAAAATGATTTCTCTTCACCTCCCAATCTGTACTTATATTAACAAGTTTCTATGAGTAATGGTTTGTAAATCATAATATAATTTATTATTATTTTTAAATTAAAATAAACTAATCCTAATTCATTTTTAATATATTTAAATTTTGAATAATATAACAAACTTTCTTTATTAATACTAATCAAATCAACTTCATCTAAAAAAATAGTTGACTAAAACTAATCATTCGTAATTAAAATTTTTGTTATTCTCGTAAACTAAATTCCAGAACAAATGATAATATAAAGAATGTAATAAATGAAAATATACTAAAATAAGAACATTAAAATCTTCATGTTTTAAAGATTATTTCATCAAAACTTTTTTAAAACAAGCTTGAAGTCAATTTCATTAAGTAGTTTAAAATTCTAAAACATTTGAATAAATAGAATAATATAGAAATAGTCTTTTTCACACTTTTCTTTTAAATATAATTTTATTCTTAAGAAACTAATTTAAATTTTTGATCTTTTTTTTTTATATATTTGATCAATAAAAAAATAGAAAGTCTAATAATAATTTAAGTTTTAAATGATTACTAATGATATAAGTAAAATTTGCAATAAAACAATATTTTGTCGAGAATAAGATTGTTAATAAAGTCATTAAAGAAAATTTGTTGGAATATGTTTGGAATATTTGAAATAAGAAAGTGATGATGAAGATGATTAAAATTATTATAAAAAAAAATGTTCTAATCCTCATTGTTAACTATATCATTTTGATAGTATTAAAATGCATTTATTGCTTTAAATGTCTTCAATAAATGGTATATGGTTATATAATTTATGCCCTTAAAAAAATTGCAATTTTGTATAATGTTAATATCTACATAAAAAATGGGCCTAAGATGTATGTATGAAATTTATGTTAACAGGATGCAAAAAATTATAATGTAAAAAGCACATTGATTGGTGTAAACTTAGAGAAGAGGTATATAAATAATATAATGTTTCTGAAATAAATCCAGAGAAAATTAATTAGAAATAAGAAAATAAATATATTATTCATTTAAAGAATTAAAATTTATGCATAGAAAATTTAAAAGGTATTTGCCCAAATTTAAAATGTAAATAAATACATTGTGATTGGGAAGATATTCCATATAAATCTTGCTTTAAATAATCAGTTTATCCCTGTACTAATTAAATTTCTTAGAATAATTTTATAGAGGCAGCATAAAATATATAAATTTAATAATTATGTGATAAAGAGAAATTGATAAAATTATAAAGGGAAATAAATTAAGCTAATATCATAGATGTAATATTTATATTAGATTTAACATTGTCAATGAAACATTGGTTGAATACTATAAAATGTGAAATTACTAATATAATTTATCAATTCAAAGAAAAGATCAATGGATATGGAATAAGAGTAGGATTTGTTGGATATCGAGATGTATGTGAAGCTGAAGACTAAATAGTATGTAGATGTTTAACTGATAATTTTGAAGAAATAACCAGATTTATTTAGGATTAAGAAGCTAAAGGTGGAGGTGATTAAGCTGAAGATGTTATTTCTGGATTAAAATAAGGATTAAAATTAAATATATCTTTACATCCAGATAGTATTTTATGTACATTTTTAATTGCTGATGCTCCTTGTCATGGTAAATAATATCATCATGAAGATATTTCAGATGATTTACAAGATTAAATTGAACCTTAAAGTTTAGAAAATATAATGAAATAATATAAGCAAGTAAAGAAGCTTAGTTTTTTCACTTGTTTTAAAATAAGAGATTCAACTGATTTAATGTTTTAAAAAATGTAAGAAGGATTTCCTGATCTGATAATAACTAGAAAAAGTTAGCCAAGTGATTTTCCTTAATTAGTTACATTTGCTCTTGAATCATCAATTTCAATAACCTTAAATCAATAGGACTCTCCCTTAAGATCTTAATTTTTATATACAGAAGCTAATTTTATACAACCAAAAATTATTAATTACGATATTTCAAAAAGATACTAAAAAAAATCATAATTTTGGGAAAATTTTTCTGTTTATGTTGATGAAAATTAAAGAAGTGGTGCCACTGCTTTAGAAATCAAATTATAACCTGAAATTACTTTAGCAAATCCATAAAATGAAGCTTTAAGGAATACTTATGTTTTTTAAGTTTTTGATGCTATTAATAATAGATATATGGTTGCTAAATTATCCAAAGAGCATGTTAAAAAATATAGAGAAAATGAATTAACAGAAAATGATATTGAAATTGCTGAAGAATAGGCAAAAACTAGATATTATGTTGCTGCATATGCAAATGAATTAGCATTTCTATTTAGATAAAAAACAAAAGAATTTGATGGTATACCTCCAATTTTTTATGTCACACCTATTCTTTATAAATTGGAAAGTCCATTTTATGGAGTAAAGTAATTATATGCAGAAACATGCATTAATTAAGCAAAATTTAAATGGAAAAAGTATACAGATTATTATTTTTATTCTTCTTTTAGCCATTTTACTTATACAGAAACAGAAGGAACTCTAGTTATATTAGATTTATAAGGATCAGATAATATTTTAACTGATGCTTCCATATAAACCTTAGAAAATAAAATTCCAATCTTAGAGAAGGATCACACAAATTAAAAATAAATAGGAATAACTATTTTTTTAAATTAATAACACTAATAATGTAGTTTAATATGTTAAATGCTTAAATTATCAAGAAAGAACTTTTCAATTTAAAATCCAGAAATTAATAAAAATTTATGGTAATTATAGGATCACCAAATGGTTTTAGTAATATGTGAATCATGTTTACAATTAAGATCATATTCTTTAGATTAATTTAAATAAATGAATGAAATTAAATGTGATAATTGTAGAGATTTATAAAAATAACCAATACAGTCATTATGTAAATGTTGTTTAAGTTTATATCCTCATGACCCTAATGAAGATTTATAAACCTTAACTGTTTATGGTTTTTGTAAAATATGTAAATCAAATTGTCTTCAAAGAGCAAGTGCATGTATATACTGTTCAAATTATTGCACATTAAAATTAAAATAAATTGGTACATTCCAAAAATATATTTGCGTAATAGGATATTAATACTTATAAACACTCTATTGTAAGGATTGTTAAACAAAATATCAATTTTAATTTATTCTTTCAGAACAAGATTACAAAGATGGAAATTTTATATGTTGTTAGAAAAAATGACAAAATATTTTTTATTTTTTTGTAAACTCATTTATTTATAAATTTATATAACTTTTAGTTTTAGAGATTCTTCTTAATAAATTATTTAAAGCTGAACATTGGAATCTTTAAGTCTGATTTTTAATATCTTAATTAAAATTATTCTAATATATAAATATCAAATTAAATAAGTATTCCATCAAGATTAATTCATAATAATTTATATGAATATAGTTTATAATTATTAAGAAAACTGAGAATATCTTAAAATATTACACATTTGAAATTCAAAAGTTAAACTTCTTAGAAACTTTAGCTTTTTTATTTTCTTTATATTCATCTTTTTAAGGTAGGTGTATTTATTTTTTAATCACTAAATTTATTTCTATAATCATTTTTAATTTTTCTTAAAAGCATAACACTTTTTCTTTTTTCTTCTGATGAAATGATATTTATTATCTTCACATTTCCATAGTTTGTTATTTAATTTTATTGTATTTCTTTTAGTAAAAAAGGTGATGTTTTGCTGCTTCATGAAAATATTAAATAATTTTGATTTATAGCCAGAATTTAAAATATGATTTTTCTTGCTTGCTTGTTTCTTCGAGATATTTAGTCTAAAATTAAAAACTTTTATTTCTAGATTATCTATTAATTCTCATTTTTTTCTCCTATTCAATTTATTAAAATTATTTTTATAAAAAAAATTATTGATAGAATTTATAAATTATATAATTGATATTATAAAATAGGATTGAAAAATATTAATGTAGACTATTATTATTTCTATTATTTCTGTATAAAGATGAAAAAATTAAGTACACAAATTTTGTTTAATTTAGAAATGATGGCTAAGGTTCCTATATGATTTGATTTACTTTTATTTTTGATTTCCTTGTTTAAACTTTTGTTTTTTAACAAATTTTCAGGAATTTATTAATTCCCAATATAACTTGATTTTCTTTAAATATATGAACTAAAATTTCTTTTAATGACTCTAAACCTTTTTAAGCTTTTAATAGAAATAGAAAATTATTTTACTTTATTATATTAAATATGTAATTAACATAATATATCAAGTATTAATTATTTTATATAAAAATTAGATCAAACTAGATTATAATTTATTCTTAAATTGAAGATAAAAAAAAATCTCAAAAATAAAAAACAATCAAGCCAAATAGAGTTACTTTTATAGAATCCTCACCAAGAACTGGGTGTTCGATGTCTGTTATGTTGATTTCTTATTATTTAGTTATGCATTTTCCCTCCTTCCACACGCAATATTCTTATTTTTGGCANTTAAAATTATTCTAATATATAAATATCAAATTAAATAAGTATTCCATCAAGATTAATTCATAATAATTTATATGAATATAGTTTATAATTATTAAGAAAACTGAGAATATCTTAAAATATTACACATTTGAAATTCAAAAGTTAAACTTCTTAGAAACTTTAGCTTTTTTATTTTCTTTATATTCATCTTTTTAAGGTAGGTGTATTTATTTTTTAATCACTAAATTTATTTCTATAATCATTTTTAATTTTTCTTAAAAGCATAACACTTTTTCTTTTTTCTTCTGATGAAATGATATTTATTATCTTCACATTTCCATAGTTTGTTATTTAATTTTATTGTATTTCTTTTAGTAAAAAAGGTGATGTTTTGCTGCTTCATGAAAATATTAAATAATTTTGATTTATAGCCAGAATTTAAAATATGATTTTTCTTGCTTGCTTGTTTCTTCGAGATATTTAGTCTAAAATTAAAAACTTTTATTTCTAGATTATCTATTAATTCTCATTTTTTTCTCCTATTCAATTTATTAAAATTATTTTTATAAAAAAAATTATTGATAGAATTTATAAATTATATAATTGATATTATAAAATAGGATTGAAAAATATTAATGTAGACTATTATTATTTCTATTATTTCTGTATAAAGATGAAAAAATTAAGTACACAAATTTTGTTTAATTTAGAAATGATGGCTAAGGTTCCTATATGATTTGATTTACTTTTATTTTTGATTTCCTTGTTTAAACTTTTGTTTTTTAACAAATTTTCAGGAATTTATTAATTCCCAATATAACTTGATTTTCTTTAAATATATGAACTAAAATTTCTTTTAATGACTCTAAACCTTTTTAAGCTTTTAATAGAAATAGAAAATTATTTTACTTTATTATATTAAATATGTAATTAACATAATATATCAAGTATTAATTATTTTATATAAAAATTAGATCAAACTAGATTATAATTTATTCTTAAATTGAAGATAAAAAAAAATCTCAAAAATAAAAAACAATCAAGCCAAATAGAGTTACTTTTATAGAATCCTCACCAAGAACTGGGTGTTCGATGTCTGTTATGTTGATTTCTTATTATTTAGTTATGCATTTTCCCTCCTTCCACACGCAATATTCTTATTTTTGGCAATCTTCAGGAATTGAAGTATAATCACATGATTAAAAGCACTAAATAAAAAAAAAAATATACATCTTTTATAAATCTACAGTAGTTTTTTGAAATACAGTCTTTTTCCTGTCCAAAATTATGACAAATTTAGGATTCGCATTTCATTTTATCATAATTATATTTGCAAAAATTATCATATGTTAGACAAATGCAAAGGCTAGATATTTCTTCGCATGATACACAAGTTTCATCAGATATTTGAACACAAATATAATTATCATATAAAACCCCTGAACATACTGGTTGAGTTGATAAATATCTACATGGTACATCAGTACAAATAGAATGTTCATTAAATTAAGTCCAATAACATTTATTATTTTAATAGTACATTTACTAGCACAAATCTTAATCTTATATTTTAGAACATTCGATCTATTCTTCACAAATATTTTCTTTCGTATTCCAAAAACAGTTTTTACTTGAACATGTCGATTATTTCATATCTATACATTAAAGAAATTTACAGGATTTTTCAAATTTACAATATTAAACATATTTTGAACAGTTTTCTTCATCAAGTAATTCACAATTTAGTGAATCACATTAATTTAGATTGGAATTTAAGATACAAGGTTAAAGATTAATAGTTGGACAGCTATATAATGGTTATTTAATATCTTAACAAGATTTAGCAGATTTACATTATTCTACATTATTTAAATAACAATATGAATGATTGAATTAAAAACCATTACAATTATCGTAAGGAAGATCTTCGCATTATTTCCAATCACATTAATTATTTTATTTTACAATACAATGATCAAAAGAATTACATATTTTATGATTTTCAATTTAATTACAATTTTAATCTATAACATTTGAGCATAGACATTAATTATATTTGAAATAACAATTTATTTATTGTTAACAACCTGATTAACTTAATCCTTTAATTTCACATAATTCTTCTGTAGCTTAAGAACAACCAAATGTTAGTTCATTGAATTTGCAAGAATCCTAAGCATTTTAGCAAACTTTATAATTAGCAATAGGATATTAATTACAATCATAATGTTGATTTTATACTTTTTGACAAAATCCTGTAAATACACATTCATCAATTTAAATGCAACCAAAAATATTTAAACTCATTGTATCGCAAGTAGCTTCAGTAAGATTTGGAATATCACATTTTTTATTTTTAATATCGAAATAGCAAGCATCTTGATAAACTAATTAACATACTTTCGGATTAACATCCTTAGGTACCAATAAACATGAAGTAACAGGGAAATAATCATCACAATAATAATTATTAGTTTGATTATTAATCTTCCAAATACAAGGAAAATTAGAAATATTTAAACAAGCATATTTATTTAAACCAGGATGTGTACAATTAATAGTATTAATATCAACTAATTGACATCCCTAATTAGAATATCCACATGGTTAATTTATATCAATTTTAGTACAAGAAATTGAAGTCCAATAAGATCTTTCACAATGATCATTAGTATTAAAAATATCTATATAATAGCATTTCTTTTAAATAGTATTCCAAGAACATGGTTAATTTTTAATAGCTAGACATGCTTCTTTATTTATTCCCAGAATTTCAGGTTTACAAGTCAATTCATTTATATTTTCAATTATTACACATCCATTAATAGATTATTCATATCTAACCTTATTTCCATTACTAACTAAACTGCATGCATTTTAGTTAATTTAGGCAAGTTAATTAGGAAGATTATCAGTGATTGATTAACATTAAAAATCTTTCCATATACAATGTTATCCAGGTTTTCTTACTTTTAAACATGCTGTATAACTAATGTTCTTTGAACATTAAATTTAATCTATATTAGTAATAGGTATACAATGACCCTATACAACATCTTCTTCATCTTAATAGAAATATTTCTTAACTCTATATACTTGCTCATTCCATAAACAATCACTTATAGTTTGTTATAAGCAAGCATTTTTGTTTATTGTATCTAAACAATTATTTACATTTTCTTACTAAATAAATAGAAGACATTCTTCATCTTTGTAAATACACATTTAATTGTGTACTTCAACATTCATACAAGATCTTTGATTTCCAGAAGATTCTGTTACAAATTAACAACCTAAATAAGCTGATTCTTCTGAATACTGACATTTATCTTCTTTCATATCCCATATACATGAAACAGACTTCATTCTTTTACATTATTAACTTGATTAAGAATAACCACATGTAGTTGGTTACTGAGTTTAACATTTATATTCACTAGATATGTATACACATAGAGTGTTTTTTATTGAAGCACAAACCAAAAAGCTAGCATTTATTATTTTATCACATTCTGTTATTCTATTTTATAAACTTTAACATCCATCAACTGTCCATTCACATTCATAAATCTTTTGATTAAGACATGTATCTTTTTAATCTGCTTCTCTGCAACACCTTTCAGCATCTTTAAAAGTACAATTCAAGATTCCATTATTAGGACCATAACAATAATCAAGGAAAGAACATAATAAACTTTTTGATGTCTGAGTTAAACAAGCAATCTTATTTAATCCTCTTTCACAAGAGAACTCTTCCTAAGGATATACATTCCTGCAAGCATTATTCTTTAAATCAAAAGTACAGGGAATGTCCATTGCCTATTCACAGAATTAATAGTGATTAATATTCACTATGCTTAAACAGCTCATTTCACTAAATTATTTTACTACTTATGGCTTGCATTGTTCTCCATCAAATTAACAATATTGATTTTATGTTTGAATGTTAACACAACCATGCCTATTCACAGCTTATTCACATTTAATGATGCTGTAAGATTAATAATAGATTTTTTTGCATTAATTAGATTCAATTAAGCATCCTTCATTTGTAACTTATTTGCATTGAAATTTACTATCATTTTTGATATCTTTACAAAATTAATATCCGGTGTGATTCAATCTGTAACAATTTTCATCAAAAATACAATTAGTTTTATCAATTTCACAACCTGTTTTATTTAATCCTTTTTCTTCAGGATCTTTTTCAACACAACTTATAATTTAAGTTTCAATTAGTTCACATTTAAATAATGATTTATTATATTAACATGGAGGAGTTAAAGCATTTAAAGAACAAAATGCTCCTGAATTAATATCTTTAATTTAATCACATTTTTGATATTTAAATTCTTCTAAATTAGCATTGACACATCTATTATTTTAATATTAACAAAACTAAAAAGGAGTCTTTATACTTAAACATGCAATTTTATTTAAAGAAGCACTGCATTTAAGGTAGACCAATTAAGAGGATTTAACTACTTAACAGGTTTCTTACCACATGAGAGCTTTTAAATCGTTAAATATTTCACATGTCATTTAATTAAATGAATATATATTTGATAAGACATAATTTTATTAATAACTGGATTAAGTTTTTTCAGTATAAGGAATACATTTTTTATTTTATTTATCAAAAAAGCATGGAACATCAGTACTTCTTGAGCAAGTAAAAGGATTAGTTTATAATTCATCTTTATAACATATAGATAGATCAACCTTAGTAGTATCAATATTTCTACATCCAATTTTTTTATCAAAATAACAATATTGTCCTTTGGTGATTAATGATAAACACTTATCTTCATTAATATCATCAGTACATTGAAGATTACCAAAAGATGTAATACATTTTGAATTTTTGAATTCACAATTATATCCTTAAGTAATGAATAAGCATCCCTTATAATTAAGACCTGGACATTTTTAAGGTGTGGTAATAACTTCGCAATTTTGAGTACTATAATTAAACATACATGGAGTATCTCGGTCTCTTAAACATGCTCTATAATTAACTATAGATTTATTTTAAGATAAGTAGATGCAATTATCATTATCATCAAGTGGAATACATTAACCCAACATAAATTTACATGCAACATTTAATCTAACACATGAATATTGATTTAAAGTAGGTTTACAGGTTTTTAATACTTAGATTTCCTTTAATTCCATCTTTCTACATGAACCATTGATGAATTCACAATATTGAGATGTTTTCAATAGACATGAGTACTTATTCATTCCAACATAAGTGCAATCATTTATTTTAAGATTCTTAAAGGTAATATCTAAACATTTCTATTATGCAACACTATAAATTAAGGCAATTCCAATATCTAAGTTTCCGTCTGTGGATTTAATAGTTAATTCAACAGGTTTACATACACCTTAAGTATAAGGAAATAAGGTTCTTATATTTTCTAAGGATTTAATGATATATGGTTAACAAAATATATCAAATTTGCAAGCAGCATCTTAATAAAGACAAGCTTCTTAATTTAAATAGGATAAGCATCCTAATTTAGATTCTTCAGTTTTTTCACATTTACTATTTATAAATTTGCATTTCCCTTTTGCTAATTTTGCACATGCATATTCATTTATGTTTAACATAGAGGATACTTAACAAGAAATGTTATCAGTAGGAATGATTTCTCTACATATATTTTATATATCATGTATACAACCTTATTAAGCTTAGATTTAGGTACAGGTGTATGAATTAAAGCGATTTATAAAAGATTGTTAACCATTTGTTAGAAAATTATTACAAGAAGAAGGATTCTATTAAAATTCTAAATTGTAACACTTTTCATAAATATCTGACCATCCACATGCAATATTATTTGAATACAAACATAAATATTAATTTAAATTATTACATGTATTGATAGAAATTATACTAGTATTATCTTGACTGCATTTAAATGAAGCCCATTTACAATTTGTAACCATAGATCTTAAACAGAGAGATTCAGTTTTTAATTAATCACATTGTCCCTTATAAGGATCAAATTGAATACATAAAGAACTTACAGGGTCTATCCAACAAATATTCATTTATTTAGTATAACAAGCATCAACATTTAGAATAGTGCAATCAATTTTACTATTATTTTATATCTATAATTCTTAACAATGAAAATTCTCCCATTTACATAAGACTCCTTTTGTATTTCTAAGACAAGCATATTTGTTTAGATTATTGCAGCTAGATTAAATTGTATCAGTAATTTTGTAACATTTTCTTTGATTATCAATATACTTGGTAGGATAATCTTGACATCTTTAACATGCTTTTAATGAAACCGTATATAGTAATAAATCATTACATGAATAATGAGTAGCATCCTAACAGCTATCATTAACAAAAGCACAAGCTTAATCAACATTTCCACATATCTCTTCTTTAAATGTAGTTTCTAATACATTAACTTAAACACATAGAATCCATTTATTAGACCCATCTTCATTTAATTAAGGGACTTATTTAGTTTATTAACAGTATCCTAAATATGTATAATTACATCCACATTTTTCACATAAAGATTTACTAAAACTTTTATCACAAAGGTATTTTCCATTTGAATCTTATGTTGGCTTTGTATTTATACATTTAGTACCATCATATCTACAATCATTATTAGCCTTAGCACATAAAACAGGTTAAAGATCACTACTTAATATGCTTTCACATGAAAATGATGAATTATATGTAGTAAGAGGTACACAAGTCTTATATTATTTTTAAACAGTTTTACATTTATTTCCTGGTTTAATACTATCAGATCCATTTTAACAAATTGCTTTTTAACTTGAACTAGCATAACAATTATTTGCGATTTAACCACATTCAAAAATGTTATGTTCGTTGCCTTATATTTACTTGCAACCTCCTTAATCTAAATCAAAATAACAATTTTAACTTAATTCTAAACATAAAGCTTTTGCAAAAGTATTACTACAAATAAAAACTTTATTTTCCCTTAATGAACACCAATGACTAAGTATGTAATTCTTTTATGGTATACAATTGCCTTAAAATGCTTAGCCATATGGAAATGTTAATTCCATCTAACATTAATTATTTTATTCACATTATGTTTTGGCAACTTTACAATCATAATCAGACCTTTAGCTACAATCTAAATTCTAACATGTATCTTCATCACCATCAGAAAGCACCTTAATATTATATGAAGAAGCATCAGTCTCTTGTAAATTGAGTTCAAAAATTGGAGTTATGGTTTCAATAATTTCTTAAATTGCTATTTCAGATTGACAAAAATACTCTTCAATTATTGAACAATCTTTTATTTGACATACTTTTAAATTATCAGAATTCTAATAATAATTATGTTCTCTTTAAAATTTTACAATATGTTACATACAAGTAGCATTAAATTCTTACCAACTACTTTCAGTTTTTGATAATCTATCTTTACGATATGCTAAGTCTTTATTCTAAACAATATCATTAGAGCATGTATCTATTTCTTAGAAATCTGGACATTCTTTAAGAGTTTATTATTGTCCACTGGCTGATTATGAATAATCATAAACAAGTTTGAATATTTAACAAGAATAATTTGTCCAGAAACAATATTTTTCAAATTTACATTACTGTTGATTAAGTTTATCTTCAAAACATTGTAATTCTCCTGAAGTCTGTTCTAAAGTTTCTGAAACTGATGTACAAACTCTTTTATTAGGATGTTGTTAATTTATAGAAATATTTTATAAATCTGTGCAAGTCATTGTAAGTTCAAAAGGAAATGTTTTACATAAGAGAGTATTTAGATCAAATATACAAGGTGAATAAATATCCATGCAAACTTCAATATTTATTAACCATTAAGTCTCACATATTGATTAGCCTTCAATAAATGTTTTACATTTATTATTTGGTATAATTTCTTATTCATCATAAAAACAATGATGAGTTCTTGTATGATATAAACAAGCATATTTATTCATTTAAAAATCATTACAATTTGCAGTTTTACTAATAAGTTTAACACATTTCTCTAGAGTAGTATCATAATAATAAGCATCTCCTGTAATAATTAAACATGCTAATTGATTAAATTTGTGATCTCCTGTTTAACTTAAAAGATCAAATTCACTTGAAATCATTGTATTAAACTCTTAACATTCATTTGATTGATCATTCCAAATGCATGCTTAATGAGTTAATTTTTTACATAATTCTCTATTAATACTATCTGTACATTTTAATTATGATATATCAGTGTAATTAACATAGCATTAAAAACTATTAGGATCCCATCTACAAAGTCCTTTAGTATTTTTAAAACAAGATCTGTTGTTAGCTAATGAACCATCACAAGCATCTGATTCTTTAGTTGAAATTACACAAGAATAATCTCGAAATTCACATTATTAATCTGATTTATCAATTTATAAACATACTTACCAACTTACCTTGCCTAAAGAATCAAAATGATTGCAATCTACATTAAAGTCATTAACATTTATACAACGATCTAAACTAAAAGAAAAAAGACAGCTACTCTTTTTAATATCAGTACAAGCTTTAATATTAAGTTCAAAATCACATGTTATTATTTCATCAATTTCATCAAAAGGTATAGTAACACATTTTAATTATGATTGGTCCCATTTACAATAATTATTACCTGTGTACCTTTAACAAACATTTCTATTTCCTTTAACATCTTCACAAGAAGCATATGGAAACTCATTATCATTGTATATAATTTCTTTGCATCTCCTGTTTTCATAATCATAACCAATATATTTGAGAGTATTCTATTCAGTTAGAATACCATCAATAGCAAAACAAGCATTTTCATTTAAGACTGAAGGTTCCTTAATAAAAATACGATAATCTTTATAATATGAGTAATTGATATTAAGACAAGCTATTCCATTGTGATAGCAAAGTTAATCAATTGACCAACCTATCATATCACAAGAATTCTTATTCATTGAAGAACATGGTAATTAATTTTCATCATAAAATTATTTAATTTGTTCTCTATTAGATAAATCAACAATATCATCCGTTAATTCTTGACATCTTAAATTCATAAAGAAACAATAATCTCCTGGTTCATTACTTGAGAATTTACTACATGCATGAGCATTCATTCCAATATTTTCAGTTTCAGTACAACATTTAGTGTTACATAATTCTTTTTTAATTAAACATTAAAATGTAAGTCTATTATAATAACAATATCCTCTATTTCTTTCAAATTAAATTCCTTTTAAAAAGTCATAATCAGGGAAATCATTAAGAATAGATGCACAAACATTTGAATTAACAGAGATATCAATTCCATTAAAATCAAGACATTTTTAATTTTATTTAATTTCTACACTTTCACATGCAGTTTTTGATTTATTCCATGAACACAATAATTATATTGAAGATAGAGATACACAAACAGATTTAGATGGAGATGTAGATACACAAGTTAAAGGAATATCTGTTGGTGGAAGTGAAGGATTAAATAAATCAGTATCATCTATCTAATAATCCTCATCTTATATAAAATCCTAAGATTTTTAACATTAATCATTGATAAATTAACAATCCCCTTAAGCTTATTAACATCCAAATGAATTTAATCCTAATTCATCACACCCCATATTCTTAACAAAAGAATTGATACATCCATAGATTTTTTTATTATATCTACAGATCTCGCCTCCATATTAGACATAAGAACATGCTTTATAATTAGCATATTTTAAATGTAAACATTCAATAGTTTAAATTTCTTTCCTATTGTTTATTTAAACACATTAATCTCTGTTCCATCTACAAGCAACCTTTCTAGTTGTAATGCAAGAACAAGCTATTCGATTTAAACCTTATTTTCTTTATTTACAATTTATGTTTTGTAAAAGTTCCAAATCCTTTTAATGTTATAAAATCTCTTTTTTAGTTGCATTTTAAGCTATTTCAACTGTTAATGTAACACATTATTATTATATTTCATCAAAATAACAACCTACTTTTTCATCTTTTTCAAGAACTTAAGAACATGCAATTGGATTTGCACTTCCTAAACTAGCACATGTAGTCTCATATAATATAACGTAAACATATTTACAACCTTAAGTTGTCCATTAACATGTCTCTTCATTAGCTATTATATTAAGACATCCATTTTTATTTATAAATGGAGCATTACATCCATCAGTATCTATACTCTCTACACATAAATTCGTTTATTCATTATATTTACATTTTACCTTATCTTTTGATATTCCCTAACAAACATTGCCATTCACTCTTATGTTATTATTATCTAATTTTAAAGGACAATCAAAATCTTAATTTATTACTCTTCTTTCACAATTATCTCCATTCCAAAAACAATACTAAAAATGAGTCTTTATATTCACGCATGCTAATTAATTCAATTCCATATGACATTAATATAAATTAAGATCTTCTTCAGATAATTCTTAACATTTCTATTTAACAAAAGAACACTTCTAATTCTTAATAGATAAACAAGCCAATTTTGATAATCCTGGAGTATCACATTTTATCATATTCATATTATTAGTATCAATATTTAAACATTTGTGTTATATTTTATCATAATAACATAATCCTGTAGATATTTAACAAACAGATACATTTACCTAATTCTATGTTTCACAATCCTCATCATCATCATTATTATTTCTTTGATACTTTCTACATTTTTAACCTACCCATTCACATTATAGATCTTTATTTATTATTTACAAACATGCAAATTGACTCAATTTTTGATCACAAGATCTTATATCCATTAATTGTATTTCTATACATTTATTATCTTCAAAAGTACCTAAATTCATATTTAAATATTATACAATATTAATTCTCTTTATTTATCGTTAAACAACTCTCCTCATTTAATCCTAATTCATTACAAGAAAAATACGACAACTAATGATAATTGAGTTCAATACATTAGAAATTTCCCTCAAATCCACTACTCATACCTATCTTTATTCAGCAATTCTTACATTAGCCATTTGGTAAAGAAGAGCATGTATATGGAGTCACTGGTGTTGAAAATATATTACATAATCTAGAATTATTTTATATTTTCTCTATTTATTTTTTACATCTATTGTCTTCCCAAATACAAAACTATTTCTCAACTGTTAAACAAGCATATTTATTGAACATTTCTGAACATCCGTATTATTCCTATTAGTTTTTGTTCGCTGTCATACACCTATCTTAAAAAATGCCTAATTTCACATAAGAATAATATTTACATTAAACTTTGTTATTCTGATCATCTGTCAATTAAATTAAACATGCCTCTCTATTTAATAAAGGAGAACATCCAGAATTTGTATCTTATGTCTCTTCACATTTGTTATAAAAAGAATCGTATGTACCTAATCTAAAACCTTTATATTACATCCAATATTCTAAGTTTTTTAAATACAATCTTTTGGGGAGTGCGGATATAATTTGCATTTCGTATGAGATTTAACTCCTTATGAAAAAATAGCAATCAGCATCAGAGTATAGATCAAGTTAGCTTTATTTACTTACATTTTTAATTTAATGATAATAATTATCATTATCTAGTTATATTTAGTTATTATTAAAACTACAACAAAATATATTTCGTTTGCAACTTTGTACTAATCAAATTTATATATCTTTATTTATGTCATTTTATTTATTAAGAAGATGTATTAAGAAAAAATAAAAATTATATTTTAATGTAAAAAGTAAATTTCATTGATTTATTCATTCAACTCTTCTTTTCCTAATTAATATTGATAATAAATTAGATTTTAATTAAAGCAAGCACTTTTATTGATTTTGTTGTAAATCTATAAATAATTTTATTAGTCGAATTTCGTCTAGAATAAGTTTTTAATTATTAATTCATAGCATCTCATCTAAAAATTGTTATTTTTTTGACATAAAAGTAATCCAACAATAATATTATTATTATAAATATTAACTATTGATAAATTAAATGAATAATTCTGACTTATTGTTATATATAAAATAAGGATTTAAATATTGTTAAAAACCATATTCTTGCAGTTAGATTTCTCCTAACATTTTTTATAAATGAATAGTATCAGAACTTTATTTTTAATTCTGTAGAAATAGCCAATATCCAATTCTATTCTTATTTATTTAATAAGATTTTGATGAATATGAATTATGTATTTTATACTTATGTGATTTAAGAATTAAAGAATTAAGAAGAACTCAGTTATAACGACATAAAAATATTATAATAATAAAAATCAAATTTTATTGATGAGATTGTATTTTAATATATAATTTATGAGCTAAAATGAGGTTGATTATCATCTGATTTGCCCTAATTCAATTTTATGTTCAGAGAATTTATGTTAATTATAACATTAAAGGGCATATTTGGGATTGTGTATAGTTTATTTACAAATGCAATAGGATTGGGCTAATCAAAAAACAATTTTAGCAAAAACATAAATTTAAAAAATAAAAGAAGATGATTAAGAAAATTCAGAAGAAGAAGAAGAAGAAGAAGAATTTAAAGAAAAAAAGTGCAAAAATCAAAAGTGCTAATTATGGCACTTAAAAAAGGCAGATCTTAAACATTTTTTGAAGGTAGATTCATCAATTTATGGAATTTTTCCAAATAATTTGTGCAAATAGTTAAATTGTGAAAAAAAACAAGAATGCATATTTATCCATAAAGAATGGGCAAAGAATCTTTGCATATAGGATATTATAAAAGAATGTTAGAAGAAAGAAAATAAAAAATGTAAATTAGATCATTTGACATGGGATGATGTAAAGAAAAAAGCTGAAAAATTTTCAAAAATATAATTTACTAATCCAGAATTATTATGTATGAAAAAAGAATGCACTTGTGATAATCATCCTGAAGATTTCTCTAAATATTGTATACCATATTTAAAAGGATGGTGTCCTAAAAAAAATTGTGATGCAAAACATGTAAATTGGGAGTAGGTTGAAATAAAATAAATTAAACATGCACCTTGTACAAATTTATAACATAAATCATCTTAAACCTTAGATGAAATAAATTAATTAAGAGAAATATAAATATAATGTGAATAAGTTTAATTACATAGATTTAAATAATAGCTTTAAAAATCTAACACGATTGATGTAATATTTATAATGGATTTAACAGGTTCAATGAATCCATGGAAAGATGAAATTTAAAGTACAATTTCAAATATAATAAGGGAATTTTAATAATCAATAAAAGGTTATTCAGTTAGGGTAGGATTTGTTGGATATAGAGATGTTTGTGATTTGTAAGAATAAATCTCATATCGAAATTTGACACATAATATCAATTCAATTATAGAATATATTTCAAGATTAGAAGCAAAAGGTGGAGGTGATGAAGCAGAAGATATTGTTGGAGGATTTGTATAAGCAATGAAATTAAATATATCTAGAAATCCAGATAGTTTATTATGTACTTTTTTAATTGCTGATTCACCATGTCATGGAAAATAATATCATGATTTAGAATCTGATGATTATCTAGATTAAGTACCAGACAATTATTTAGAAGACACTTTATTAAGGTATAAGAATATAAAAAAAAACAATTTTTTATGTTGTGTTAAAATAAATGAAACAACAAATAAAATGTTTGATAAAATGAAATTAGCATTTCCTTTGATTACTATTACAACAAAAAAATAACCAAAAGAATTATCTGAATTGGTTCAATTTACTTTACATTAATCTCTTAAATAATCAAAATTGATTCCTTAAGATGAAAAAAAGAAAGAGTATTTTCAAGCTACCTTTTAATAATTTAAACTTGATAATTAGAGTAAATATAATGATGAAAATAAAGCTGAATTTTGGGAAAATTTTGCTGAAAATATACTGAAGTCTTCAAGAACAGGTTAGACTGGTTTAGAAATATAATTAGATAATCCAGAATTTATTTCCAATGATGATGACAATTATACAACTTCAATTCTTAAAGCTTTTGATGCAAGAAATAACTAATTTATTATTATTAAATTTCCTAAAGTAATCTTAAAAAATTTCTAATAAAATAAGATTGATAATTAAGAAATTTAAAAAGCAGAATTATTAGCTGAATCAAGATTTTATTCATCATCATATGCATTTTAAATGGCTTATTTTTTTAATTGCGAGTCTTATAAATTAGAAGATATTCCACTAATATTTTATGTTTTACCTACTTTATATTAACTCGAAAAACCTTTATATGGGATGACTAAAATCTATGGTGAAACATTTATAGATACACAATTTTTATTTTAGAAATATTCTGATAAAAATATTAAATTTTAAAAATACACAACTAATTTTTATGGGAGTAATTAAGAATTTTATTATTATTCTGTCTTTAGTCATTTTTCTTATATTGAAAGCAAAGGTTTATTCGTAATAACTGATTTATAAGGATATGATAATATATTTACAGATCCATCGATATAGACAAAGAAAAATAGAATTAAAATATAAAAGAATGGACAATCTATATATATATTAGATGTAGATAATACTAATTAGAATTAAAGAGGAATTGATATATTTCTTTAATAATAACATAAAGATTGTAGTGTGTATTGTACATAACTCTAATTATCAAGAGAAGGTTTTGCAGAGCTTACTAATGTAGATTAAAGTGTATGGAAGGAACAATAACATATTTCTGGTATATGCCATTTATGCAATTAATTTGCAGAGATAGATTTAGAAGAAAAGTAAATTAATTAAATGGGCTTTTATTTAAAATGTTAAATTTGTTTAAATGAATAAAGCTATTTATCTGAATAGTTATGTAAATGTTGTTAAAAATTATTTAATACAGAAGTCCAAATTAAAGCAAGAATACCAACAATTTTAGAGTATTGTGGTGATTGTAAAAATATGTGTAAGGAGAATAATAGTAAATGTTTTTATTGTTAGAAATAATGTAAGAAACTATTATCAACTATAACTATATAATAAAAATTAATTTCAATTTGTAAAAATGGACTTCAATACTTGAAATCATTAAAATGTTATAAGTGTGGATAGTAATACAATTATGATAACCTGATTTCTTAATAAGAATACAATTCTGGGGTATACTTATGTTGTGATAATTAATGAAAAATAATAATATAATATAATTATATAATTATTATAAAATATCTGGAGAGAATGAGAATTTTTTGATTGATAAGAAAAAAAGGAAATTTTACAATAAAAAAGGTTGTTGAAAAATGAGTATAGTTAATTCTTCTGCTTCTCTTTAGTCTTACTTATTCAATTTATTCATATTGATCACTTACTATAAGTTTATTTAGTTTTATCTAATTATAATAATCAAATTATATTTACTTCTTCTTTTCTTTATATCATTTTTATTTATATCATTTAATTTATTCAGATCTAATTTAATTTCATTTTAGTCTAATATTGGATTTTATGCCACTTTCTATTCTTAATATTTTATTCTATAACAAGAAATTACACTTTTGATTATTGTTTTTAAAATTTATTAATTCCTTTGATTTCCTTTCATTACATTAAATTTAAATTACTACACAAATCAATATTGCTTATATCATATTATTATTTATTCACTTTTTTATTATTCTTAAAATTACTAAATATTATAATTGCTTAATTAAATCACAGATTATTATTAGAATTCCATTATTTCTATCTTCTTTTTTTGTTCAATCAATTTTATTAATTCCCTATATAATTAATTATTTATATAAATTTAAGATTCTTCATTTCGCTTTTAATAATAATTAATTTTGTTAAAATTGATCTAATTTGGATTTACCTATAAATTAAAAGATTATCCTATTTCCTTTCTAAAAACCTATTTGTTTTTATCTTGTAAAAATCATGTATTGCTTATTTTTACCTTAACTTATTACTTAACCCTCGTTTGAAATTAATTCATATTATTATTTTTTTTCAAATCAGAATCTAGTTCTTATTCTTGATTACTAACTATAGAATTATTTTATTGAATGAATAACTCATATAGAATTATTAAAAATTTCAATATATTTTTTTTAACTTTCTTCTCTTTTTAATTATAATTAATGTTAGCAATAACATATATTCTATTCAAACTGCAACAATAATATTATTAATTTTATAATCATTAATTATTTTTATTTAATGACTTACAGAACCCCTTTGATACACAATAACAACAAGCCCAATCTGGTTTTACTTATTGTCTATACACATTTAATTGATGCCCTTTATGGCAAAAATCTTACAAATTGAACATACCCAATGTATATTACATTATTAACAACTAAAATAATCAACTAACCTATCTTTGTTGAATTTGTATGTTATGCATTCCTTAGGTTATTAACTCTTTAAAATTATATTACCAATAACAACTATAATAGACCCTTATTTAACCTGGCCTAAAGAGGCTAAAAATATTTCACTGTTCATTGCATAAATTTAATATTATTAAGAAATACTATCAAGGTCATTCTATACTACTTGTTGATTTATTTTATAGAGATCTTAAGGCTTACAGAAAACTATTTACAATTTATTAGGATCGAAATTCTATATAGGATCATTTTATTGATTAAAGTGTTATTGAATTACTTCTGCTATTGAACTAATTCTATTATTAACTTTAAATGGCCAAGAAAATTAAATATTTTGTTATGGTAAAACTATTTATATAAGAATCTTTATTTTATGCAATTCTTACATCAATCTGTTCACATTTAAATTAATCTAAAGACTTATATACAAATTCTGCATAATATCGTTTTAATTATTAAAACCTGTTCTCAATTTGTTTCACTGCCTCCTTATAATTAGTACTAAGTTGTTCTTTCATTTAATCCTATATTTTTAAATGTTTATTATACATCAACCGCAGCTTCTAAATTTTATGTAAAATCTATTTTTAATACCTATTAAAGAGCTTTTTATTCATCTATAGCATCAATATATTTGCTTTCATATGTGTTATACATATGTTAAACTGCGTTTTTAAATATCTTGTTTATTGGATTGACTTACATCTGATATAGCAATTCTGTAGATGATTTTTAATAAGTATTAGTTTTATTTTTTTATAAAGGATGTTTAAAGAATTTGAAGAATATCTTAAAATTAAAAAAATAAGTCATAGAAGATTTGAATAAACAATATCTAAAAATTTAATTGGTTTATGAATTCCGTTAGATGTGTTCTATGAAATAGAATTACAATAACTTTTTTTTTTTTAATCTTAAATCCAATTCTATTCAGTGTTAAAAAATAAGATTTCTTAAATAAATAAATAAATAAAAAAAATTATAATTAATTTATATAATTATAATTATAATTAATTTATATAAATTAATATAAAAAAAAAATAGAATATTCAAAATTTTGGCAAGAAAGTATTAATATTTTGATCTCCAAACACATGGTTAACTTTATTATTTAATAAGTGTTGTTTTTGATCATCAATAATTTCTATTGTAAATGTGTAAATTACGTTTGATTTGATTAAATGATTATATTTAAATAGATCTGTTTTGTTTAATTCAATATTGCATAAGGGAAATTTATGATAGCTATTGATGACTTCTTCAATACAATTCTAATTTAAATTATATAATTTACATGTCAAAAACAATGGCCACATTTTGTTAAGAATGGGTTATTGAATTCATTAATACATACAAGCACATTGAAGTTATTTGATAATTAAATCAGCCTGAAATAAAAGTGAGATTATACATTGATCATGAGATCTCCTTAATGTTACATATATATTAATTAAATAAATTATATCAAAAGACTCTTTAATTTTTCCATTTGATCATATCTTCATCATTATATTCAAAGTCATACAAGGAATAATCTAATTTGATTCCAGATTGTGATAACTATTAGAATAGAGAGAGTAATTACATTAGATTCATCTAATGGAGGTCTTTTAATTGGAGGATTATATAGATTTAAAGTATTTCTACCAGTTCTAACACTACCATCAGGTTTAACAAATAGTATAAAAGACCAACCAATAACTTCATAATCTCCCATGGTCATAGTAGTATTCACTCCTCCTTAAGATGCATTCTTTTCAATTACTTAAAATCCAAGATAAATAGTCTAAATAATTATGATAATAATAATAATACTTTTCCAGTCATCATAGCTTATTCTTAGAAATTATAAAAAAAGCGAAATTCTTCATTGAATTCAATAAGAATAGATCTAGCTGCTTTATTACTAATTCCTTTCATTTAAGGATCTGCTTCAACAAGTGGTAATGGATTAGATTCTGTATTTTATCCAGGATTAGGACTACTAGGATCATGAATAGTAGTATTAAATGCAAGTGGTTATCCACTAGGATCATACATTACTTGTTATTCTTAAAATGCTGTACAAAGAACTCTCATAAAATTATTAGCAATCTTATTTTAAATGAAATGTATTTAAATTCTATAACCTTTTCTCATATCTCCCTTTAATACATATTCTTTTAATTATGGAGTAGCTTTTCTTTTATTTCCAAAGACTTCAACTTCTTCTGTTACTTTATAATTTTAACCATTTAAACTGAATTCTCCATTATCTTTATTCTTTGGTTCCTTCCCTTCAATAGCAGCTTCATAATTTCTATCAAATAAGCTTCTTAAATGAATATATGGTATATTATATTCCATAGCTGTTTATTCTGGATATATAGATCTAACTTATCCTAAATCTTCGTCATTTGGATATGTAATTCTCATATGAAACCATGCATTAGGAATAGGTTCTAACTTTGCAATATTTTCTATTGTAATAGTAGCATCTGTTGGTCCTTTATATAATGGACATTTAAATTTGCCTCTCTTTAATTATCTTTGTTAATCAAATAAATCTATTTATGTCCAACCATATGATTAAGTCTTACCAATGTTTTCTTCTAATCTTTTACTTACTGGTAATTAAACTTCAATTATTAATAATACTTCTTAATGAGCAGGAATCTCATATAATTAACTAGTTTCTCCTATCAATACTCTATTTGAACTCTCTCCTTCTATTTCACAATCATAAGGTTCTATTAATTTTGGTTAATTTAATTATTGCATATTATTAAATACTGCAAAAACAAATTATGCTAATTTAGTTTTTCTTGGTAATCCTAATACATAATCCCAATGAATTACTAATCCTTCAGCTGGATCATATAAATGACTCTCTTTTCTAACCTCTCCAAAATCATTTCTCAATCTATTCTCTATTATAAATTTCCTTTAATCATCTACCCATTTATTATTCTCAAATTCTTTATCCTTTTCTCTTCTCTTCTTCTCAAAATTTCTTCTTACTCTCTATAATCTTTATTCTTAAATTATCTTTTCCATCTCTGCTCTCATTGTTGACAATTCCTTATATTATTCCATCTTAAATCTGTATATCTCTGTACCTATTGGAATTCTTGAAATCATTCTCAAAGCATCTACTTCCTAAGCTTATAAATTCATTAATATTTATTCTTCTCTTGTCAAATCAACTCCTCTTACATTATTTTATAAAAAAAACTCTTTCTTTCTTGAAAATTATTAGAAAGGATCATTAAAATCTTTCTTCTTCTCTTTTAATGAATTCATATCTTATTATTAAGCATTTATAAACATAGGTTATTATTATTAAAATAATTATATTGGTTGCTACTATTATACTTAAAATTAATTTAATTACGATTATTATTATTATTATTATTATTATTATGGTTATTAAACTGCTCCTTTATAAAATGATTCTAAATTATTAACATCCTTTAAAAACTTAGGATCTTAACCTCCTGCCTATTAATAGTCATTCTTCAATTATTGTAATTCATCTATCACTTAATTTGATAAATGAGATTGAGGTCTTGATGTTTTTAATCTATCTACTCGTTCCATTTATTCTCTTTTCAATTGATCTAATCTCTAAGCATCTTATGCTATCTTCTCTTTCATCCTAGCTATCTCTTCATAATTCTAATGATTTCTTATCTAACTTTAATCATTTAATATTTATTAGCTATTTCTTATACTATTCTTTGAAGATTCTCCTCTCCTTACTTCTCCAAAATCTCCTAATTTTATTCTTTCCACATTATCCAAAATCCTATTTCTCTCTGCATCACTATATTCTAATCTTGTGTGAAGTTTTACTAATTATTATTTTGCCTCTGAATATTAGGCTGATGCTATTATTCTATTATCAGTAACTTTTTAAGCTTATTCCATTGAATAGAATGTTTTATGTCCTCTAGTAAATAGTCTTATGTCTTCTATCAATTATAACTATTTATTTTTTAAATCTTCTCTTTCAACTAATAGTTTTTCAAGCATCTATTTCTTTTATTCCTCCAAGACGGACATCTTCCATGAATCTATTTCATTGATCAATTTGCGTATTTACTCTTTTTCAATTCTACACTGAAACTCTCTCTCCTTTTTCAATTCTAATTCTTGTAACAGTATTGAATAAATATGTTCATCTTCATCGCTAACAACACGCATTTATTATCTGTCCTATTTTAGTTTATCTATTTAATCAATTAATTCGTCCTCTCTCTTCCTCAAGACAGCATTTTCTAATTTTTTAAAATCATCATCATTAGTTTTAAGATTAGATTTGATTTAGTCCTGATTTATTAAATCTACATACTAATGTATATCCACCGTAATTTTTAAGTGATGATGGATCCTATTGTTTTAAACTTGGTTTCAATTCTGGATATGCAGGTTTAGTAACATAATCATGCTTCTGTTCCAATTTATTTAAATTACCATAATCAGAATTTATACAAAACTATCATCAATTTATGCTTTAATACTCTTTTAACATGATTTGCCAATTATTCACTTGATTCAAATGTCATTTTACAATCTCTGCATATATTCTCATTCATGATTTAATTATAATAAATATTATAATTAAATTTTATTTGATAATGAATCAATAATTAGATGACTCAAAGGAGGAAAGTGTAAAATCTTAATCATTAGAAAGATATTTATAAGTTGAATCTACAAAGAATTCATTGTCTCCAGTTAGACAATTATAAACAACAAGACTTACTTATGAGTCATCTATACTAAAGCTTTAGAATGGAAAATTTTCTAATTCTTAAGCTGTCTTTTAGGAGGCTCTAAAAAAAAAGAAATGTGAACTGACTAAGAAACCATAAAAACAAATTTTAGAAATCTCTAAGAAATCAATTCCTTAATAATAAAAGGAATTGAAAAGTATTGAAAATATATATATATTAATATAGAATTTGATAAAGTGTAAGATAATATAAAGTAATCATAAATAAAGTCAGAGGAAGTTAAAAAGAAGAAAGAAGAGTAAAAATAGAAGGAAGAATAAGATAAATAAAAAAATGTAGCAGTTTTAGAAAATGATGAAGGTAAAAAAATAATATTTAACATAAATATATAGCCTTTTTAGAAACTGTGAATAGATTGTATGATTTTGAGAAAAGAAAAAATAAGCAAATATAGAAATTAGTTGATGAAGAGAAAATTAAAGAGAAATAATAAAAATTAGCTAGGCCATTCATAAATTAAAAAAGTTGTATATTATTGGACAAAAAACTAAAATAGCTAATTGAAGAAGATGAATCATATAAATAGATTTGTCAATTTAAAGATATGGCTATTTAAGCTGATTTGTTACCAAATCTACCAAAAATAAAAGATTTTTAAATAATTAAGTATTATATAAAATTAATAATAAGTCAAAAGAATCTGAATCTTAGCAAATCTTAATAATAGATAGCTATTGTAATAGATTAAGAATTGAAAGAAGAAGCAGAAGTGGCTGAGGATGTTTAATATAAATAGGATCAAAATCATAAGATAATTTAAACTCAAGAGATTAAATATAAAGTTAGTGATACAATTAAAAAATAATAATAAGGATAATAGTAAGCAGATATAAAACAATTTTAAGAGAAAGAAACTCCTAAAAAATAGAAGGTAAATAATTAAAGACAAAAGAGATAAGAAATTATGGAATAATAGGGATAGAGAGTAAAGACTGAATGTGAATATTATGTTCCTCTTCATATAAGATAACAATAAATTATATAGAAAAAATAGGAATGGGTTAAATAATAAAAAGAAATGAGGAAATAATAAGAAGAAGAATAAGAGAAATAATTTTAGGAATTGTGGGAAAAGGAAAAAGAGAAATATAAGAAAAATAGTGTTGGAGAAGTCAATGTTGAAGAATTTGTTAATCAATAATTAAGTTGGTTGGAAAAGAGAAATGATCACATATTAAATGAATAAATTAAAAAGGATAAAGAAACTATTTCATAATTAACATTTAAACCCTAAATTTAAAAACGAGGATCAAATAATCATGATAAAAATGAAAAAGTAGAATTAAGATTATTGGATTATTAATAAAAGAAATAAGAAAATTTACTTAAATTGGAAAACAAATATTTACCAACATTTAAACCTAATTTAACATAAAAATCAGTAATTTTTCATATTTATATATAGTTTTTAAGTATGGATTGGGCTTCAAAAAGTTTTAGTAATGCTTCATTTAATAATCTATGGTCATGAATGTATATATAAATTTTATTATTATTATAATAATATAAAATGTCTGATAAAGAACAAATAACAATGCCTTACTTAAATTTTAGTATTAAATAGCCAAATAATATATTAAGCATTTCAAAATTTGTAGAATATTAAAATTAGTGAACATTTGACTCCTTAAAAGCATAGATCTATGGAATAATTATTAAAATCTCCAGGAATACAAGAACTAGTCAAAGATTCTATAAAATCAGTTTTAAATAATCCAAATCACATTACATAATATAGATATGAAAATATAGAGTAATCTGAAAGTCCAATGTATTCATCTTAATTGCCAAAAGTAGAAAGATGCAATAACAATAATGTTTTAAAGTAGATTCATCATCTTAAAAAGAAAAAGAGTAATAAAATCATCAATAATAGATGCCAATTCTCCAAAATCTTATAAAAAATCTACGAATCTTCATTAAAAATTTAAGTAAGGTCGTTTCTTATAGATGTTTCCTTAAGTTGAAGGTTAGAATACATTAAATATTTAATCAAAACCTATACATGTGATAAGTATTATAATCAGTAACATTAGAAAGAATTAAATTATAAGAAGCATTTCTAAATAATTCTATGGATGCAAAAGTAGAGAGAGATATTATTGAAAAGTTGAAATAGAAAATGGAAATAGATAAATAAAATAGATTAAATGATATTGAAACTGTAAAAGCCTTAAAATTACTTGAACCTCGTAAAAATTCATAATTGTTAAAAACTTCAAGAAATTCTAAATTTGAAAACCTCTCTAATATGTCTGGAATGTCTATATAACTGCCATAATTAACAGGACCTATTATATTATAACCTTTGTAATAATAATAACAATAATAATTATCATAATAATAAGGATAATAAGGATAAAAATAGAAAAAAAAAAAATTAAAAAAATTTGATGGTATTTACTTTATTGATCCAAAATATCCTTAAGATATTGTATTTTAAGAAAAATATGCATCAATGAGACATTATTTTAATATTTTGAATCTTTCAAATTATATATTTGTTTAACCAACAATAAACATTTATAAAGCATATGTTGGAAAAGGGAATAATGGTATGTTAGTAAGATAAATAATAAAATCTCGTTGGTGGTGGAGTATTTAAGATGAAATGGAATAATGTCATTTTGTTTGGACTTAATTAAAAGTAAATTCAATTCATGAAAATATGAAATCATTAAATAGAAATCCGAATGAATAAAATACATGTTAAAGTGCATCTTCTTCTATTACAACAATAGGATCAATGGGACTTAATAAATAAGATGATTAAAGTGATAATGAATAATCAATAAAAAACAATAGAATAGTAAACTCTTAATGGATTAAATTCCTTTCTAATAATGAGATTAGATAATATAGTCAAATATTGAATGGATAAGGAAGAACTTCTAAATTATTAACTTTAGAGTAAGCATAGAATATCAAATCTAAATTAATAATTTATAATGAGCCTATAAAGGTTCATAATCATTTGGAAAACAATTTTCATTTGGGTAATAAAAAAGCTTTGTTTTATAATATGAAGGCTTATTATGAATCATAGAATATAAATGTATTTGATAACTTACCTGTTACTTATCATATAAAGAGTTTAGATGGTCCAGAGTATTAATAATTTTTAGATGCGTATAGAGAAAGATAATAATTAATTATAAATTAGGAATAGGATAAACGTAGAAATATTTGGATAATAAAACCTGGAGAAATAACAAATAGAGGAAATGGAATAAAAATCTCAGAGGATTTGAATGAAATTTAATAAATATTGAATTCAAGAGAAATGCATAAAAATGGAAGTTACAAAACTTTTATAGTATAATTATATATAGATCGTCCATTACTTTATAATAAAAGAAAGTTTGATATTAGATGTTATAGTATGTTTGTTTCAATAAATGGTAACTAAAAAGGTTATTGGTATACAGAAGGTTATGTAAGGACATCAAGTAAGGAATTTTCAATGAAGAATTTAACAAATAAAATGATTCATTTAACGAATGATGCAGTTTAAAAAAAAGGGGAAGATTATGGGAAGTATGAAAAAGGAAATAAAGTAAGTTTTGAAGATTTTGCTGTTTATATAGAAAATTTGGGAGGAGATTTTACAAAAATATATCAAAAAATGAAAGTATGATATTATTGTAATTTATATATTAGTAAATGGCAACTGATTAATTCAGAGCTGTTTATGGTAAAATGGATTAGAATAAAAAAGAGAATACTTTTGAAATATTTGGATTAGATTTTATGATTGATGAATCTTTTAAAGTATTAATGATTGAAGCTAATACTAATCCATCAATTGAAATCTGTTGTCCACTTTTATCTAAATTAATACCTTAAATGTTGGATAATGCATTTAAGTAATAATTCAAATAAACTTAAGAATATCTTTAGATCCAATATTTCCACCACCAAATTTTTATAATCCTAAAAAGATAGTTTGTGATAATTATCTTGATAATAAATTTGAATTGGTTTTCGATGAATTTACTGATGCACCACTCTTAAATTAAAGTTAATAAAATTGTAATTAATATTTATATCAAAAGATGATATAGGACTTATTGAAGAAGAATCTGAAGAAGAAGAAGAACCTTAATGATTAAAATAATATTAATATTAAATTAATACTTAAAAATGGTAAATTATCATTACCTTCTAAGTCTATATATTCAACTTCAATATCAATTTTACTAATAAATATTACTTAATAATTTAGATAAATATGCTTTATTTCAAATTCTTATCAATTATAAATAATCTATGAAATCTAACAAAATTTAATCTCTTTGCACAATATAATATAAATAATGACTATGGAGAATAAATTAATAAAATACTACCAATTTATTTCCATTCTCACTTTATTTTTATTATATTAATTTTAATTATGAATAACAACAATACAGAAAAAAACTTTTACACTTCTGACAATCCATAATTTAAACAAAAACTTTATGAACTTCAACTTATCATTGATTAATGCAATTATTCTAAAAAGTATTTATCCATTTTATCAAATCTAGAAAGAAAGTCATAGATGATGCTAAAATCGTCCTTCAAAATTATAAAGAATTAAGTCCTACTTTGGTAGCTCTTAATATTTCTATGCTAGAATTACAAGGAAACAGTATTTATTTATTCATATTCAGTTCCCGTTTCATATAATAATAGCTAATTTTCAATCTTTATTCATTTAAGATTTTAGAATCCACATCCTTAGGTATAACCTTATATTTTCCTTAAAAATATTGATAGTATAATCAATTCTTATTCTTTTAGCTAATAAATTTGTTTCAAACCCTTTATATAAGTCAGCTGAAATCTAAAATGGATTGTTTATTAGTTTTAATAATTTTATTCCTTCTGCCAAAAATTGGAATTAAAATTATAAAATCATTGATTTTATGATAGAAATACAGTCTGCTTTGTCTCGAAATTTCCCTTTCTTCCTAAAAACTTACTAAAACAATTTTAATTAATCACAATATTAATATCAACCATAATAAATTATGAGTTAAGTAAATTAACCATAAGGTAATAATTGTTATGGACTTTGGAGTTCTTAATATTTATAATAATAATAATTTACATAGCAATAGTAATAATAATAATAATAATAATAATAATAATTATTATAATAATAATCTTTTAATCCTTATATAAATCCACAATAACAATAATTATTGAAGTAATAATAATAATAATAGCAATAATAATAATAATACATTTAACAACAAGATTAGAATTAAAAAAAATAATAATTAGAAGAAGAATAAGGGATGGTTAATAAGATAACAACAATAAGTAAATCAGTTTTTGAATTTGGAAAGGAATTATTTATGACTTAAGAAGCAAAAGAAGAGAAAATAAAGACTGAAGTTAGATCTAAAGTTGATATAGAATTATTAAATTAATCTAAAAAACTAATGGAATCCATCAAATAATAAAAATAATTAAATGAAACTTTGATTGAAACATATTAATAATAATCGAGAGTAATGAAGGAAGTCCAATTAGTAGATTAAGATATAAATGATAGTATTCATGCATTAGATTAATAAATGATATAAATGGAATAAAAGATTGAGGCATGCGTAACATCTATAAGTTAAATTGAATAGAATAATATTTTAGAGTATTTGTTATTATATATTTAGATTAATATCTGCAGATCCTTTGAGTAATTAGATTATAGATTTAACAAGCGAAATTTAAGCATAAAAAGAAGGATTATATTATGTTTAGAAGAAGTTTCGATATTAAAATTTGGAATATGATTAGTTAATTAAAATAACTAAATAACTGAGTTAGCAAATGTTCGATCAATATTTATTGTTGAGAAAATGTGTAGCTAGTCAATTATGAATATTAATATATATTTTTAATTAATTAAAAAACACATGATAGATTATAAAATATTGACAGACCTTGAGGAAAGAAAGACTTAATTTTTAGAAAGATTTATATAAAATAAATAAAATAAACAATAAATTTATGATAAGAAGGATAGTAAAACAGAATTAATAATGAGAAAATTAGAAAAGGAACGATTATAAACACCATTTGTATGTTATTAATTCAGAGTAAAAAAATTAAGAACTTTTCCAAAAAGAAGTAGTTATAATTCAAATTCATTTATATAAAATTAAAAAACACCTTTTAAAAAATAAACTAAGTATGAAAGAAATAATAGCAGTTATGATTTTACTTAAAATATAAATTAATTAGTATAAAGCAAAGAAATTGATACTTTATTTAGACCTGTATAGGATAGAAGATAGAAGACACCTTTAAAAATGAAATTATAATAATTAGAATATGGAAAGAATTATCAAAAATTAGAGGATAAAATAATTGATATGGATAAGAATCCAATTAATTTTAAAAAGAATTAATATATCTGAAAGTTTTGCCATTATTATGTTATTTTTGATAATAATCATCATAAATAATAAAATGATGACCTTAATTTATTTATTGGTTCTGCTTACAATATTTCTACTAAGAACTTAATCATTTTTTAGCAATTCTTAACAATAGCAGGTAGTTTAATAGATCCTGTCCAATTTTAGTAATTATAACATTGTCCATAAACAAAATCCTATATATTTTAAATATTATTTAAACTTATAATTATTCCATAGGTATTTTTAATGTATCATAAATTACACGATATAATATTGGTTTTGGGCAACCTCTGGAACTATAAACAGGAACTAAAATAAATTCATAATTTTTAGTTGTGATATCACTATCAACAACAGTTCCTGCTGAAGCATTAAAATATTAATCTCGTTCTTCTCTAAACAATTTAGTAATATTAGTATTTTAAATGTTTATGATAATGATTTAATCTCCAAATTAACATAATTAATTAGCTGCTAGAATAATTTCTCTTGTTTCATATTATAATAAATGAGATATTGATTCTTCACTTAATCCATCTCTAAAATAAATAAGTTTTTGAGGAAAACACCCATTTTCTAATTTATATTATAAAAAGCAAGCTTTCATCATATCTCCAATATCTTTAATAAGACATTTCTCAACAATCTTAGTACTCATTTAACTGTAATATCTTGAATAAGATTTATCTACACTTGAAAGCATTCCTGCAAATTTACTTTTTTCAATAATAACACTAACAATCATAATATTATCAGGCCATTTCTATTGTTATTTAAACAAATACCTATGGTAATTAAACACTCCATAAACAATTTCCAACTTTATCCATCATTTAAATAGCTAACTTTTGAATTATGGAAAACAATCCTTTTTTTTATTTAGAAATTGAATCACTCTATACCATTTATGTAAGAACTCCAAACTTTTCAGACATACACATTTTCTTTAATGGTGCATAACAATTTTTCATTTATCTATTCAATACTATAACAATCATATTGGTTGTATGTGGAACATTCCTCATAATAGTTTATTCAATTTCAGCAATATAATTTTATCTTTATCCACTTAAATAATGACATTATGTTTAAACCCCCATTTTAATTCCATACTTTTATATTATTTCATGAATATTTTAAGTAAATTCTTCACAATCAAAATCATATGGTGAAATTATTGCTATTCTAACTTCATATCTTTTGATAAAAGCAGATTAATTATTACAGTTAAATGAAAAATTCTCTTTATCTCCTTAAGGTTAAACATTTTAATTTCCAAAAATTATATTAGGAGGTCTTAATTATTTGCCTTTTACATATTATGGAACAGTATTAATCTCAATACCAAATTCTTCCTTTAATTTTTACATAGTTAATCCAGTCGAAGGTTATCGATTAATTAATTCATATAACATTTTTTTTATCTTTTCAAATCTATCTTTTGGATTAGTTTAACATTCTTTTTATATTTATTTTCTAGTAAATTCATTTAGATTATCAGGAACTCCTGCCATAATACATAATTCAGCCACCAAATATACTTTTCTATTACTTTTTGAATCTTCAATTACAAGTAAAGGAGCTCTCTTATTTATTATATCATAATTGTATCTTTATTTAAAATATTAATCCATTGTTATCAATATTTATTTTCCTTTTGAATCTGCTAATTCTATAGAAAATTCTGCTGTATTTTAATCAAATAGTAAATTATCTACAGAATAAGTTCTATAAGTTCCATAATTTGCTAAAACAAGTTATTTTGTCATTATATGAGTTACATATTTTCTCAATTCATCTTTTGCTAACCTATTATTTTATAATTTCAATTTATAACTTATTTGCTTATTCTTTCCAAATTTAATCAATATATTATAAAACTGTTGTCGTTCTTATAATTCTATGACTGATATCAATTTTAAAACTAAATCCTTATTCATTAGTTTAAAAGTTAACAGCAAAACCTGGAATTACAGATAATTCAGTTTCTGGTATTGGTTATCTTCTTGATATATCCTAAATTCTTATTAATAACAAATTACATGAAACTTTCTTGTTTTACCATGTTCTTAATATTTTAAATTTTTGAAAAAATCTTTTATCAAATAATTAAAAAACATTAAAGGTTTATCAGCCTCGATAGGATTAGGATTTTCTAAATCTTATAAATTAATGACTTTAACTTTTTTAATCTCTAAAAAGTATTCTTAACTTTAAAAGAATTGATATATAAATATTTACGATTCAAATTTGATAGGTTTTTCTAATTTAAAATTAAAAGTTGCAGATTCTTTACCTCCAATAATAGTATTACTATAATAAACAAAAGGACCTAAAAATTCTCTTAAAGCTTCTTCTTAACTTTTAATGATTTCTCTTTTTAAATTGTTATTTTATCTTATATTTGAAATAAATAGTACGGATCTATAAATGGCAAGAATTTGACTGAATAAACTACTATGATTCCATTTCTTTTAGATCTAACACTAAAATTATTAGTAACTAATCTTATTTCTCTAAACTACTATGGATATTATGGACATTTAGTTGGTCTTTTTGGTAAATCTTTAATAAATGTTAACTTTTGATATTAAATCTTTGTTACTTATCTCATTCCTCTTGTTGTTTAAGGTATATTTGATTCAATCTTTTAATTTTAATCACTTCCTTATTTATCATCTGTGGATTCTGTCTTTTCTGGGTTTTTATTTCGTCTTTAACTGTTCGATCTTGATCTTGATCTTAATTTCCTATTTAATTATCATTATTTCTTTATAATTACGAAGAACTACGCGAACTATTAGAACTTGTCGTATGTTTTTAAGAACTTTTTTCAATATTCATATAAATGGAACATTTTTACATTGATTTTCATTTTATACTACATTATTACTAATTATTTTAGAGATTATTTAATATGTTTATTTATTATAAATTATTTCCAGATAAATTAAATTTAATCACAATTTTACACTCTCTTTCATTATTATAATTGTATTATAACTAATCTAATCTCTCATTTTTATTCTCTTCATTAAATTATCAATTTATTATTAAATAAGTTAATTTATCTTTATTTTTCTTACATTATGCATCAAAAACATAGTCTATATCAAAGACTAAAATAATTATAACTAATATATTTACAATCAATTAAGCATCAATTAAAAATTATTTATTTTTCAAATCTTGATAAAATGAAGAACTAAAAAATTCTATCATATTTTAATTATCATCCTAATCTATCTCTTCTTCTAAATCTGTTTATTAACCCTTTTCATTTTTATTTTAAGGATATTCAGTTTGTGTAAACTTTTCAATTTTTATTCCTTTCAATATTTGATTGTCTATTTTCTAATTCTATGAGATTAATAATGAAATTTGTTAGCTTTCTTCATATTCTATCATATGAATTTTTGAAACTGGAAATTCTATTTATTATTAATTTTAAATAAGTTGATTTTCATACTCCATAATCAATTAATTTAATTTCATATTGTATTAGAGACATTAATTCCAATAAATTATAATATCCAAAAATTCTAGTTCATCTTCCTTATTTTTAAAATGTATTTTATTTCTTAAATTTAGAAATATGCTTTTAATTCTAGGGTCAATCTCATCCTGATTAAAATTATCATTTTCTAACTTTTAATCAATCTTCTCTAATTTCTACATTTTCTATATATATCCTTATTACATACGAAAACTTAACTTATGAATAAATTCTACTCTTGAGATTCATTATTCTATAGGCTGGATATCAAAAGTGATTCATTTTAAAGATTTGACATTATGAAGTGAGGGAAATTTAATTATTAATATAAATTACTATCATTCTTTTTATGTTTCAAATCAAATATTATTCGAACTGATTTCAAAATTAATATACAATATAATCATCATTTTATCAAAAATCCAAATCAATTAGAGAATATAATTTATTTAATATAATAAAATTTATTTAAGATGTGCTAGATGTGTCTAAAGCTATTGGCTATGGGTTATTCAACGAGATCCTGCATTTGCAATAAAAATACCATGTAATTGAAATCAAATAGATGATTAAATAATTTATAATTATTTTAAACTAACGAATTAATGAGTTAACATAATAGCAGAATAGATCATCATTTTCTCTCACAATAATATGGTACCATTTTAAACTTTACAATCTAGAATCATTCAATTAATTCAATAAAGAAAATATATTTAATGAAGTCAATAAGATGATCGAATTGTATAAAAGTCATAATGAGCTAAAAAGTAATTTTTACAAATATCCTCATTAGAATGGAAATAACAACCATATCTATCCCCTTAGAAATTAATCTATTCATTACTGACTAAAACTAACACGAAAAATAAAAATAAAGTTAGTCTATCTTAAAATATTGGTCATAAGAAGTTAACTCATTCCCCTATTTCAATTAAATAGAAATCATTGCCATAATAATCATTACAATGTTCATTTCATTAACAAAAAAAAGTACTCATTAATATAAATAAAGGCTTAATTTTTTGATAATAATTAAAGAAATCAAAATAAAATATATTGTTAAGAATTTTCAATCCTGAATAATAAGAACAATTAAAAACTTAATATTATTCATCATAAAAATTCACTAACAGAAAATCTATCTGTTAATTAACCAAGTTATAAGTCATTAAGTGAAGATACTTTTGATTTTGATGAAAATACTGAAAACACTTATAAACAATAATAATTAACAAATTTTTAATAAGCCATCAAATCTTTATTGAACGAATGCAATAATTTAGTCTAAATATCTTAAAGTAATGATTATGAAATTAAGTACAATAATTTACAGTACGAATTGGAATAGATGTTAACTTCAATCCATAAAAAATCATAAAAATTGATTAATTAATTATAATCTAATGATAAGATTTAAAAACTTTAAGATATTGAGGAAGAATTAAATTCAATCTAAGTGGATATAACTTAGAATGAATAAAATATTTTAAATAATATGAAGATTAAGCCTTTTAAGTATTTATAATCAAATATCAATTAGGTATATCATGAGTAAATACAAAGATAAATTATAGGGTTATTTTTAAATTGTTAAAAACAATGAATTAAATTAGTAAAAACAATTTATAGATGAGAGATTAAAATAATTAACCAAAATTAAAACTATACTTAATAATTATTTCAATCGTTAAAACAAGTTAGATTCAATATCCTAATCTTAACAATTAAGTTCTCGAAGAAAAATTAAAAATAATGGTAATGTTTATATTTCATTTGAAAACAAAGAAATGTTTTAAATAGCTGCTTAAAGTGAATAAGGATATTTGTTGGAGTCTCCAAATTTTATACAAAATTGACAATGCCTATAAATTGCAACTAAATTTTATAATATTATTTTTTATCATTAAATAATAACTTTGTAATAGTAATCAATTTTTATAATCGTATTTTATTGCATTAATTTTTCAATTAGATTAAATAATCTATATATTTAAAGATAATAAATATATTCTTGAGATATGAAAACAATTTATGAAATTTATAAAAAAGTCTTGGCGAATTAGATATAGACATAAGATATTTTTGGAATATGCGCATTTTATTTAAAAAAATATATATAAAATTAAATATATCATTAGTTATGGATTAAGAAAGTGAAGAAATAAGAAATTCATTTCCAGAATATCTTACAAATACATAAGAAGATGATGAACATGTAAAGATTTTTACATAATTTATAAGCTCCACTAGTGCTTGTAATAATTCGAGATTTTGTTAAATAATTACAAAGATGAACAAAATATCTTATCTGCAATTGAATCTAAGATTACTATGGTATTTAATTAAACTCCAATGTAAACAATAATTGATTGTTATGAGAATATTGCGAAAGAGTATAATTTATAAGTACAAATGAATTAGAATTTAGACAAAATTGTTTAGAGTCTCTAAATTTCATGATTTAAAATATTTGCCATAAATTCCAATATTAAATTAGTATTTGGAAAGTAAAATTAAAAGTGTGCCTTGGCCTATTATTGGTGATGTAAATTCTAATCAATTATAAGAATAATTGATTAAATTATATAATTTTAACTATGGGAGAATAGCATTACATGAACTGTTATTATTATGGTTTCCATCTTTAATAAAACCATATTTTAATGTATTAGATAGTTTGTTAAATATTTAAAGTAAATTAAGTTAGGATGAAAAATATTATTTTGCAATAATGGTAATTTTAAGATTATAATTGATAAATAGGGAGCAGCAGCATCAGGAAGTGATTAATTATACGATTTATTAATCTAGCATTTTTATTTGAATGAAGGAGAGAAAAATTGGATAGATTTAGGATATGAAAGCATTGATGAAAAAATCAAATAATTAGATACTATTTGTAAAATCTTAGTTTAGAAACCTTGGGAATAATCACTTAAAAATACTTTATAATAGATATTGAAAAATAATAAGTGGAATAAAAGAGAATTAATATAAGCACTTATGATATTCATTTTTTATAACAATATTGGTTGTTTCTCTTAAGGTAATGGAATACTTAAAGAGATAGATTAAACATTTAATTTATCATCTGGTAATACTAGTATAAGTTTTACATTAGCATAAGAATAATAATAATAATAAATTGATTTAACATAAAATGAATATATCATTTAAGAATTGAAAAATTAAGCACTTTTAGATGCGAAATAGGATAATCCTAATTATTCATCAGATAAAATAATTTAAGTTAAATCTAAATAATAATCGATTGATGAACCTTAAGATATATCTGATTTGGATGAAGAATAATTAATAATTAAATTTAAAGAGAAATTTTAAAAATATTTTACAATAGAGGAAATAAAAGATTCTACTGGTTATCAAATATTGCGATTTTCAGTATTGATTGACTTTAATTATAGGAATATAATTTTTAAATGAATAGTTATCCTGTTTTAAAATCGATATATCCTGAAGGTGCATAGACAATGCATGATTTTTTGTTAGAAGTGAAATAAATGACTAGAAATACATTTGGGAAGGAATAATAGATCACAACAGCTGCTTTTAGAAAGGCAATAAGAGTATATGCATAGAATATTTATCGTTATTAACATGATGATATCGATTATTCAACATAGGTATAATAATTATATGAATATGAAGATGAATAAATTATTACCTAAAGAACTTAAAGCATTTATAAAAATAGTTAGTCTAACACCTAATTTATTATAGAAGAAACATTTAGAGATAATACCATTGAAATTGACTCCAGATGAATTATGTCATATTACATTATTGACTATTGCTGCTAAAATAGAAGTGCAATTGATATATTTATCTAAAGCATTAGTAGATTGTATGTGAAATCTAATAAGTATTTTTATATATTTTAATTAATTAATGCACGGTCCTGATAAGGGGAATTCAGAGAATTGTGATAAATTTAAATAATATATTAACTATATTAGTGATTTAGATTTACCAGATCTTACTTTATATCCATCAACAACAGGATATTAAGAATAAAAGAGATGTTTTAAATCATGTGTAAAGGATATGTCTATATCTTATTTGAACATTGAAGAAGAGTCTTGTTCAAGTACGTGAATCAAAGTAATGTAGAAAATTGTTTATCTAAATATTTATAAGTTTAAATATTTTTATCTTAAAAAATGACTAATACATTGACTTAAATAGTAACATAGGATCCTTCTATTAAAATAGCATTTAAAAAATCAAATAAATTGTTTGAATAATGAATATGATAATTATAATTATTAATTTATTAAATTAATGGTGCAGGTATTTCAAGCAAATCTAAGTATTTTCTTCCAATATGTTTCTCCTACATAATTAACTATAAACATAGCTTATCCATCAATTCCCATATCAGTTTCATCAAAATTATCTAGTATAAATAGAATTATTACTTTCTTTAGTATTTAAAGCAGGATCAGTAATATAATTTCCAACTCCTTATACATCATTTACCATATAATTGAAATTCGAGATGATATAGGTGTAATAGGTAAATGCTTATGCTAAATGATTTATATCTGAATTATTATCATTAATATATCCATAATTATTATTATATCTAACAAATTCCCCAGTAAAATATCTTTCTGCAATCCAAAATGAATCTAAAATATTGAAACATAATTTTACTTTTTTTTTCAATGTCTTTTAAAATTAAAAAGTCTGAATATTGGACTTCAGGAATCTTTATAAACATATCAATCTTATCTCTTGCTTCTCTTAATTCTCTAATAAATTTTTTCATCAAACATTTTGAAATTAGATAAGATCTACGCTCAAAAATAGTTTATTCTTGACTAGTATATGTGTTATTTCCTATAGGCATTTTAATAACATATAATTCATCATGATTGTTTTGCCTTTTCATTAAGAATACTTATTTCAATTATCCTTATGCAAATTTTAGATTTTCAATATTATTTTCAAATGAATCTTATTGCAATTCTACGCTATAAACCTGAAACTTAATAGGAATTGTTTTAACTTCAGGTAATTTATAAAATTAAAATGGATCTTTAATCTAATTACAAAGAGCCTACATAGCGCCAGCTTATGATCTTTTATTAATTTAAATATTTTTTGATTTTGTACCTGTATTATTAGTTTAAGAAGCTTTTTGAGATGCCGAAGAAATTAAATCTACAAGCTCTTCCCAGATTTTACCTTATTATGTATTTTCTAGATCTGCAAACATTAATAATTCTTCTTAATCTGCATTTTAATACATTTTTTTTATTTCTTAAAACATAAGTAATGTTATTTGACTAAATAAAGTAGCAACTAAAATTATTTTTGATTCAATAAGTAATTTAATAGCATCTTCAATATCTTCATCTGGATGGTTATCAGAAACTACTCCATTATATTTTTTTCCATGAGTAGGTGCATCACAAATTAAAATAGCAATTCTGAATGTTTTACTCTATAACAAATTCNTACATTGACTTAAATAGTAACATAGGATCCTTCTATTAAAATAGCATTTAAAAAATCAAATAAATTGTTTGAATAATGAATATGATAATTATAATTATTAATTTATTAAATTAATGGTGCAGGTATTTCAAGCAAATCTAAGTATTTTCTTCCAATATGTTTCTCCTACATAATTAACTATAAACATAGCTTATCCATCAATTCCCATATCAGTTTCATCAAAATTATCTAGTATAAATAGAATTATTACTTTCTTTAGTATTTAAAGCAGGATCAGTAATATAATTTCCAACTCCTTATACATCATTTACCATATAATTGAAATTCGAGATGATATAGGTGTAATAGGTAAATGCTTATGCTAAATGATTTATATCTGAATTATTATCATTAATATATCCATAATTATTATTATATCTAACAAATTCCCCAGTAAAATATCTTTCTGCAATCCAAAATGAATCTAAAATATTGAAACATAATTTTACTTTTTTTTTCAATGTCTTTTAAAATTAAAAAGTCTGAATATTGGACTTCAGGAATCTTTATAAACATATCAATCTTATCTCTTGCTTCTCTTAATTCTCTAATAAATTTTTTCATCAAACATTTTGAAATTAGATAAGATCTACGCTCAAAAATAGTTTATTCTTGACTAGTATATGTGTTATTTCCTATAGGCATTTTAATAACATATAATTCATCATGATTGTTTTGCCTTTTCATTAAGAATACTTATTTCAATTATCCTTATGCAAATTTTAGATTTTCAATATTATTTTCAAATGAATCTTATTGCAATTCTACGCTATAAACCTGAAACTTAATAGGAATTGTTTTAACTTCAGGTAATTTATAAAATTAAAATGGATCTTTAATCTAATTACAAAGAGCCTACATAGCGCCAGCTTATGATCTTTTATTAATTTAAATATTTTTTGATTTTGTACCTGTATTATTAGTTTAAGAAGCTTTTTGAGATGCCGAAGAAATTAAATCTACAAGCTCTTCCCAGATTTTACCTTATTATGTATTTTCTAGATCTGCAAACATTAATAATTCTTCTTAATCTGCATTTTAATACATTTTTTTTATTTCTTAAAACATAAGTAATGTTATTTGACTAAATAAAGTAGCAACTAAAATTATTTTTGATTCAATAAGTAATTTAATAGCATCTTCAATATCTTCATCTGGATGGTTATCAGAAACTACTCCATTATATTTTTTTCCATGAGTAGGTGCATCACAAATTAAAATAGCAATTCTGAATGTTTTACTCTATAACAAATTCTTAACCATTTAAATAATAGCTCCTCTTAAATCCTCTGCTATTTCTAATTCATTTAATTCTTCAAAATCTTAATAACCAATAGTTGCCCATAAACAATCTCTATTTGTTTTAATCTTTATTGTCTTCAAACTTTCTTTGATACATTACATAACCTATTGTTTATAAGGATCCATAGACTAAGTTACATCTATTTAAAAGCAGACCGACCTCAATTATACCATGACTTTCTAACATTTACATTTTTAAAACTAATGTTAATTATTCTAATTACATTATATTGTTTTATATTTCTAAACTTTACTCTTTTACAATAAATCAGAATATTATTATTATTCCTATTTCAATTTCTTTTATCGAACATCTAATTCTTTCTGTCTTTATTCTTCTTCTCTTATTTATTCTTAATTTCTTTATTCTTCTAATGCACTTAATCTCTCTTCAACTTTAAAAATCTCACTATCAATCTCTAAGACCTTTTTAGGGTCTACTTATTAAGCTATCTCTTTGTATTTTTTTATATGTTAATATATTATTTAAACTCTCTTTGATTCTTAATATTTTATTGATATTTAATTTATATTTTGTTCTCTCTCTTTTATTAATCTTTCTTTCTCTTTCAATAAATAAGTCAAATCCTCTACATTCTTCTCTAACTCCATTATTTTTTAATAATTCTAATGACATTTTTCCTTTACATCTGATAATTATTTCTAATTTTCATTTAATAATTATTAAAAATTTACAAGTTCTGCATTCAATTTAATTATCTTAATCTCATAATTCTATTATCTCTATTAAATAATATTACCTAAATTCTTTCAGCACTTACTAAATCCTATCCATTTATTATTTAACCTCTTATCTCTATTTAACTTGTACTCTATAACTTCTTTATTTAATCATTTGAACTCCCAACCTAAACTTTATAATCTGCTATTCTCTTCTCTAGTTATAAATTTTATTAAAATAATTCATTCAATCTTTCTACATTTTAAGTATCAATATTAATTTTTGTCTCCAATATAACTTTCTCCCTATTTAGTTCTTAGTTCTTTGTATTTACTTCTTAGAGTTATTATTCCAATTGTCTAATTTATTTATTTTAATATACTTTATTTTTTCCTTTGAAAAATAATTATATATTTATTTCATCCTTTTTTTTTTGAAATTCCTACGATTCTATTCAAATTCTAAATCTTTTTATAATCCTTTTATCTCAAAGGACTTAATTGTTGATAATTTTCTAATTTCTTTTATAATTCTTATTTCTCTGATTAATCTAAGAATTAAGATCTGTCTTCTCAATTTCGAATCTACTAATAATAGCTTTTGATGATGCTAACTCCTAGTCTAATTTTTTACATCAGTTCCTGGAAGGTATTCTGCCTTTTATATTATCAATTATTAAGATTGTAAAATCTCATAATTTTTTAATGATTATTCTAATTGATTTCTTACTTAATTATAATCTAATTACAATGTTTGTTTCTCTTCTTTTACCCTATAAACTCTCAAAAACATATTTTTAACTTGTTTAAATCTGACAATACTTTTTACATACTTCTAACATCTTCCTCATTTTAAGCAACTTGAAATTAAATTTTTATTGCCATCTCTAAACGTCATCTTCTAATTTTTTATATTGATGTACCCAAATACCTAATTTCTATTTATAATTCATCTACAAAGATTCCGCTGTCTCTGCTTCAAGTTTTGCCTCTTAATTTATCTAGTATAACTTAGTATTTTTCATTATCTCATCCTTATAAATTTTTATGAGAAGCATTTTAACCCAAACTTTGTAATCACAAATTTGCCCCTTGATACAATCATTTAATATTATCATTTTAAGATGTTGTATAGGTATAATATATTCAAAAGGGATGGCTCTAAAACTATCTTTTTTACATAAATATNTATCTCTATTTAACTTGTACTCTATAACTTCTTTATTTAATCATTTGAACTCCCAACCTAAACTTTATAATCTGCTATTCTCTTCTCTAGTTATAAATTTTATTAAAATAATTCATTCAATCTTTCTACATTTTAAGTATCAATATTAATTTTTGTCTCCAATATAACTTTCTCCCTATTTAGTTCTTAGTTCTTTGTATTTACTTCTTAGAGTTATTATTCCAATTGTCTAATTTATTTATTTTAATATACTTTATTTTTTCCTTTGAAAAATAATTATATATTTATTTCATCCTTTTTTTTTTGAAATTCCTACGATTCTATTCAAATTCTAAATCTTTTTATAATCCTTTTATCTCAAAGGACTTAATTGTTGATAATTTTCTAATTTCTTTTATAATTCTTATTTCTCTGATTAATCTAAGAATTAAGATCTGTCTTCTCAATTTCGAATCTACTAATAATAGCTTTTGATGATGCTAACTCCTAGTCTAATTTTTTACATCAGTTCCTGGAAGGTATTCTGCCTTTTATATTATCAATTATTAAGATTGTAAAATCTCATAATTTTTTAATGATTATTCTAATTGATTTCTTACTTAATTATAATCTAATTACAATGTTTGTTTCTCTTCTTTTACCCTATAAACTCTCAAAAACATATTTTTAACTTGTTTAAATCTGACAATACTTTTTACATACTTCTAACATCTTCCTCATTTTAAGCAACTTGAAATTAAATTTTTATTGCCATCTCTAAACGTCATCTTCTAATTTTTTATATTGATGTACCCAAATACCTAATTTCTATTTATAATTCATCTACAAAGATTCCGCTGTCTCTGCTTCAAGTTTTGCCTCTTAATTTATCTAGTATAACTTAGTATTTTTCATTATCTCATCCTTATAAATTTTTATGAGAAGCATTTTAACCCAAACTTTGTAATCACAAATTTGCCCCTTGATACAATCATTTAATATTATCATTTTAAGATGTTGTATAGGTATAATATATTCAAAAGGGATGGCTCTAAAACTATCTTTTTTACATAAATATTTGTATTAATGACAGATAAAAAAATATTTTGAAATAAAATTTATTTATTTAAAAGCCTAAACTAAATAAGTGCATTTAATAATTCAATATAATGGAAAGTGAGTTGCTTATATAAAAAATAAATTTTTTTGTAATATTTTTAGATTGTCTCAAAATAAAAACCATATTGTAATAGTTAAATTTTATTTTTTAAGTTTCAATATATTGTTTTAATAAAAAATGACTTGTTAGTAAATAAAGAAATTATAAATTCAAATCTAATAGAGTATAAATTAGAATAATTTTTATAGATAAATTTATTTGATTTGTTTACTTAAAAAAAAAAGAGCACAATTAATTCATGTAAATTAACTTTTAATTTCCTAAGTATTTTTTAATAAACAGCTGGAGTATGAGGTATAGATAATTATTTAGTCTAGATGCTTTAAAATAAGATGAAGCAGAGTCATTTATATAATAAATAGTTAAATTTATTGTTATTATGTTTGTTATTAAATAAATCAAACATCATAATTTTTTTCTGAAAGTTTCTCATTATTTCTTATATCTATTTCTACCCAAGTACCAACTTTCTTATTGTATAAATATTAACCATTGTAGGTAATTTTACCATAAAATATACCAAAATTATCGCTCAATTCAACCCATTTACCAATTTTAATTCCAGCCTAATATGAACCACCACCACTATTTAAATTTTTTAATAATTACATGTTTTCATTTTTCTTATCTCCATAATCCTTCTACCACCAAATATCCCATCTATCAACTTTTTTACCATTTCGGTACTCTCCGATATATGTGACTCGTGATTCATTCATAAAATTGTCACTCAACTCAATCCAATTCCCATTTTTATTTAAGATACCTTCTATAATTTCGTAACATCCACCACCCCTGATTTTTTTAAAATTATAAACAATATACATCTTTTCGTTCTTATTATTCAATTTATAATATGTATCCCATTTTCCTATTTTTTATCCATTTTTATATTCACCAGTATATGTTATTTATAAATAATCCTTATATCTCTCACTCAATTCTATCCACTCTCCAATTTTAGTCGAAGCTTCTTCATTTATGTTATAAAAGCCACCTCCTCTAAATTATTTTTTTATCGAATTTTATTTTACATTAATGAATTCTCCTCATCCCAATTACAATTAATATCCCATCTCCCAACTTTTAAACCATTTTTATATTCACCATTATATGTGATGTCCTTTCCATAATTACTCAATTCCTTCCACTTCCCATTTTTAAGACCATCAATATAATCACCTCCTCCACTTATTATTTTTACTATTTAATTATATATTTACATTTTATCAAATAATATATTACCACTCTACCGATGTTAAATTTCCCATATTCCAACTTTTCGACCATTTTCATTGTATTCACCATTGTGTGTTACTTGAAATTATTCAAATCCATCTCCAAAATTATCACTCAACTCAATCCATCTTCCTATTTTTACACTTCTTTTTTCTTTATAAGATCCTCCACCACTATTTATATAATTTAAATTTATACATTTATTCTTAATTATAATATGAATCCCACCTACCGAATTTTTAGCCATTTTTATTATATTCTCCATGAAAAGTGATTTACCTTGAACTATTATATATTTAAAATAAAATAAAAATCGAATTTACTTTTTAAAACAAATACTCAGTTCAACCCATTTACCAATCTTAAAATTTGTTCCTGTTTCAACTTATAAATCATAAATTCCACCACCACTATGATATAATTATAAAATTTACATTTTATCATTTTAATCATCCTAATATAAATAACTATCCCATCTACCAATTTTTTAGCCATCATTACTATATTCACCAGCATATGTAACCTAACAATCGCTTAAAATAATTAATAATTAAAAATTACAAATAAAAATCGTCACTTATCTCAATCCATCTTCCTATTTTAATACTATTACTTACTCCTTGATTAATTTCATATTATCCTCCGCCACTAATATAAGATTTAAATAAATTAAGTTTATACATTTATTTTTATTGATAATATATATCCCATCGACCAAATTTTTAACCATTTTTATTATATTCTCCTTGAAAAGTTATTTGCCTTGAACTAAAGTAATTCATAATTAATTAATCAAATTACTATGCAAATAAATCACAAACCTCAATCCAGTTTCCAATTTTAACACTCATTCCTGATTCCTCTTAGAAATAAAAAAATCCACCACCACTGTATAATAGTTATAAGTTTGAGCAAATATTGAAATATATATACATTTATTCTTGTTTTTTTTAACTTTCAGTATAATATGTATCCCATTTGCCAAATTTTTGTCCTTAACTATTGTACTCACCGACCATAGTGACTTAACTATAACTAGATACAAATGAAAAAATAAATTTACAGATGATAACCTTCACCTAATTCTATCCATTTACCAATTTTAAAACTTTTTAGTACTCCATTTAAAAATGAAAATAATCCCCCACCACTATAATCGATTATTTAGAATTAAAATTATTCTTAAAATTATACATCTTTTTATTATTATCATTCCAATTCCAATTTATATCCCATTATCCTATTTTTTAACCATATTTATTATATTCACCAATGAAGGTAACTTAATTCTTACTTGAATTAATAAATTATTTATTTTTACTGTTAAAACCCTTCTCCTTATTAAATCCATTTGCCAACTTTCACGCAACTTCCATCTTTTTCATGAATACCATATGATCCACCTCCACTATTATTATTATATTTTGATAATGTTAAATATAAATACATTAATTCCTAATATCTATTTTATTCATAATATATATTCCATCTCCCAACTTTTTAACCTTATTAATTATATTAACCATAGTAAGTAACCAAACTATCACTTAATTAATTTAAATGATGAATAATAATACTTTCCAAAATTAGAACTTAGCTCAATCCAATCTCCAATTTTTACACTATTTTAATTATCTTCATTAACAATAAATGATCCACCACCACTTATATTTTAATATAGGCATTATATTAGTCAAATTTAATACATCTATTCAATCTGTCCTACAAATTTCATAATATATATCCCATCTTCCGACTTTTTAATTCTATTTATTATATATTCCCTTATAAATTACGAAGCTATCACTTAATAATTTAAATTATAAATAATAATACTTCCAAAATGTATCACTTAATTCAATCCAGTCTCCAAATTTAACATTAATTCCATTTTCTTCATTTATATTAAATAATCCACCACCTCTAATTAATAATAGAGAGATTAATAATATTTAGAATAAATACATCTTTACGTTTTTACCATCCTTTTCATAATAAATATCCCATCTATCTACTTTTTGACCATTATTATCATATTGACCAATTTAAGTGACTTAATTGTATCTAAATATGTTTTAATAAAGTAAATATCAATACTCTGAGAAACTATTACTTAATTCTATCCATCTGCCAATCTTATTACCTTAGTAATTATAAGATCCTCCTCCACTAATTTATTATTAATAATTTACATTTCACAATCTCTATAAAGATACTTCCATATGCCTATTTTCTAACCTTACATATATTCTCCTTCTTCATAAACTTAAGCCTTGCTGTTATAATAATATATAATGACCGCTAACCTCCAATAATTATGAAAAAGTTCTTTCCATTATCCTTGTTTTTTTCCTTCTTCTGAGTACATACCACCTACATTTATTAAAATTTCTCCATTCCATATTGTTATCCACTTCCAAGTCTTCCTCAAATCATTACTAAATTTGCCTTTCTTCTAGAGGTATTAGATTTATTCTAAATTGTGTAATATATCTAGTATTTAAGAGGAATCCTGAATTTGATCACTATTTTAATAGAACATTATTACATTCTCAATATTGATCCATCTTTTATGTATTTGATTTCATTAGTTTCGGTAAAACAAATTTAAAAATCAACTTCAATAAAGATATCCATTAAAAAATCCCAAATCTTACATTTTTATTAGTTTGATTTTCCTTCACATTTATTATTTTTCATCATTATTTGCCTTTTTAAGAATAAAATTAATATAGTAAAAATGAATTTTATATTATAATGGCATCATTTTATTGTGATAAATTCATAATTAATATCTTAAATATATTATATAAGTAATCGAGATAAAACTTTAATCTTATACCCAAAGAATATATAACATATAACTAAATGCAAACCTATTCACTTTGCTTTGTTTATTTCTTTAATTTTTGTTTAAACCATTCAATGAAGATTTTACATAATTTTATTATAAATCCTTTTATCAATTATAGAGTAAAGAAAGATATTATTCCATTCCATACATTGCCGTAATTTCTTTCTCAATTTAGATTATTAGTATTAAGAAAAAAGATTATCTTAAGATTTATTGAACAAATTTAATAAAATAAAACAAAAAAAGATTGATTGTCTTTCTTATACTTATAATTCTATAACTTATTTAAATTAGATAGCCAAACTTTATTGGGTTGATAATTGAAAATAGTATTATTATTTGGCCATAATATTTAATAGTATCACAAAAGTTGACATAAAAATAACAGGATATGTGAAAAATCATGCCTATAGAAATATCTGATTAGGTATGTTAACCATTGTTCCCAGTGTTAAATAACAAAAATACATACTAATCTTTATGAGAATTAATGATAGGTAATTCTTGAATTTTAGTTCTATAATATAATTCCTTATACAATATCATTAAAATATTTCATTTAATATCTCTACTTTAGATTAATTGAATAAATGTACACATGGATACAAATCATTGGATGTATCAATAGTAAGTGTCTTAGAAGTATAAATAAAAATAATTACAAATGATTGATTTGTAGATTGTTTATTCCATTTTACATATTTATTTTAGATATCTACTTCAACAATAATTATATCATTAATAGAAAATGGAAATGAAATCTATTAACCTTATTTATCCTATTAATCATGATTCCAACATGAACCACTATATTAAATATTATATGTTCTATATATAACTATTAAAATCTTTTAAATTACCCTCCACCAATCTCATAACAATTTCTAAAACCTTAACTTTATACAATATCTCTAACACCTATTCCTATCATAATATAGCCCATCTCAATAATTTTAATAGCAAATTAAATTTTATAATCTTTAGGTATTATTTAATCACACATACAACATTGCCAACCACCATTTTTTGTCTCAATAACTTTTCCATCATAACTTACTTAACAATTATTATGCTTATACATTGTTGAGAACTTTAATGATTATGAGTAATCTTAAATCTATTATTTATAATATATATTCACTTTTATCAAATTTTATTATCCTGATTTTTATTAATTAATAAAGCCTATTTACATTGATTTCATTAAAGCTTCTCTATTTTAAGTTATTGTAGAAATCAATGTATTTTACCCAATTTTTAATTCTATCAAATTAAAAAAGGTATCATTAAATTAAGAATTTGTTTTCTTTAATTATTCAACATCAATTAAGGAACTTTTATTAAAATTTTTTTAGAATTTATCAAATATTTAATGCATACTCTTATTAAGATTAATTAATTGATTTAATAATTGATCGCAAATATTTAATTGATTAGATAAGTATATAAAAACCTCTGCAATTTATCTCAAATCTTTTTAATGACTTAAATGACAGCCTTTTTATATACTCTTAAAACAAGACAAACGAAATTCAGAGCAAAACTCATTTAAACATACAAATTCAACCATCTTTTCCTGACTTTCTTAGGATTTTCTTATTTAAATTGAGTCCATAACTTAATTATTTATTTTATTACTATTTAAATTAATTCTAAATGTTATAATCATAAATTTTTAATTAAATTTATTAGAAAAACAAATTTTAGAATTTTGTAATTGTTAGTTAATATATAATTTAAATAAAGCAAAAGAAAATAAATTTCTATCAGAGATAATTTAAATTTTCACCTTTAAATATCACCTGAATATAGAGATATCATAATATTTAATATATTAACAATCATAAAAATTGTCTATAACAAATTACTCAAAATTAATATTAAATTAACTATCTAAATAAAATCCAATTATCAAAATATTTAATTCCTATATTATTTTATGTTAATTATCAAAAGATTTAATATATTTCTTGATCTTCATATAATATAATTGAATTTACATATGAATATAATATCTTTGAAAATAATTATTTAGAAAACAATGATTGAAATGAGATTGAAATTATAAGAGAAATTGAATTTTTCAGATTGTCTCTAAGATTCTTTATAAGAAATTTGTTTATAAAAAAGATGTAATATAATTTATATTGATTAATAAATTCATTAATATTTGAGGAATAAAGGATTGTTTTGATTTTTAAATTCACTAATATATGAACATTTTTGTTTTATAGGATAATTTTTCTAAAATTAAAATAAACATTATACTGGATTATATGAAGTACCAAAAAGTTTATCTAAAATAGGATTACCAAAATTGACTACATAATATAAATGATGTCTATAGTGATCTTCATAGTCTAAAATACTAAAAATATTAATTAGATATTACTTTCCATCATGAGCCAACATATCTTTAATAGCAAATAATAGTCCAAAAATCATGGTTTATAAAGGATGAATTGGTATCAATACTTCAGCTGAATGAAGAATCATTGTACCTAATAGAAAACCTTCCAAAGGATGTCCTGCACAATAACCAAAAGAAGTAGGTTCTTTGAAAGAATGATGAATACTATGAATGTATTAATAAAATTATCTTTAATGTAATAATCTATGAATCCAATATCCATTAACTATTTTAATTTATCATAAATACATATTTTCCATAAACAATGAAATCCAACACCATATATCAAATGATGTATACTGTAGTCTCTGATTTCAAAATATTTATAATATGGAGTGTAAGGATATATATAATAATAAAAGGACTTATTATTTTTAAATATTTATACCATTGATACAAAACTTCCAAACATTAGTTAAGGAATTCCAAAGCGGATTTCTTTCAAAATATTTTATACTCTTAATTTTGTTTTAGGCATTGGATTCAAATATTCAATAAATGAACAACACATAAAATATTAGACAATAGCACCTATAAACCCAAGAAATATCTAGATAATCATGATTTCTTACATTTTCAACATAATGTTAAAAGTTATTAATGTAAATATGCTTTTCACTAAAACTCATTTTATCTAATTCATCTCCAACAACGGGAATCATTATTGTAAAAAGAAGCAATAAGATTTAGTGGAATTAAATCATAAATAATATTATTAAGTATTAAGTTATTCAAAATTTAATTAAAAGTATTTACAATCATAATAAATGCTATCACAATATTTTTTTCATCATCTATTACTTAATAATGATTCCAATATTTTAAATACTTTTTTTAAAATATATAAATATCAATTCTAGAATGCTTCATTCTTAATCCCCTCAAAAAATATATTTTTATTTATTAATTATTTTTTTCCTGGATTTATCTCAATTTTATTTGGCTATATGTAGATAACATTGAAAATAATATTAAATAATTGTTTAATTTTAACACATTCAAATATTTAAGACTTCTTATAAATTACATTTTTTATAAAAAATTAAAATAAAGCATCTCTATTTTTTATTTTGATATCTAATAACTTAAAATTCTTTTAAAAATTTATAAGCCCTCTAATTCTATTAATTATAATTTGTATATATTTTATTCATAATTAGAAAAATATTTTGATTTAATTTAAATTCAATATATTGATGCAATTCCATATTTACTAATAAAAAATAGTTAGAAATCACAATTATCATGCAATTTTTTATTGATAATTCAATTAGATGCTAATTATATATATTAGTGTTTGAAATATAGTTATAATTTATGAGTTAATAATATCAGAAAATATCTAAATTTAAGATGATATAGATTGTTTGTTTATTGATTTATATGTTTTTTTCCGATTTTCAATATTAATTGATAAAAATTAGATGAATATCTGTTAATCTATTTAATAACATTAAAATTCACATAAGCAGATGTTAATAGGATCTTAAAAATACAATTTTATAAATATGATAATAAAACAAGAGGATTTTCCTTTATGTTATAAATTATTTAGGCAATTTTAATGAAATATTATAATATCTATAATATTCATTTATTGATTATTCTGAATATTAAAGATAATAAAATAATTCTCTTTATCTACAATCCAAATAGGAATAAAAGATAAATTATATTTTTGATTGAATATAAGAATAAATAAATAAGAAATGCATAATTTGTTTAATAAGTAAAAATTTCATATTTCCATTAATAATTTTTTTAATATTTATTATCTAATCTAATCGATATTCATAAATGATACAATCAAGAGATTTTGAAATTTGCAGGATACATAATGAAAAGATTGTTTATATTGATAAATAATAATCAGATATATCAAAAAAAGGTCTTTGTCACTAATGTGTTGCTGAATAAGAAAAAAATAAAAACCTTAAAATGATAGATGATATAAGAACTTAACTTTCTAATTTTAAGGATCAATTAATATAGAACAGAGAATATCGAACATAATGGAATATTGATTTATTGAGAAATTTGCAAGAGTCTTTACATAAATATTAAGTTTAATTTTGCTAATAAACAGAAAAATGCATATAAAAAATCCATCAATAAATCAATCTTTTTAAAAATGCTAAATAATAATACTAAATGAAAGTTAGCTAAATAACAATAAATGATTTGAATGGTCCAGACAAAGTAAAGTCTTAAATTAAATAAGAATTTATTGATTGTAAGGGTATAAAATCTATTTTATTGAATCAAATGAATAATTTTGAAGTTTTTTAGATGAAAAATATATGTGAAGAACAAATATAAAAAATAGATTTTGGTGATTAAAATTTAGAATTGGAATAATTGTGTAATTTAGAATTATTTTAAAATGAAAAAGAATAATATTAAAAATGGAAATGTGATGAACATAAAGAAGAGATTATGTTTATAGATTTAGAATAAATTTAAAGAATTCCTAATAGATTAGCATGTAAGAAATGTGTACCGAAATATAATTGTAAATTTACAGATATTGAAGATTTATAAAATTTATGGTAATAATATTTCTAAGAAACTTAAAAATAAATTCATTTATATATGTAATAATCAAATAAGGTAAAAAAGTAAATGGTAAAACTTCTCCAAGAATTTAAAACTAAAATGAATGAATAAATAGATTAATTATTTTTATTTATTGAATAATAAGGAAAATTTGATTGTAATAAGGCATTATACAAACCATTTTAATTATTATAGAGAGATTTATAAACTATATCAAAAGATGAAATAATAATTATTGCAAATTCTGTAAGTAATGAAAATAAAGAGTTTACAATAAAAAAATATGTTAGAAATGAATTCATTAATAAAGAGATTGTTTTAAAAGAAACAATTTATAAGAATATGTAAATATTTCAAAAACAATTAGAAACAATAATAAATAATTTATAGTAATTAAATCTAACAGATAATGATATACTATTATTATAAGAAAATAATAAAAGAAGACTTTAAAATTAAACATTTGTTGAACCTTAATCATCTAGAAATTTACATTAAAAAAAGTTTATATTAAAGAATGATAATTGTTATATGCTAGATTCAAATATCGATATTGAAACTTATCGTAATTATGATGGATAAATTTCTCCTATAAAAAAAGGTGTTAGATAGATGTAGAATAAATTTAAATTAAATTTGTTAAATGTAACATTAAAACATTTTAAATATGAAATATTTAGCTAAATTGAAGAAAGCACACCATGTTTAGCAATAGCAATAAATTCTTAAGCTACTATTTTAGTAGTTGGATAATATAGAGGTATAATAAAAGTATTTTCTATTAATAATGGATTTCTGAATTAAATTTAAATTTTATAAGAGAATAGTTTTAATATAAGATGCTTATATTTTATGAAAGGATCATAATCATTTTTATCTGGAAGTAATGATAAATCAATTTTAATTTGGAAGTAAGGATTAGATTAGAAATGGTATAATTTCAAAAAATTAGAAGGTCATTCAGGATATATTTAATGTTTAATAATGAATAACTAAGAAAATCTTATTATTTCAGGTAGTTAAGATAAAACAATTAAATTCTGGGCTTAAGAAATTGATTGGTAATGTTAATTTACATTTAGTGGACATAATAATAGTGTGAGAAGCATTAGTTTAAATAGTAGTAACAATTAATTAATATCATGTGCAGAAGAAGAATTATAAATTCTTATTATTTAACTTTAAAATGATTTAAAAACATGGGCTTTAGCTTTTGAAATTAAGGTAGATTATTGGGGTTATAGTGTTATTTTTATTAATGATCACTTATTTTCATTCTAACCACACAAAATTGATTAAATTTATCTTTTTCAAAAAAAAAACATTTAAGAAAATTAATTTCAATTCAAACAATGTATTGAGGTTAAATGTGAAGATGATTGTACAGCTTTATTTCCTCAAATGTATTTGAAATCAAAATAAATTTTAATGACAAAAAATGGTAGATATATTAATCTAATTCGAAAAAATAAAAACGGTCAATTTACAACAGAATAATCAATACAAAATGCTGATAATTGTTGTGGACTATATGGATCTATGACTTTTGACGGAGAATATCTATTTACATGGGAAGATTAAAACCATTAAATAATCGTTAGAAAGTTTAAGGAGTATTGATTTTTAATTATTTTAATTTAAATTATTAAGAAACATAATTTTTAATAGATAATCATTTAGTATAATATTTATTATTTATAACATTACTTGGATTCATTAGAATTACTCTTATTAATTTAATTTTGTAATCGACTGGTAATTCTAAATATTAAGAAAAATCATAACTTTAATACATCTGTCTCTTAATTAATTACTTAAAAAATAATAACAAATAAAATCAATATACGTTATTAATCAAATTAATTATTTTTATCAAATTTTTAAAACTAAAAGTTAATTAAAAAGAATTATAATACTAAAGAAAAAATTTTATGTCTACTATTATTAATCATTCTATGATATATTTGTTTGCTCTCCAGAGCATTTAAATGATTAAAAATAATTTATTAGAATTCTTATTGTTAAACATTTAGTAGAATCTTAACTTAGATTGAGGTTTAAAATGTTAATTAAAACAAAAATTTTGATCTAAACTATAAAGGTTTTTTAAAATAAATAGAATAAAATAATTACAACCATATATCAATTAAGATTTTGGCTTTCGCATTATCTATAAAATCAGTTGCCATAAATATAAAAAATAAATGTATAATAACTCTTTTTTTATTTTTAGAATACTTTTTATAAAAAATTATCGAAGTTTTTGAGTTTAGCAATAATTTATTATATAACATAAGATCATTAGCAATTATTATATTATTTTTTGAAGGTATCATTAAATTAAAAATATTTAATTATTATAAATATTATTCGGTATAATAAAAATGTTATTGATACTAAAACAAACTAATTATTTAACTAATCAAAATAATTTATCAATCTGGTTATAATTAGAATTAAAAAATTTGTTTTAAGAAATATCTTTTCTAATTAAGAATTTATTTAAATAATTATTATATTTGAATAAAATAAATACAAAAGATTTATAAGAGATGAAAATTTTAAAATAAAAATAATAACTAATAATAATTCCAAATAATTTAAGTCCTTCCTATAATTAAGTAAATTATATCATATTGCAGCTTTTAAAAAGAGAAAGAAAACAAAAATACTTTATATAATATTAAATAATTCAGCAAGGAATTTGAGGAAAAAATTTAAATATTTAATCAAGAAAGCAGGATATTAATCAATTAGTTAACTAATTAACATCTCATTTAATTTTCAATTTAAGCTGAATATGATTTAAATTTACTAAAAAATTTATTTATTTAAAAGGGGCTTTTACTATAATTTATTGAATCATTCAAATTTTTGGTTTGATTAAAAATACCATTGATTAAAATTTTTAGTTCGTGTTTTAATCTGAATCTATCGTGGTTTGTAGATTATACAACATTTATCTAAATATAATTATTTAATATTTACTTTTTAATTTTTATTGATGATTTTAAGTAGTCTTTTAATTTGATATAATTATACTTCACTCTTTTTTCTTTATTTTTTTATTGTTTCAAAACTTATTTAATTTTTTCTGTAAATTTTGAATCCTTCTTAATTTTTTCGAATAATTTTAATGTTGAATTCAGGATTAGTATATAGTATTTTTTGTAATAAATGCTAAAGATTCCTTAAAAAAAAGGGAAGCATAATAATATACAAAGGATAATGATTATTATTTATAATAAAATAGATAGCATTTAATTATTCTGTTACTCAGAAACGTATTTAGAAGCAGCAAGAAAAATTGTAATTGAACAAATTTATCCAGTTAGCAAATCCAAATGATTAAGATTTGAAATAATGTATGGCTTTTATTGAACAGCCAATAGTTAATAAAAAAGTAAACATAAGCCTAATAAGGAAGCTTTTAAAAGAATTTGAGTTTCAAAGTATGTAAGAATAAGTATTATAATTGTTTTTTTAGTCAATTTGATTAATTCCCAATAATAATTTCCATTATTATATTCATTAAAAAGATAGGAAATGTGCCTTCTCTTTTTTATAGAATCAAATTGATCTTTCAATTTATACATTATAGCTAATAAAAAAAAAGGAATCAATATACAAAATATAACCAAACCTGGAATAATAAATGATACTGTCCATTTAAAATGAGTTGAAGACCAATATTCTAAAGAAACATCACCTTGTATATAATCTAAGCCTGAGATTTCTCTTTTTGAAAGTACTGATGAAAACCTAATTTAAAATTATAAATTACATTTTAATTAGTCCTCCAAAATTTGATATATATAAATAAATTAATGTATTAGAAATTGTATCAAATTAATATTATTATTTAATATCTTATCTGTTTATTTTAAAGTATATATAAGATAAGATTAATATTAATAGCAATTAAAATATCATCAAAATAAGCATAGTAATAATTCTTGAATAAATTAATTATATCTCTTCTATTTCAGATAAATAACAATCTAAATTATTAGCCATAAAAGCAGATGTATTGCTTACTTAATCAACAAAAATAAATGAAAAAGAAAAGGTAATATTAAATGTATAAATAACAGAATATATCCACAAATAATTTAATAACATTTTTAGAAATATACTTTCATGATCTAATTATAATAAATAATAATACCTTAACTTAACTTAAAAATAATAGAGAAAAACTTTTATTGAAGTTTTAGAGATGTAAATAATTAATTAGATTAATTGATACTTTTCAAAGATAATATAATTGATAATAAAGCCCTAAATATTGAGATAAAGTTTTACCAAATTGATGTTAATATAAAAGGAAGAATACTATCTTAATCTCCATAACAACTTAAACAAAGTTAATCTTATTATGTTTTAATATATTTTCCATTTCCTCTTATATTTTAATAATCACATTCTTCACATAATCCTCCAATATGTCCAGTACTACATAATTCATTCCCAACATTCCAACCACCTTCACAAAATTTTGGATTCTTAAAACAATAATCTGTTGAATCAGAGTATATATTAGGTCTCCAATAACCTTTTAATAATTCAACTTTATTTGAAGTTATGCTTTAATATTTACTTTTATCAAATACTGAACATTTTGTTGCATTATAAGTAACTGAATAAAATCCTTAATTAGATTAACAAATTTAACATCCATTATCAACATAAAATTCACCTAATTAACATGAAAAACTTTTAGTTTTGATGATATAATCCATATTCTTCTATGAATCTGTTGTTTAACATCTAAATTTAATCAAATAATTAGTTTCTGAAATCTAATATGGATTCAAAGTTAATGAAAGTAAACCTAAATTAAAATTATTATTTTCATTATCAAATTAAATCTTAACTTTTTATTCAAAATTATCATGATCTACAAATTAATCCTGTAAAACTGCTAATTAACTAACAATACAATTTGAATCTATTAAATTTTTAATTTATTCATTTCTACTATTTTTAAATAATAAAGAAAAGTTAGAAAGATATTATAAATATCTTTAAGATTTTGGATGATATAATAAATAATTTAATATTTATTAATTACTAGGAAGAATCAAAATATTTGAAATTATTTTTATTCCTTATTAAATAGTTTTATAAGGTTTAAGATTTAATAAATTAGTCTATGTATTATTAATAATATATTCTTGTGAATTCATTTCTTTGCCATTAATAGAAAGAGCAAGATGACTTGGGGTTTCAACCAGATTATTTCCTTATAGAATAGCTTTATTAAACAATAAAAGAGAAGAAATAAAATTTAATTAATTTAATTGGTTATTTCCAACTAAATAAATTCCCCCTCCTTAATTTGCTTAATTATATAAAATTATAGATTTTTTTATGAGTAATGCATTTTTATTTGCAAATAAATGAATACCTCCACCTGATAAAGTGGCTTAATTTCCAACAATACGACAATTATCTATATTTAAATATATATTTTAAGCCATTATTGCTGTTCCTTGATTTCCTTAATTATTTATAAAATTTGAATTATAAATTTTAATAGTTGGATACTTCTATGTATTTACCACAATAGATAAACATCCAAATCCCTTTATAATATTAAAACCGCAATATAATTATTATATTTTTAATTGTTTAAAGTTTGTAATCGATAAATTAATAATACCATTATAACAATAAGTACAATTGTTTTTTTGTATATTAAGATTTTAAACATGTAATGTATGTTAAATCGAATTAATGGAAATATAAATTAATGAACTAGAATTTGATGCCAACTCTGTAAATTTTTTAATAGTATCTATTAAGTATAATTAATTATCTCCATAAGTTAAATTATTATATTAAATACATTCTACTAAAATAGAATCCACATTATTCAGAAGATAGAAATAACTAGAGTTTATTAAATAAGCTGAACTCTTAGTAATATGTAATGTGTCTAAGTATATTGTTGATAAGATATCTTCAGTTGAACTTATAGATATCAAATTGAATGGATATAATGTTTAAATTTATAACAACCAACAATTTTCTATTTTTAATTTAACTAAATTATTTAATTTAAAAATAGGTGATAAGAAAATTCCTTCAAAAAATATGTTAATTAATTTTATATTTCCTTAATTAATTTTAATCACAGCATTATTATCACTAATAATACTTTATATTTCAGATTAAGATATAATTCCAATTTTTGAGAAATATTTAATTAAATAATCTTCTGCTTAAATTGCTGTAATATTTTATATATGCACAGAGTCTAATTCTAAGTTTAAAGATTAAAATGAAATACTAAAAAATTGATTCAATAAGGAAATACAATTTGTAATTTCGATGTTTTTTAAGATAATTTTATTTCCTTGAGTTGAAGGTTATATAGTTAAAATAGTTGAAGACATTCTGGTTAATATATTTGTAAATTATGCATTTACAATTTTCAAATTTAAAATACTATTTTAAGAGTAAATGCTAATGCAACCAGAGCCGCTAATTTATTATAAATTAGTTTCAATATATTTTGCTGATATATTATTTAATTCTATTTCACCTTATTGTTAAGTTTTAATATCAAATATAGCACTTTAATAAGCAAGAATATTTCTAAATTAACAATTTTAACAAGTAAATGATGATGCAATTATTTAACCTGCTCCTCCTTTATTAAGTATTTTCAATGATTATTACATTACTAGATTAATTTCATCTTAATTCAACTCTGAATTTAATTAAATTTAAAAATAGCTTTACAATAATTCGTAAGGTAAAATATTATGATTCATAACTTAAAAATTTGAAATTTTAATTGAGTAAGCATTAAGTACAATAAAAGAGTTTGATGAATTTGTTAATGAATTAAATTAACAAAATAAATTTGTTATTTCTACATTACTTAATTATGATTATAAATAAATTAAACCAGCTGATGTTTCTAAAGGATTATCAATATATTAATGTAAAAAGTTTTTTGTAAATGTCATATCATCAATCACAATTTTCAATTTATCTTAAGAGTAAATTACAATTAAAGAAAATAAATCAGCATTTTCTCTTTAAAGTAATATATTTCCCTCAAATAACACATTTTTAAGTTCTATTTCACCAAAGGAATAATCATAAAATTATCTACTAAATTCTACTTGAATTTATGATTAAAAGGTACTTTATTAATTTATTATTTAAATATTTGTTAATTTTAAATTTTAAAATCCATTTAAATGTAAAAAGTAAGAATCGTTTAATATTAATTCATCAATACATTTTAAATTCAAAGGAACCTTTTATAGAGCTTGAGTAGTTTAAAAAATCACATTCTCCATAATAACAATTTAATTTTCAACGATATAAAAAAGAATGCAATTTTTAATATTCTAAATTATTGCATTCTTAAATTAGAAAGATTATCCATGAATCTTAAATAATTGAATATAAGTATTTGTTTACTAAACTTAGTTTATATCAACTATTTGAATATCTGTAATAGATATAATAATACGATTTACTGTTAAACTAGAAAAGATGAAAAATAAATTAGAATCTTCAAGTTGATTTTCTATAGCACTATAATTTTAAACATTGCAAATTATTAAATCTTTACTTTATATATTATTAGTGGCAATAAATTAAGATTAAATAAATGTATTTTAAATTGTTTAAACATTTGATAATTCTAAACTATTATCAAAAGAAATTATTATTGACATTTTAAGAAAGTTATTTTTGAATTAGAAACTATTAAGATTTAAATTACAGTTATTTTCACTATTTATAAAATATGAATTAGCAAAGTTAGAGTTTGTAATGATAATATCTTCAAAATTTATAGAATTTTAAGAGATTGATTTATCAGTAAAACTTCTAAAAATTGAAGAATTGACAAAATTGCAAGAATTAATTGTAATTTTTTTAATAGAAATAGTGAAATTGTTTTTTGACAATATGAGTAGATCAGAGTTAAAAATAAAACAGTTTTCAATTAATAAAGTATCAATTTGTAGATATCCTTTAAATAAAGATGATGCTAGATTTAAGAAAGAAGAATTATAAAAATTCAAATTCATCAGAGTAATTTTAAAAAATTCGATATTGCCAAAATAATCCGTTTAAATAATAGTAATATTATCATATTTGCTTTCTTTAAGTAGTATATTAGATAGTTTTAAATCAATTATATTTTTATCATTTGAAATAAGAAATGATTTAGCATCAATAAAAGAAATGTTATAAATTTCAACTTAATCAAAATTTTAAAATATTGTTGAGCTAGACAAAAATATTATGCAGGATGATTTAAAATTTATTTTTAAAATTGTCTTTCTTAAACTAAAAATTTAAGTTTTTAAGTATGTATCATATAAAATAGGACATTATATATAACAAATTTCTTCTGTATATTCATTATAAAAAGTATAATCAATTATAATTTAATCAACACCAACTTAGTTTAAATAATCTGTATTGATAGATTTTTCTAAATCAGAAAATTTATCTCCTCCTTCTGAATTGATACAAGATACAAAAATAATTTCTGATATAAATTAATATAAGAAATGAGTCCAACAATCTTAAGTATAACAATATTTTGCAATCTAATAATAAGGATCAATAACAACATTAATATTATTAATTTGCTTAACACAAATTTTGGTATATATTTTATTATTTTAAGTTAATTTAAATTTTGGTTATAGATTCTAATTTATAAAATAAAATAAAATACATAAATATCGATATCCTATCTATTTCTGCAAACATCACATAATTATGGACATTAAATACATTAACCATTTTCTTAAATTCTTATAGGTTAATAAAAATAATTAAGAGGACATTATTAACATATAAATTATTCCTAAGATCTTTGACATTATAAACAATCTTCACTACAATATTTAACACAATCCTAATAAATTGTTAATTAATATCCTTAAGTACATTAGATAGGCATAAAAAAAAGAATATAATTATTTAATGATCCTGGAGGATAATAATAATTGTTTGGTAAAAAACTCATCATAAAACTTTATATCAACCATAATGATGCATCTCTATTATAAAAATCTCCTTCCATAACAATAATTGCATTTTCTATTGAATTTTCAAAACAACTTCCAGTTTAAATTTAATTTGAGTATCCTGTCTTACAAATTATACATTAAATTTTTTAATCTGGATTTAAAATACATTATATGCAATTAGATACATATTTTTAACAGTTTATAATTTCTGATGCTATACTAAAGTCTTAAATAGAAGATAATGTGCAAATTTCCTATCCTTATAAATTGATATAGGATCTTAAACAATATTCTATTTAAGATTGTTGATTCATACAAATTCCTAAATCGAAATCAAAAATATAATTATCATCACATAAAGCACATCCTATTTTGATAATATGTATATCTTCTGTATAAAAATTATCAAAATTTCTATATAAGGTACATTTTAATTCTTATTCCAATTTTTAATATTCAAAACATTGTTTACAGTTTTAGATTGTACAAAGTTTACATTCTTAATTAGATGTAATATAATAAGGAGAGACGCATGGATTTATGATTATTTATAATGAATCTGTATTACAGAATCCATTGATTAAATTTAAATGATTACATTTAGAACATCTTAAACCTTAAATAGTAACATAACATTCTAGACAATCAAATAATCCACATTTATAACAATTAGGTGATTTATTAGTACAATAGTTTTTAAATTCTTCATTTCTTTATTATAATTCTTTAACTAATATTTCCTGGTTATAAAAATTTGTTTCATCACAAGAAAAACAAAGTTACACATCTATACTATCAAAAATAAAATTATCATAAGTTGAAGTTAAGAAGGTTTATTCAATACTTCCATTTGAATTTAAAAAGATATCAGTTTTACAATTTGGATTTTCACTCCATTTTTAAGGATTTTAGAGACATTCCAAACAAGTTACTACATATTCAGTAATTATTGAAGGACTATAATAATAAAATATAATACCATAAGATACATTGTTATAAATACTCAAAATAACCATAATTACATTAATTATTTTTTCTCTCTTCTTCAATTAATATTAATCCAGAATCTTAATATGAATGACAAATTCCAACATCAATTGTATTATAAGGGCAAATACAAGTTTTTTTTTCAATTATATACGTTCTTCTAGATTCTATTGAACATGATAAACAATCTTGATTTGTTGGACCATCACATTCTTAACAACTTATATGACAAGATTATTATAAATATTCTTCATAACAATTGTAAAATACTACATTACTTAATTTTATATTTAAGTAATTATTTTCAATTTAATCAATATTACCATAAAATAATTTTAATTGATTTTGTTTAAATTAAATTACATCAACAGTTTCTCTAAATTCATAAACATTATATAATTCTAGAAATTTTATTTAAATATCAATTGAATTCTCATTTAAATTTACATATAAATAATGCCATAAAGTTATATCATTTATAATATTAAATTCTTTCTATTTAAGAAAAGGATTATCTAAAAAATCTAAAGTAACTATTGGAAAAGTATAACTATATGTACTAACAATTATTTTATTTTATAAAGGGGATATCAAATATGATAAAGAGAAAGGATGTAGATTTTTATTAGAAAATTTTGAATTCTCAAAGTTATAAGCTAATCTAATAAATTAATAGATAAATTCATCATCAGAATTTACAATTTCCTTAATTCTTATCCAACCAGATAAAAGAAAATAATCACAATTTAGTTTTTCTGATAAATAAGTGCTGTAATCAAGTTAATTTAACTCAGTATCAGCAATTTTATTATTTTAATTCTTAATACAATCACAAATAGCATGTCTTTCTAATATTCGAAATGCCTGCAATTATAGATTTTCATCAGATGGAAAATTGAACTTTGTAAATCTTTTTAAAATTATTGGTCCAGGAAAATAAGAAAATTTAGTACCTGGTAATATAGATGAAATTTTAGAATCATGTACTATTAAACTATTTCCAAAAGTAAATTGAAGTTCTAAATCGTAAAAAGGGTAAGACATTTTGAGTATTTCATGATGAAAAATAACTTTTGTTACTGATAATACAATAATTTCCAATTCATTAAGATTGGGTATCCCATACATTCCACAAAAATACCAAACATCTTCATATTCAAAATTATCTATTTTTATCTAAATTTTATGTTATTCATTATTATTATTAACAAAGTAGATTGATTTAGTTATCAAACTAGATTGATAATCTAAACAATCGAAATATATTAGATTCAAACTTTAAGTTTCTAATGAAACTGCATTTTAAAGCTAAAAACAATTACTTTCAAACAATCCAACAGGCCCTACTTATGATATAAGACTAAAAGGATTATATTTAGACCAGAGTCCATAATTAAAACCATTTTCATAGGTAAACTACCCATCAATAAGAAAAATTTTATTTTGATTTACTTGGTATAGAGGATCCATTAGCTAAGCTTTTACTTCAAAAATTAGATTTAGAATGGACAGGATATTTATAATTTTTATCATTTATTTAATTATATAAAGATCTATAAGGATTTACCTGATTTCTAAATTATTCCTGTTTGATAATAACTAAATAAAAAATTTTTGACTATTTTTAAAATGTGGTGAAATCAAAAATTGATACATAATGAGTTAAAAAGTCTGTTTCTAAGCTATACTTCATTATTTCTTTTTTATTTAATCTGTTAAGAATATGTCAAATTCAAAATGATCTCTATCCATTAGTTTCTTTTTCATTATTTATTCATATTATTATTTCATGAATATTATTATATGGAAACAACTATTTATTGTTATTTTTAGCTTTTAGAGAGAGAAATATTTTAGTATTATATATATGATTTATCCATATATTTTAATAAAAACGATTTCATAACCTTGATTAAATCTTTTTCTTATATAGTTCAAATATTAAAAAAGTGCAAGAAATTTAACAATATGTCATTTATATGATAAAATATATGAGTTTATTTAGCATAAATTTGTTTAAAATGCACAAGCATTTTTCCAATTTGAGTTTATTTTCAATATGCTGTATTTTAAATAGAAATCGATAAATTTTTGTAATTGTGTATGAACTTAGTTTTTTTAAGTTTAATTACTATTCTTTCTATATTCAATTTGATTTTAATCTAGAGAAATATTGAATTGAAAATAAAAAATATATAATCATTTCATAAAATCATCTATTATAGTTTATATAGTATTTTTAAACTTAAAAAAGTATTAGTGTTTTTTCATCAATTTGTTGTTGAGAATTTATCATCTTTCATTAATCAATATGTATTTTTTGTAATTAGTTTAAAATAATACATTATTAGACTTTACAACAAAACTAATTTGAATAATTATTATTAATTATATATAAATCATTATTATTAAATTTTTTATAGCTTATGTTGTGAAAAAAGAAATTTTTTATTTAATAAATAATGATTATAAAGGCAATTTAGAAACAATAACTTTTTAGAATTACAGATAAAGACTTTAAAGTTATTAAAAAATGACCAATTTTATTAATACCTATATTAAACATTAATTAAATATTTATAAATTATCCTGACAAGTATTTAATAATGATACAATAATAAGTTTATAAATATTTTAGATGACATTTGTGAAAATAAAATTAAAAATATTTATATTAACACATTTTTTTTCTTAAATTATATACTATATAGATTAAAAATTTTAATAAATTTGTAAGTGAATTAAAATTACTGCTATTACTTTTAAAAATGATTCATCTATTTTATTTGAAATTTGCCTCATCAATCAATGGAAGGAATTAAAACTTTTCGTTGTTGATGGTTTATCTTTTGAAATTAAATTCTTCAAATGCTACAATTAAATTTAATTATTTAAAAAAAGTATCCAGAAGTATCATAAATAAAATTTGAGTATTAGAGTTATTCATCTAAGATTTGTTGTAATTATTATCTTATACAAAAAATGTTTGTTCAAGCTGAGTTAGCTGTATAGTTTACTAGTAATTTTATGGAAATTAAATGTTCATAAGTAAATATTAGAATATGTAAAATTAAACCTTAACAAAATGTGGAAACATGTCTAATTTATAATTTTGCTTATTTAAAATAAATAATGTTATAACTAAAGATATTTAATTTAAGATATCTTTATACTATTATTTAATTCAAGTTATTAGAGGAATTTACATATAAATCTTATTTAAAAATGTAAATAAAAAATCAAATATTAAAATCGAAATTCCTTTATCTGATTCTTAAGCATAGAGCTTAAATTGTTTAAAATTGTATTTCTTGAAAAACCAAATATTCAATCACAAGAGAATACTAACTTTAGGCAATCAAAATTATATGGATGCTTATTGTTATTTACTAAATTTAAATTAAAAGAAAAATAGAATAGAATTGAAAAGTAATTTATATCTTTTGAGTAGAGTTTTTCATTAATCTTTTTTTTAAATTATATTCCTCTATATTTCCAAAGTTTATATAATATTTACATGAAGAAATACATTTTTTTACATTATTAGAGGTTGTTTGTTAAATAAACAAAGAAATATAGAATTAAAAGAAGTATTAATACGAATATTCTATTAAAATTATGTTTATTCCTTTTTCTCAAATCATTATATCTATTTGATATAAATATATGCTAAAATAAAATAAATAATAGATAATTTTGAAAAAATAACGAATTTATTATTATCTTTCATTACTAATACTAAAACTGATGGCTTTTAAGTTTGATTATTTTACTCTTATTTTCGTATTTAGATAGATGAATGAATGTTCAAGATTTTTTCTCAAAATGTTAAATTAACTATATGAATTCTATCAGACTTTATTAATAAAAAGAAATGAAATTAAACCATCAAAATAAGGTTTAAAAGTCTATACATGTAAAATTATGTAATAATTGAAAGCAATTATGTTCATTATTTATTTTTTATTTAAACATTAAATATAACAAATAATTTTATTTAATGATTCCAAAAAGTAATTTTTGTGAAGTCCATCCTACATGTGAAATAGGAGGTATTTATAAGGAATTGAACAATAAATAATGTCCGAGAAAGTTATGCTTTGAGTGCAATGTAACACTCAAAATACCACCAGAGAGTATTTTAACTAAGGAAATTTTGATTTAAAAAATATCTGAAAAGTTAAATTCATTAGACATAAATCATCTCTTAAAAGAAAATGTAGCTAAAACCATTTTAAAGCGTTTTTAACAATAACTTGATTTGTTTTAAGCAGAAATATTTTAGATATTTTCTAGTATTCAGGATTCAGTCAATGCTATTTCAGATGAAGAGAAAGCAGAAGATGAAAAATTTATCAAACTGATTAATAAAGATTTTAATCCTTTTGATTGTTCTAACAAGGAATTAGATTTTTTAATAAATTTTATTGAAGGAAACATATTTGATGAATGGATATAAAGAAAAAAAATTTTAAATTCATTATTATAAAAAGCAGAATTATTCTTGAATAGTCTCATCTAAAGTTCATATAAGACCTGTTTCTTATTTGAAAATATTCATATGAATTTGTAGGAGTTTATAAAAAACTAATATACTAAAGTTTAATCTGAACCTATTTAGCAATGTGTAGGATTATAAAAAGTTAAAAATAAGTTAGAAAAAATAAAATTTCAAATATAAAAAAGGAAAAATGGAGATATTGTTTATTAGAAGGATGGATAAATTCTTAGAATGTAAATTAATAACGATATATTATTATAGAATAAAAAATACTTTTGATTTAAAAATTGACAATTTATTTGATAATCTTGAATAAATAAAATATTTAGAATTTTCAGGATAAAAAGGAGTTAAAGAGTATAAAATTAAACAATGGAATTATTTTTGGAAAGGATAACTTATAGGAGGAGGCACATATAATTTAATTGGATAAAAGTAAGGATAATGGAAAGAATTAATTAAGAATTTTTGGGAGTATTAAATATAATTAATTAATTATAGTTAAAAAAATATAATAGAAGAAGGCAACTATTTAGAAGGAATTAGAAATGATGTTTGGAATTACATCTGGAATGATTAAATAATGTAAGTGTATAAATAATAATAATTAAGTGGAGGAGGAGCCTATGATAAATAAGGAAAGGGGCTAAAAACTGGAGAATGGATTGAATTAAGTGATGATTTCAGTGAGGAAAGTTAAGTAACTTTTAATGGTGAATATAATTAAAATGGTATGAAGGTTGGAATGTGGGATACTATGTATTGTAATAACAACTAGAAGGAATATAAATAAATGTAAATATAAATGTAAAAATATTTTAGTGGAGGTGGATTGTATGTTGAGTCACATAATTAAGAAAGTAATACAATAAAAATTGGGAAATGGATAGAGTTAAATGAGGGATTTTCTTAAAATTCTTAAGTCACTTATAATAGGGAATATAATGAGAAGGGTTAAAAAAAAGGAAGATGGGATATTATGTATAGCCGAAATTAATATTAAAAATATAACTAAATGTAAATATAAAGGTAATAAATATTGTAGTGGTGGTGGATTATACGAAGAAAAGGATGGTCGACATTCAATAAAAATTGGAACCTGGGTTGAATTGTGTTAAGATTTTAAGGATGAAAATTTAGTCACTTATCGTGGCGATTATAATCAGAATGGTTTGAAAATAGGTTAATGGATTATTATGGCTAATGGAGGATAGTTGTATGTATAAAGGTTCAAAAAATTAACTTAGGGGTCAAGGATAATATAAGGAATAGGAAGGAGGATCAAAAAAGGCTGGAAAATGGATAGAATAATGGGAAAATTTTTAAGTTTGTTAAGAAATTCATTATGAAGGTGAATATAATAGTAATGGTTGTAAAAAAGGTGTATGGGATATAAAATTTTATGGAAAGAAAACGTAAAAATGTTAAATAATTATGTTAGCGGTGGTGGATAATATGATGATTAAGAAGAAGTTTCAAAAAAAATTGGAAGCTGGATTGATTTATTTGATGGATTTCATAAGCATGCATAAGTTACTTTTTGTGGTGAGTATAGTGAAAAGGGATAGAAAATAGGAAAACGGGATACGATGGCTTGGGGAAAAAAAATGTATATATCAAGAGTAAAAATATTTAAGTGGTGGTGGATAATATGAGGAGTGGGAAGAAGGTTCAAGAAAAATTGGAAGTTGGATTGATATAGGAGATGATTATTGGTTTGAGAATTTAGTCACTTAAAGTTAGAAAGATTATATTTTTCATTAACTTTCTCAAATTTGAAGTCTAGGTCTTTTAAATATGAAGAAGAAATTTTTGAAAGATAATTTGAAAATCAATAGGGAAAGAAAATTATTAAGTCAAGACCATTTTATATTACAAGTAAGAAGTTAAAATAAAAATGATTAAAATAATATATTCTGCTCTATATTGGTGAGTATAATTTGAAAGGTATGAAAAAAGGCACATGGGAAATATGGTTTTAAAATATGGGAGGAGATTACAAAAAGGAATAATTGTAATGGTTATATTAATATTTTAGAGGTTCTGGATAATATGATGAATAAGAAGAAGGTTCAAGAAAGATTGGAAGATGGATTGAGTAAAAAGAAGGGTATGGGATTAGAAATTAAATCATTTATTCTGGTGAATATGATAAGCAAGAAAAAAAAATTGGGAGATGGGATATTTTAGAAAAATAATATAGCAATTTTACATTGTGGTATTAAATATAATTTAAAAATATAAGTGGTTGTATTAACTATAATTCGTAGGGAGTAGAGATTTATAATAGCGAAAATAGTTTGAAAAATAAAAAGTATAATCAATTTATAGAAATTATTAGAAATCCAATAATTTATGTAGGATCATTTAAAAATGAGAAAAAAAATGGTAGATGGGATATTATGTTTAAAACAGGTTCTAAATATGAGTAAATGTAAATAAAGGTTAAAATTATTTAGTGGGGGCGGATAGTATGATGAATATAAAGATACTACAGTAAAAGTTGGGTAATGGATTGATATTGGAAATGAATATGAAATTTGTTCATAAATAACTTATAAAGGTGAATATAATATGAAAGGGTAGAAAATAGGTTAATGGGATGCATTTTATAATTGGAAAAATGAGAATAAAAAAATGTAAAAATATATGTTATAATTATATTAGTGGAGGTGGATTATATGAGGAATGGGAAGAAAGTTCAAGAAAAATTGGAAGCTGGATTGAGTTGGATGAGAGGTTTGAATTAGGAAATGAAATAACTTATAATGGTGAGTATAATAAAGATGGTAAAAAAGTTGGTACATGGGTGGAAGTAGATTTAGGAAGGGACCCAACTTAATAAATTATATATGAAAATTGATTAAAATTTTTATTAAAATTGAATTTTCACTTATTATAAAACAATAAAAATTAAATCTTAATAATTAAAAATAATTAAATAATTTATTAAGATATTAAAAAAAAAAGTAAAATATATTGATTCAGTCATAGTAGGTTAAATCAGGATTCAAATTAGATTTAACTTTTTTATTTGCCAGACAAGTATTTAAAATTGCTAAAATATATTATTCAAGATTTATAATATCAATAAGATTTAGATGTATAAATTTAAGAAATTATAATTACTCAAAATATACTAAAAGTTGATTTAATAGATTAAAAATTAGAATAAAATGATAAAAGCATTGATTTGCAAAGAATTAGATTTGAAAATCATTAATTTTTTTTATTCTTCAAATACTGTTAAAAAAATAAAAGAATAAAATTCAAAGTAAATAATATTATTTTTAGAAGTTAATCTTTCGTATAATTGAGATTTGGTATTATTAATGTTTAATTCCTTTACATATTTTAAGGACAACTTGATGCTGTTATTCCTAAATTTTTTATTTCTATAGAAGATTTATGATATTAATTTGTGAATTACATAATTTTAACTCTAAGGCATGTGGTTTTTTTGGCTTTCCTCTTCTTCAATTAAGCCAAAGCTTAATCGATCTTCAAATAAATTATCAGAGTATCAAAACATCATTTGAACTTAAAATCATATATAAATCTCCCTTAAAATCCAAAGGCGATTCTTCTATATAAAATTTTGTTTAGTATTTGTAACAATCAACTGATACATCTATTTAATTTAATACTTTAACTAGCAATTCCGTAAGGAGAGTTACTATTTTCAGTAAGATACTTTTTATTAAATAAATTTTTTCTAAATTTCTGCAAGATTAAAATTAAATTTTAATCTATTTAATTTAAATGCTAGATACAAATTTTATGGATATTATATGAAATAACTTATTTTAACCAGTTTACTAAAATAAGAAAATTTGATCAAATATTAATTTTGTAAAATGATTCCTTCTTAATTTTATAAATGTGATTCTGAGGTGCTCTTAAGGAGATGAGGTTTTGATCCAATATTGATCATAATTTTTTCAAAAATAAAAATATTTCAAATAGATTATATTATTAAAGTGCTAATAATTCAGCAAAATAGATGAATATAATTAAAAGCAGAGATTCAGTTGAATGAACAATGTAATATAAATTAATTGTTAAATACTCACCAATTTAATATGATTGTTAATTTAATAATAACGCTTAGTATTTAATTCAAAATTTTTAAAATAATTAAAACAAATAATAAACATTTTATTTGATAATGAAAATAAATAGAGAATAGTCTGATTAAAATTATAAATAATAAATCGTAAATGGTCTCGGGTCGGCTAGCTGATTCTAAAGTAACTTAGAAAATGTATATTAATAAGTTTCCTTCAAATGATTTTGATAAAATTATAATAACTTCTGATTAAGTAAAGTTTAGTGAAATTGTGCAAAAAGTCCCTTAATACTCTATATCTTTACTTATCTTATTTTTGATTATTTGTAAATAATTGGAACTAACACTATCTTTTGATTTGGTCTTAATGTAGCAGATTCTGCCTTAAATAAAACAACGTCATTATATCTTGTTTTCGATTGCTGAACCGTTTAATCAGTTCTTTCATAAGAACAATTATTATAATCTGATCTATCAAATTCATCTAAGTTGTCTAAATAATTTTAGAAAATAAATAATTAAAAAGGAGATAATAGTATAATTATAATCAAATAAAACAGATAACAATATAAACTTAGAATTTATTTGTTTAATATGCAATTTTTTATTTACTGCTAATTCCAAATAGACTTTTTACAAGTAACTTTTGTTTGAGAATTCAAATAAAAATTTAATTTTTAATTCTCATGATTCGATTCACTAACTGCACATAAACAATTTTTTATTTTGCAATACAATCAACTTTATTTGTTAATCCAAATTATTAATTAAAACTTAATAATAATTTAAACACTTGATATATTTGTAACAAAACTCTAGATTTTAAATTTCCCTTTTGGTTCTGTTCTTTTATGCCAATATAACTTAAAATTTTCTCAAAATAAGAATATTATACCATTATTTAAGCTTAAATATTAGTAAGCTTATAAGTTCAGTCTAAAAATTGTGATAATTAATATATATTACAACCATTTAAAAAAAGATGTTATCATGTTCATTATAATTAAGAAATAAACTATGACATGGTTCTCTTTATAAGTTTAAAATCAGTAAAGAAATAAGTAAAGAGTGGAGTTGGAATATTGTCCAATATTTCATTTAATTTGAATTTATAAAAATTTAGGATTATTACATTAAAATAACCTCCATTAGAAAAAAAAATATTTATATAAGTGTTTAATTCTTTTATTTTTAACAAATTTATGAAAAATTAAACGAATTGATAAGATTTATATATAAAACATTATTCTATTGTCTCATTTTCAAGATTTTTTAGCTTCTATTAATAGTTAAATTAAGATGAATTTGATTAAACCCAATATAAAAAATTGAATATAAAATATTGATATTTATGATTAATATTTCATTTCTATTCTTAAGCTTTTAGACTTAAGAATTCTTTTATTTGAATTAATCTTGTTCTAATTTCAAGTCCAAATTATTTAAGCAGAAATATAATTTACAAAAATATTGAAAGTAGAATAAAGAACAAAATTACCCACCCAATCATATACTTTTAATCAAATGATAATATATTACTTACATCATGTATAGCCAGTAAAGCAGTAATTAAAATAATTATGAATATACAAAAATCTGGGATGGCTTATTGCAAAAGTTAAGATCTATTTTCAAATGGATTCTAGAACATAATTAAAGCTATATTGAAGAAACATGGTAAACAACAAAATGATGTTTAAAGCAAAGGAACTTCATAAAAATATATAGTAAAAAATATAAACATGGTTTTGCGCATTAAATTGACATAACAATAATTTCTACCAAAGAAATTTTTAGTATTGAAACCTTCGTATAATGATGAATAGTAATTCTAAAATATTTTAGTTTCATACAAAATTGAATGTTGTGAGCAAACAAATGAATATATTTTAAACATCAATATAATAATAATGATTCCAATTATGGCTAATAAAATGTTCAATTTAATAATAGCAAATTCTGATTAACTTCTATATTTTAATTAAAGAAAACTAGCTAAACAAAGATCTAAAAATACTAATCCAAAAATTTATAGTAGTTTAGTTCTAAAGTTAATTTTAAAATTTAAGGTTTCTTTATAAATTATCTTAATGAGAAAAGGCATTTCTTATTTCTTCAGTTTTTTTATTTTGTTTGGATGGTTTTTTTGGAATATAGCTTCTTTGGTTTGTTAAATTTAATTGATTGAAAAAATTTCAATTTTGTGTGAGTATTCAAATTAAGATTAGAATATCTTTTAAATATTTGATACTACACAAACTGAAAAGGAATAAGCTATAATTGCAAGTAAAGTTAAAGCACTAATTAACTAGATGTTATTCAAAAATAAAGGATTAACATCTTTTTCGATAAACTTTGGTGGTGCTTCAAAATAATAAGGATCTTAAGGTGTATTTAAATTATAAATTTCAGGAATATTAAATACATCACCCCATTCAAATTTTTTGAAAAATAATTTAACATTCAAAGGATAATCCACATTAAGAAAATAAAAATTATTAATCCAAGTCAAAATATCTAAAATAGTCCAAAAAATATTAAAACCTCCTAGAAGAATTGTCATAGGTCCAATTAATTATAGAATAAAAGTAAAAGAAGAAGAAGCTGAAACAACATTTTAAGCTTGATCATTTTAATCTTCAGTATAATACACTAATCTTCTTGGAGTTATAATAATTTCCCTTGTTTCTTGAAGAATTCTAGTTACATTATCTTTTAATGGAATTATTATATGAATAAGATTAGATTCCAGAATGGATTTAAAGAAATTAAATTTTATTTCACATTTTCCTTGTCCTATATTTGTTTAATTTTCCTATTTATAAATTTAATATTAGAATTCTTCTGGCTCAAAATATTCTATCCAAATTTTCAATTAATCACAAATTCCATCAAGTTCATTATCATCATACATCAATTCAAGATCATTTCTAGTAGTTGAATTAGAATAAATTAAATCAATATATTTCTAAGGTTGAACAAAGCATATACCTTCATTACAAATAAATTCTTTTTCAATTTCACATTTAGAATTGCATCCATCTTAATCAATAAGATTTCCATCATCACATTATTCTGTTCCAGCAGTTATATTATCTCCACATTTAGTTATACATGATTTTGATGATTTATCTAAATAAAATCCAGAAATATTATGACATTATTTACATTCAATTGTAGAGCATTTTGTACAATTATTTGGAGTATTAACACATTCCTCACATTTTTCTGAACAAGATATACAAGTATTATCTTTAAGAAAATATCCACTTTCGCAGCTTAAACATTCTACAAAATTATTGTCATATTTGCATTCATTACAATTATCTTAGCATTTATAACAAAAACTTAATAAATCTTGATTTTCTTCACATTTATATAAAGGATCAATTTTGCAATAACTACAACCATCCCTTACAATATCATTTTTATCATCACATTATTCATCTCCTATTTTAATACCATCTCCACATTTAGTTATGCATTTTTGTATTTCTAAATGATATCCAATTTAACACTCATAACATGTTCCTTTTTAACAATTAGAACACTTTTTATTGCATTAGTATTTACATTCATAACATCCATCATAAGGTATAATATTCTGATCTTCACATTATTCATTGCCTGCTATAATTCCATCTCCACATAATGATAAACAATCATTAGTAAAACTATCATAATATAATCCTATCAAACCTTCACATTATTTTAATTATTCACAAACACCTTTAGAGGGTACTAAAATTAATGAAGATTCACATAATAAACACCTCCCAAATTAGCAATTTAAACATTCCATTTAGCATTAATAATTGCATTTAAAGCAACCATCATATCTGAATTCATTTCCATCATCACATACTTCATCATTAGCCAATATATTATCACCACAAATAGAACTACATGAATTACTAACAATATCTAAATAGAATCCATTTAAGCAATGTGTACAAATTCCATAAGCACATTTTTAACAATATAAAGGGCAAGATTATTAACAATTTAAACAAGAATCTATTTAATATTAGTTTCCATCGTCGCATTCTTCTTCTTTAACTACAATACCATCTCCACATTTAGGAATGCATTTATTTCCATAATATCCATGTTCACATTCTAAACACTATTCAAACAAACATTATTTACAATTATTTGAGCATTTGTTGATATTATAATCAATTATGCAAGTATTTGTAATTAAATCTAGATATCCATATTAACAAAATATGCATTATTAATTATTTAATAATTTACAATCTGCTTATACTTTAGTTAAGAGTGAGGTTTAAATAGGTTTACATGAATTATTTAATTAATCTAATTAAAAATCTAATTAACATAATTAACATATTCCTAACTAACAATCCAAACAATTTTAAGCACATTACAATTGACAATTAAAACAACCATCATAATTATTTATATTTCCATCATCACATTATTCATTTCCAACTATTATTTCATCCCCACAAATTGAATCACAAAAGTATAAACCTAATTTCCATCCTTATTTGCACTGATAACAAATACCATCAATACAATTTATACAATTAACATCACATATTTATTCACATAAATTGTTACAAGTGTCATCATTAGAGAAATTTTAGTCATCACATTATTCCTATTCCTCAATTATGCCATTTCCACAAATCTAAGTACAACTGAAATCATGTTCACAATCAATTTTTGTACATTTTTTATATTCATCCAGAACATACCCATTTATACAAAGTTGACATGCTCCTTAAATACATTAAATACAAGTTTCTTAACATTTTGATAAACATTTATTTTCAATTAAATCAAATTCTGTAAGACAATTAATGCATTCTCCATATATACAATTAAAGCAATTTTAAATACATTCATATTTACATAAATAACAACCATCATATTGCAAAATATTTGAATCATCACATTCTTCCCATCCAGTTATATATCCATCACCACACTAAGGTTCACATTTTAATAATTTTTAATTTAAGTACAAACCAAGTGAACATTCCTCTATCAGAATGCAATTGTTATAATATAAATAATATTGGTTTCCACATAGATAACATAAACCTTAAATACAATTTAAGCACCCATCTTAACAACTAGAAATACAATCTCCATATTCATTTAATTTATATTCTTTTTCACATATTAAACATTTTCCTTAAAGGCATAATTAACATTCAATGCTACATTATGTATCTTTCTTCTCAAATAAACAAATTCCATCATAAAGAAAATAGTCTAATTCACATTTATAACATATTCCATTCATACAATTTTTACATAGCTGGCTGCATGAATATTTACAATGATAACAACCATCAAATTCTAAATAATTATTGTCTTCACAGTCTTCATCATGAGCCACTATTCCATCTCCACAATAAGATTCACAAGTATTAGAATATTAATTGAAATAATAACCATGTTCACATTTTTAACAATTATTTTCGAAATATTATTCACATAATTTTGGAGCTTCATACATACAACTTAAGCAATTCTGATCAAAAATTTCGCATTATTCATCATGTGCAAGTATTCCATCTCCACAATAAGAATTACATTAAAAACTTGTATCTAAATAATAACCCATCTTGCAAAGAATGCAGTTGTTTTCATTACATTTATCACAGTGTTAAAAACACTGACTACAATAAAAATCTGGTTATAATTTAAGTTAATATTCACAAAAATTCATAGGAGCTTGTTTTAATTTGCACAACTATTCAATTTTATTATAATATGCATATTCTTCACATTTGATGCAACTATTTTTTATTTAAATTTTACAATTTTCAAAAAGCAACTATGTATTTTAAAGAGACTTTTAGCAGTAGATTTAATTAAAAGATAATTCATATCCATCATTGCATTGTTAACAAATTCCATATAAACACGAATGACAGTTTACATTGCAAGAAAACTTACATAATTAACAATTTTAGAAAGACTACTGTAAATCTACAATTTCGCATTATTCATCATCTGCTTTAACTTTATCTCCACAAATTGTATAACATTTAGATTATATCAATTGATAACCCTCTTAGCAATCATAACAAACTCCTTTAATACAATTAAAACATGAATCTTAACACGTATATTAACAGAAATGACATCCATCTCCATAAATTATATTACCATCATCACATTATTCATCATCAGTTACAATCTAATCACCACAGATTGAATAACATAAGTAATCGATTCTTTCATAACCAGGTTAACAAAAATTACAACCAATTCCAGTATTATTGCATTATTTGCATGAAGTTTAACATTTAGCCTAGCAATTTTAGCAACCTTTATATGGTAAAACTTAGGTTATTTCACATTATTCACCACTTACTAATTTCGAATCTCCACATATTGGATTGCATATTTTGTCACTTGAAAGTTTAAATTCAGAAGCACATGACTCACATCTATTATTTACACAACTTGTGCATATTGTAGATGGTTAACATTAAAACTAACAATTACTACTACAACCATCAAAATCAATAGTATTTCCATCATCACATTATTCTGAATTTATTCCAGAAGGATCAATGACAACTAAGCCATCTCCACAAATATTTTTACAATAATATTAAAAAGGAACAAACCCTGGTAATTGACAACTTAGACAAGTATTTGTATTATAATTACAAGAGGAACAGCCAATACGACAATGAAATCTACAATTTTTACATCCATCAGTATCAACTTGATTACCGTCATCGCATTATTCATATCCAGTAATAATTTAATCTCCACATCTTTCTTTGCATAACCATGATGAAGTAATTGTTGGATCAATAAACCATCCTTTAGTTGCACACTCAAAACATTCTCCATTTATACATTTTGTACATTAAGGTTAACATTAATATTTACAATTATAGCATCCATCATATTAAATTGAATTTCCATCTTCGCATTCTTCAGTTCCACTAATAACTCCATCTCCACAAATATCTGGACAAGGTAAAGTAGTAGTTGAATCACAAGTTTGACAATAAGTTGGACATTGATATTAGCAATTATAACATAAATCATTTAAATTAGAATTATTATCTTCGCATTATTCATATCCTTTTATATTCAAATCTCCACAAATCGGTTAGCATTCTCCAAATACTAATTGAAATCCAAAATCACAAGAACTACAAATATTTGTATGCCATATTGATAAATTATTATTACAATATTTATAACATTAAATTAAAGTTATATCTTCATTAGTTGGGCAATCTAAAATTATTAATATAAATAATACTTATACAAATATTGTTTAAATCATAATAACCAGGAGCACATTCACATACTAATCCTTTTAAAATTCTATTTAAAGTAGGATTACATGTCAAACAACCATCAATTGTATTTTTAAAACAAGTTTAACATGATAAATGGCATTAAGAACATGTTCTTGAAGCATCTTAATAATATAAACCTGTTTGACATTTACATGTCGATCCTATTTTTTCAATATTAATTATATTTGAACATGTTAAACAATCATGAGATGTAGGTCCAGAACAAGTTTTACAAAATTAATGACATAATTAGCATTAAGGATTCGATATTATTGAATAATATCCATCTATACAATTACATTATCCATTTATAAGTTTTCTATTATTAGTAATTAAACACTCAATACAGTAAGTAGAACTTAAACATTAATTACATTCATATGGACAATCAAAGCATTTATTTGTATNAAACTAACAATTACTACTACAACCATCAAAATCAATAGTATTTCCATCATCACATTATTCTGAATTTATTCCAGAAGGATCAATGACAACTAAGCCATCTCCACAAATATTTTTACAATAATATTAAAAAGGAACAAACCCTGGTAATTGACAACTTAGACAAGTATTTGTATTATAATTACAAGAGGAACAGCCAATACGACAATGAAATCTACAATTTTTACATCCATCAGTATCAACTTGATTACCGTCATCGCATTATTCATATCCAGTAATAATTTAATCTCCACATCTTTCTTTGCATAACCATGATGAAGTAATTGTTGGATCAATAAACCATCCTTTAGTTGCACACTCAAAACATTCTCCATTTATACATTTTGTACATTAAGGTTAACATTAATATTTACAATTATAGCATCCATCATATTAAATTGAATTTCCATCTTCGCATTCTTCAGTTCCACTAATAACTCCATCTCCACAAATATCTGGACAAGGTAAAGTAGTAGTTGAATCACAAGTTTGACAATAAGTTGGACATTGATATTAGCAATTATAACATAAATCATTTAAATTAGAATTATTATCTTCGCATTATTCATATCCTTTTATATTCAAATCTCCACAAATCGGTTAGCATTCTCCAAATACTAATTGAAATCCAAAATCACAAGAACTACAAATATTTGTATGCCATATTGATAAATTATTATTACAATATTTATAACATTAAATTAAAGTTATATCTTCATTAGTTGGGCAATCTAAAATTATTAATATAAATAATACTTATACAAATATTGTTTAAATCATAATAACCAGGAGCACATTCACATACTAATCCTTTTAAAATTCTATTTAAAGTAGGATTACATGTCAAACAACCATCAATTGTATTTTTAAAACAAGTTTAACATGATAAATGGCATTAAGAACATGTTCTTGAAGCATCTTAATAATATAAACCTGTTTGACATTTACATGTCGATCCTATTTTTTCAATATTAATTATATTTGAACATGTTAAACAATCATGAGATGTAGGTCCAGAACAAGTTTTACAAAATTAATGACATAATTAGCATTAAGGATTCGATATTATTGAATAATATCCATCTATACAATTACATTATCCATTTATAAGTTTTCTATTATTAGTAATTAAACACTCAATACAGTAAGTAGAACTTAAACATTAATTACATTCATATGGACAATCAAAGCATTTATTTGTATCTTCATACTGATTCATTTTACAAATACATCCTAATTTAGTTTAAGTATAAGTTGGTAAGCATGTTTAACAATCTATTTTAGAAGTACATGTTAAGCAAGGGAGAAGACACTAAAAACATTTAAAAGAATCTCTATCAAAATATTGAGTAATTTCACATTATGCTTAAGAAAATTTAACGATATTTACATCATATGTGCTGTTCCACTCCAAACATGTATTTTAATCTTAACATTATAAGCAATAAGGTTAACAATAATGAACTGCAATATAATAATTATAAAATCCACAAAAAGCATAAATTGGTTCATTATTTGCTCCAGAACATTCCCAAGTGATTTTTAAACTATTTGCATTATGAATTATTCTTTCATATATTTTATCGTATTTAGATCCATCAGGACTTAACTATTAAAAAGTTGCAGATGATTTAGAGACTGGTGTATTATCTTCAATTGTATATATAAATCTTCCATCAGATGGGAATTTTGGTCCAAAAATTATATAAAATGCAATAGTGATACTATGATGTGGATCAATTATATTATGAATTCTTTAGAATTTAGCTTAAGCCCACACAAAAGGTCCTCCAAAAACTCTATTTTGGTTCCAATATGAATAATAGATATCAGATCCTTTTAAAAAGTTACTTCCATTTTGAGAGAGTAATGTATATTATTAATATTAATTAGGATCAGTTGCTCGATTTGTATATTCTTAAATCAAATATTAAGAATCTAAATAAATAAATATATGAATACAAGGCGTTTCATCATCATAATCATAACAATAGGAACCATTTAATTTCTGAAAGGAATTTGAGCAACTTTAAATGCAACTACCATCCTTATATTTATAATATTCATTTTAACAAGTCTTACATTTAAATGATACTTCGCACAATAAGCAAAAATTAGAACAATATCCTGAAGTAAATTGAACTGAAATAATCCCCCATCCTGCAGTGTCTTCACTAATTTAAGTTAATAATAATTACGTATAATTTCCAACAGCAGAAAATAAAATTGTTGATTAAGGAATATCTAAATATGTAATTAAATTATATATCTTGCTTTAAGAATAAGTCAAATATGAATTATATGCATAAGTTTAATAGATTTTTAATTTATGTGTTTGAATTCCAGAGTCATTTTTATAAATAGATCCATAATATGTATTATTAATCTTAAATTATATTCCACAATTTAATGGAATATCATTAAAAAGTACAATTGAAATTTTTAATCCAATTAAATAAGTTGAATAAGAAGATAATAAATCGAAAAATCTATAGATACCTGAATTAAACATAAATATCCCATAAAAGTAATAGTTCTAGGATACATAGGATGGTTTTGGGGAAGTATCTATATGTAATGGATCATATATGATTGACCACTTCAGATTTTCAGACTGAAGTGAATCCTAATAAATTTACGCTGAAGCTATTAAGAAAACTAAAATTTATAAAATGAAAATTTACTTGGATAACTTTAACAGAATCCATGATAATATATTGGAGAGTTGATGTCACATATATCCTTGCATCCTTAATATTTCATAAAATATTAATTTGATGGACAAAGTGGACAAATATTATCAGTAGCTTATCCATAAATACAATTTGTGCATTAATTGAAATTTGAACCTGTACATTAAGTACATGATGGATAACATAAAATTCTTGAAAAAAAAATATTCTTAATTGAAACTTATGCATTTCCTGAACCTGTTGATTAGAACTAGACTTTATCAGATATTGAATTTGTCAGTGTAAAATTGATAGATTTAACATCACCAGTTAAATTATCACAAAATCCCTATGTTATTGGATAAATTGTAGGTGAAATATACGTATATGTGTATGTAAAGGCACTACCTATTGTAAAAACCACAGTTTGATTTGACCATGTACCCTAAAAAAATAAATCAAAATTTATAAAGCTTCCTCCCTAATAGAAATATGACTTTTAATAAATGTATGCTGAAGGTTCTGTAGAATTTAAATTGATATAACTTGTTGAAGGTGTGATGCATGTGATAAATTAAGCTGAAGTTGTTGAGGAGGGCAAAGCAAAGCTTCCTGATTATTCATATCCATCACTTGAATTTGAGAAGGTAAATTTCTAATTAGAAGATAAATACTCATTTGAAAGTATCCATTAAGAATTGCAAACATTCATAAGGCAGAGAAGGATTAAAAATATTGTTTAGGCCATTTATTAAAGTAATAGACTTAAATAAAAATTAATTATTAATAATAAATATTATGAAAATCCAAATAAATAACAAATTTTTGTTGAAAAATCTTAAACAACAGAAAAAATATTTTGAGTTATTCTCAAACTAAACACTCCTTGAAATAATAATTATTATAAAATTTAACAATATTAGGATAATTAAAATTACAAAAAATTTTTTCAATTAATCATTGAAATAATCTAACTTCTATCTACCTAATCAGATATTACAAAAACTCTTTTAGGTGGGACTATATATTTTATTTTTAATTTTATTAGAATCACACTTCTGTATCTTTTTTTGATACAGATAATCTCTGGAAAAGCACAAGGAAGAAACACCAAAAATAGAGCTCAGTTAAACAGTCTCTTCAATAGTCATATAAGTAATTATTCCTTTTTTCATAAGTTCGAAATGTTAAGATCACTTTTTTTTTTTTTTTTATTTCTATTACAAAAATATACATTATAATTTTTCTTTTTTGTATTTCTTCTTCCCCTCTCAGTTTCACTTAAATCGAATTCTACATTCAACGCTATTGGAATAAATAGATTCTAACATAAAAAATAATTATATTATATGTTCTAAATCTAGCTTTATTTCTTGAAGAGGTTGATTATTAATTTATTTATTTAAATACTACCATATTATTAAATGTAAAACAAAATTGAGCCAATTTATTAACAAACACACTGAAAATTTGAAATATAAAATAAGTTGAACAATATTCTTTATTTGATATTGAGATTAATTAATATTAAGTTTGTACCTCATTATTTTCTTCGTTAATTTTGATAATCTTCATTTTAATGAGTTAATGCAGTAAATATTGAAAATTACATTTTTCATTATTATACATCATAATTAAATAATTTTTCAGTTCAAAAAATTTAAAATATAAAGAAATATTGGTGCTTAAACTATTTTAGGTTTAGATATCTTAAACCTATTGTCTAATTCTTTAAATCAACAAACAAATGGAGGAAAAAGATTACCTAAAGTTAATCTTCTTGAACCATTTTGCAATTAAAAATTTACTACTTCTAAAGATACTAGAAATCAAAAAAATTAACTTTGAATCGATAATAATTTATATAGTTCATTGAAAAGACTATTGTATTGCTTTCGTCTAAATTTAAAATGAAAAAGCATAAGTGAATGATAATTAACAATGCTTCAAAAGTAAAGATATGTTTTGAATTATCTGTACAATATTTCCTATCATATTCTATTCAAATTAATATTTTATTGCCTTATTACATTACAAAAATTATTCAAGGAAGTTGATCCACACAACTTAAATTAGGCTAACAGTACTAAAGTAAAAAAAATCATTTTTCAAAATATTTATTACTTATCAAAGCTATTTAGCATTATATATTTTTAAGTTATCTCTCTTTATCTATACTAATATTAAAATATTTATTTTCTTATATTTAATTCTTAACTTTAACTAGAATTTGAATCTTTTGTTAATCTTTATGAAGTTTCTTACCTTTATATATTTAATATACATTACAAAGAGATAATCTAATCAAAAAAATAAAAAAGAAAATTTTATAATTTTTCTATATCAAAAAAAGGGAATGTTTTAAATTATAAAAATTTTTTACAAGAAATTTTTCAGATAAAATGTGATACAACAAATTATTTTTAATTTAATTATGCGCGTATGGGTTAAATTAAATCAAAAAAAAACAATTAAAGATAAATTGAACATAATAATTCTTTCTAAAAAAATAATTGTTATGCTTTTTAGAAACCACTAAAATGATTTAAGGTAATATGAATAAAATGAAAAATCATTGGTGCATTTTTAAATTAATATCAACATATTTTATTATTAAATAATGAATTTATAATTAAATAAATAAACAAACATTTTACCATTAATAATTATACAAGAATAGATTAGATGAATTATTCATTTTAATGGAAGAAATTACAAATGAATTTCATCTCAAGATCAATATGAAAAAATGTTTATAAATACAAATATGAAGATTGAAGCGCTAATTCAGAGTGATTGTATTGGAGCAAAATGCATATTTTATCTATATTTAGAAATGGTGCCATTAAAAATTTTTCAACCTTAAAATTAGAAAATAATCAAAATTTTTCAACCTTAAAATTAGAAAATAAATTTCAAAAAAGACATTAGCAAAAATGTTATTTAGCTGCATAAATATTGTGGCTTGATGATGCTTAATAATCTGTAACTGATTAATTAGCAATTAATTGATTATATATTTGATTTAACCTAAAAAAAAATAAGACAATTAGTTTGTTTAGAAAGTTTCTCATTTAGGTGTATCATCATATATAGAAATAAATCTAGGTCATAATATATAAGGAAATTTATTTTATATTATTTCTATTACTAAATGAATGAAAGAGATTTCTGGAAAATCTTATGAGTAACATTAACTTTTACCTCCGCCATTACATATATAAGTTCATAATCAAAGAATCAAAAATTTCAGATTTAATAGAAAATTTGATTAAAACCCCTGATTAGAAATAAATTCTACTGATATTGAAAGGACCTAGTAATGAATTTCCGGCAAAATATACTATTTTTTTAGATATTGACCAGTATAACAATCAATCTCTTAGGTTAATTGAGTTTATAATACTATAGGGAACAAGATCTCGATAACAGAAATTTCTACCATTAAGTAATGTTAATTATACAATCTATTCAAAAAAACTTAAGGTTGTTAAATTTCATTTATGAATTTCTACAAAAGTTGGTATTATAATTAAGATTAACTTTAGTTTATTCAATAATTATTTATTTTAATTTTAAGAATTTAAATTTGTTAATTTAGAGTAATATTTATATTTAAAATTTCTCATTTTACAAAAAAGTTTCCAAAATATAGAATAAGCATTAAAATAGAATTATTCTTGTCGTATTCAAGTAAAAATATGCTTTGACCTTGAGATCAACTTATAATTTATAAAATTTTTTAAAGTGTAATTTAAAGCTTTAATATTCGTTGCCTCGATTTTATCAAAATACATGTTTGTTATTTTTACTAAAATTCGCTTTTTCAGTTTGAACTAAGTTTATTGAGAATTCTTCCATACGATTGAAAAAATTAAATATCCTCATAATGACTTATTTCTAAAATTTTAGGTAGTTGATGATATTCAATATTAATATAAAAAAAATTTATAATTAATATAAAAAATATAGAATATAATTAAATAAAATGTTAAATAAAGTTCCATCTTAAATATCATTTGGTGCTATTTCTTAGAATTCCTAAAAATTTGATGATAAACTTTAAATAAAGAATAGTGACTTTAAAATAGCTGGTTTTAAAATATATATACAAGATGAGAAAATTTGTGGAATAGGAATAGTTTACTTAAATAAGGAAAATGGAAGAAAAATTATCTTCACAGACACAAATTAAATCCAAAAAAACTTACCTACATTGTATGAATTCAATATCGCTTCTGGTAAAAATATTTATTATATATTAGATGATTATATATAAGTCATTTTTGGCCATTATGATCAGAAAATAAATTAACTTGGCATTATTACATACTCTGGATAATAAGTCATTTTTGGTTTAGACTAAGGATGTTAATTTAATTACATGTTTATGGGTTATACGTTTTCGGCATGTAGTGGTACTTTTAAAACAGGATAAATTGAATCACTTAATTTTTATATTCATAAACTTCCTAAGAGTTATATAAGTCAAAATGTAATCTATTTAATTTATTATATTAGCTCAGCCCATTATTAGATATTCTTTATCCAAATTTGATTGAATAGAATAATCATTTACAAAATACAGAATAATTGAATTTTAATTCATTTAACTTTTCAGAATTAACAATTGACAAGGCATCAAAAAAATTAGAATATTAATCAAATGATCAAGTAATATTAAAGAATGAAGACAAAATAAAAAAAGTTGAATATTAAGGATTTGACTTTTAGTAAGTAGATTTTTAAGAAATACAAAATTAACAAAGTTAAGAGAGTCAACAAAGTAATGATAATTTTTACTAGGTTCAAAAAACAACTAAAAATACATCATCAACTCGTCAAAATTTAAGAGCCATTAATACGGGAGTTACTATCACAAAAGGAATTATGAAACTAATTTTGCATCATTGAATTAAACAGAAAAAATGATATTAATTTAAATAAAATAAAATATATAAGTATTAATACTTAAAAAAACATCAAAGAACAAATTTATTTTCATATTTTATAAGACAAATATTTGAATATTCAAATATTTTGTCCTACTTTTAATAATGCAATTATCTACTATAAGACAAGAGATGTGAATTCGATCTAAATTTTTTAATTAAAATTTTATAATAAATATTCTCCCTAAAGAAATTTTATTTAAGTACAAAAACTTAAGTTATTTAGTATAAATCACTCAAAAAATAATTTAATAATATTTTTTATTAACAACTTTATAATTAGATGCTTTAACTATTGATAAACTCAGAAAAGCATAATCACTCAGCTTCTAAAGCAAAAACTATTTAATAGTGATATTGAACGAAATTTTATATAGAATAAAAAGATTGCTTTCAAAAATATATTCTTATCTAATGCATTTCTAGCGCAGTCATGTAATTTGATGATTAATCAACTATTATGGCCATTGCTATTATTTTATTGGCAGCTGCATTAGTGTTTCAGCTTGCTCTATCACCTTATATTGCAAATATAAAAAATTGATTAACTTAAAGTAATCATCAAAACAAGAAAAGAGATACTGAATATTTTTGGATAACAAACTTGGTTTTATGGACAGAGTCTTGAAATTAGAAAAGTTTAATTATAAAATTTTGATTAAGATTGAATAAAAGAGTGCTTGAGAAAATATGTTGAATTAAATGTAAGAAGAAAGAAAAAATAAATCTATGAATTTATATAGGGCTTTAAGAAATATGACAAGTTATTGAGAAATAAGTTTACTTCAAATAGTTACATCTCATAAAACTTTAAAATGTTTAAAAGAAGAACAGACTATTGCTTTAAGAAAGGATTTAGAATTATTGTGTA